CCGAGCGGCGTTATCGCCATTCGGCGCTCGCGAAAGCTAGGTTAATTGTCGATCGGGGATGAAATCGCGGAGAGAGAATTTTGCGAGACGCGCCGTGCGAATGCGAGATGATATAATTTAATGAATGGGTGAAATAAGAAATGATGAAAATAATGCCGAGACGATGAATAAAATATGGGATTTAATTATGCAATTGACATAAATTATACGACATGAGCATAATCTGGAAGTGTCAGTCACGTTGGACTGATATATTATTCTTATGGAATAAATTAAATTTGCAAAATAGGTATATGAATTAACATGTAGAATGTAAAACGCAGATAATAAACGACATAAACGCGATAATTTTGCAATAATTGTTTCGAGAAATATATATAGTATGTTCTAGTAGAAAGGTAATTTATAGAATATTATATATATATATTTAAACTTATAATATTTGTGTATTTTTACACTCATTCTTAAATGCTTCGCATCGCAGGTATCATCGGAGGACAAATTTACAAAAATGGTCTGTTCTACGTGCATCAAGAGACTGGAGGGTGTCCATCGCTTCGCAATGATGGCATACCGTACCCAAGAGAAGTTGAGGTCGCAGCTTTACGGTAACATTGACAATACGAATCCTGTACAAGATGACGAGATACAGAATATTAAACATATGCAAGACACAACGGTGAAGAAGACGGAAGATCGAGGACTATTACATTCGATCTTGACAAAGGTGCGTATATTATATAGATTGTCCTTTTATACGTATATCACATTTTTACTTGCGGCATATATAATGTATATCATCAATGTTTCCCTGTAGGGTGCAATAGAAATTTTAACCGAGGACGAGCCACTGGGACCACTGGAATCAAATTCCCAAGAGGACAAACGTTGCACTCCGAGCATGGAGGAGATGGAGGTGAAAGTGGATCCGATGCTGTTTTTACAATGTGGCATGGAACAGTCTACGTCCGAAGCTTCAGACTCCTCGGACGAGGAGGAAATAACAAGGACACATACGCCGGAGCCGATATCTTTAACGAACAAGTAGGGATATTTTAGGAATGCTAAACAATAAAAGATCGTATCGACGGGGCTGAGCGTGCAGTGCTTGCTTAAATATCTCGTTTGTTTAGAAGCGCTGAAATGGAAGAGGAGGACGACGACGAGAAGAGAGATGAAAGTGAATCTAAATCGCACGAGGACAGTAGAAAGGCTACATCCAATGCGCCAGGGAAAACGCACGAATGTACAATATGTGCCCGATCTTTTATATCGCAAATTGGATTGCAAAATCACCTGTGGTCGCATTTACCCAGAGAGAGAAGGTTCGACGGGAAGCCTATTTTACAATCCCACGTTTATTCTACGAATGGTGTGCTTCACACGAACAGTGATAACAATTCGTCCAGCAACTTCATCTGTCCAATCTGCAGTAAAAAGATTTCTACGAAGGGAAATTTGAAAGTGCATTTAGAGACTCACAGGCCTAAAGGAAAGTACGGCTGCGACATATGTGGAAGAATGTACGTTTGCATTCTTGTAATAATTCTCTCGTAATTTAATATTTGATTATTTCACGAGTATTTGATTGAAATATTAAATAATCGTTGTCAAACTATTTTTTTTTTGTTTTTATATTGAAATAATAATAGGATTATAATATTGAATTTTTAATTGTCTAATATTCGATATCTATCATACACTATACTATTATGCTCGAAAGATTTTCAAGTATCATTAAAGAAGATTTGATTTCTTGCAGATTCAAAACTCAATCGAATCTGTTCAGACACAAGGAGTATCACGGCGGCGTACAGTTTCCATGTAATGTATGCGGGAGAGTGTATCCAACGAATTCGACGTTACGTGCCCACAGCATAACGCATTCGGACTTGAGACCGCACGCGTGCCCGCTCTGTGATAAGACATTCAAGCGTAATCAGGATTTAAAATTCCACATAAATCAGCACACGGGTGCGAGGCCTTATCAGTGTCCTTACTGTCCGAAAGCTTTCGCGAGCTCCGGCAACTGTTTTTCACATCGTAAAAGAATGCATCCCCGGGAGGTCCATCGGGATCGGCAGAGAGCGGCGGACTTAATGAGATGAACCATGGGCAGTCAATACGAGGACTGGTCTTAGAATTTTTCGGATGAAAACGTTCCGCCGAGGTGATCGTATATTGATCGTGGTATTAGTAGATCTGTCGTAATGTAAACCTTTATTTCCAGAGATTAACGGTGCTAAGGATACGAGAACGGAAATTTTGTATGTTTTATTGTTCTTAAATTATTTATATACATTTAGCGTTAAGTACGTTGTTGTTGGTATTATATATTTTGTTAGTTATTTATTGGATACGTATGTCTTTCTACTGTCTGATAGAGGATGTTCGTAAATATGAGATATTGGTGAAACTTCCATTATTGTTAGTAAGCTTAGCGTTGAGGCTTTACTACAGGTATAGCAGAGAAACTGAGAAAGTAAGTTTGAAATTTCATAGCCAGATTTAAGTATTGATACTTCTAGTCTTATTTTTTATGCATATATTGATGCAATTTATACGAGATTATTTTAGCGATAGGAAGTGATAATTGTTAAATGTTTCTAGGAATATAATGTAATTGTATTATTCTAAATGTATTTACTGTAAATCGGTTAACATATTTGAATCTCGACATATTTCGTTACATATTAGCACATCCTGTTTTTGTGATAAAAATATTCCACACTGCCATTTTTGCGAGAATCTCTTCATTTTTTAAATCTTTTATTTTATCCTGAGATTATTAAAACAAGTATTAACGTAGATAGTAGTAATTTTACAATTTGTGTGATGTACTTCCATGAAAAAGTTTATGTGTGGCAAGATACATTGTAAAGCTAGTTCTATACTGTATATGACTACATTATCTTGACAACTCTGTGATAATTGTATTGGTACTGGTCGTTTTATACTGGTTATGAAATTTACAACTTACCGTATAATAGAAATATTATTCTACGAGCGTAGATTATACACGATTGTAGCATTATTCAAACAGTGACGAAGATTCTAAAGAAAGAAAAAAAACACGTTATTTTACACACAGCAATCAAGCAGATAATCCACAGGGAACTTTATACGGAACATACGTATCGACCAAAAAGAAAAAAAAAAGCGAAAATTTGCGGAAAGAAAGGGGGGGAAAAAAGAGTTTTGTAGCCTGTGACATATTTTTAGCACAATACAAACATCATCATAAATGTTAAGACTGTATACGAAAATTATGTGTCAAATTAGATAATATAACTTTAAGGGCGGACGAGACCGAATGTTACACGAGAACAAGTCTAGTCGTCTAGCAGTATTAATTATCAATAAGCAAGACGTGTAGGCGCCGTAGTCGATATTACAAATACGATCATGACGTTATTCTTATAAGCGAGATATATGAGGTAAATGTTAAACAGAAGTCTGAGTAGTTTCTAGGAAGGCATAGTTAAGTTAGTTAATTAGTTAGATAGTTTGTGTAAAACGTAGTTAATAGTCCGTGCTTCCGTATACATTTCGCACACGCGCTAAAAAAAAAAACACCGCAGCAGGCGTAAAAAATAGTGAGCATTACAGGCCCCTCCCGTGAGAAAGAAACAAGTACACATACGACAGTCAGTACACAAACAATAAGTAGCTCGTATCGCAGAGACAAAAAAAAGGAAACCACATGTGTAATCACATTATATTAATAGCAGCATTATTAGCTCATAGAGATACAAGCGTGTATTTTGTGATTACGTTTTTTCCGGACGCTTGCCGACATATATTATATATACAAACACTTAGATATAGGCAACAATAATAGTTATATATATATATATACACAAAAATAATCAATTTTTGAAAGAGAAAGAGCATCCGACGGTGAACCCGGTGCTCGCGGCTCAATCGTCGTCATTCTTGCATTTTAGATCTTAGAGAATCAAAAATTGAGTATTTTTCTAAAAACCGACACGCCAAAGACACACACAGTCCTAGCAATCGAGACTAGTAATTAACAATAATTCAGAAGTGCCAGTTGTAATGCAGAAAATTAACATATAGCGTATTTAGCAGCAGAGACAAATACCATGGAGGATCATTCTGTAGAGTTAGTGCAAAATACACCATCTGTGACGTATATATATATACATATATATATATGAAATAAATTCATTGTATAAAATTGGTCGAACTTGCATCCCGCATTCAATGCATTCGCATAAAGAGCGAGACGCGCACATGTCGTTGAACTGGCATGTGTGCGCGTTAACAATGACCATGCATAAAAGCAACGCAACTTTAAACGACCATCACGTCATCGACCCGGAACGGAGTGGAAGGACATTTTATCGGCAAGCATAAATGAACGGCGTACATAAAACGCGGTAATATACGACGGCGGTTGTGTCTCAAAGAAATTACAAGTCTTTGCTCCTGAGCTTATACGTATACATGGCATTCACCATTTTTGGATCCAGGATGGATGGACGTCAAATTTTTACCCAAGTAAAAAATGCTTTTTCAAAACTTTCTTTTTCACTCAATAGCAAATCACGTGCACTCTGTTTACTTAGATTTATATTCATCTCTGATCCTTCTGATTTAAGTGATTCTTCTACAAATTTTTTAGTAGATTTAATTATATCACTAGACACCCAAACGGGACAATTAAGAAAATTTTATTTTCCTAAGAATAAAGTTGTCTTAATGTACCATTTTATCTTTATTTTTTATTTTATTTTTTATCTTAATTTTTTCTTGCAAACTTAAATTCAAACTTCGTAGATACCTACTTGACAATTGCAGGTCCGTTTTCGGTTTGGAAGGATCGCGACAAGTGTGTCAAGTGATATCGCACGGATGATAATATCTCCGGACATCGCAATCGATAACCAGAAGATTGCAACATGGTAAATCGATTAAACATAATTTAACGTAATAATAAGAGCAAATTTTCATATATTTCACGCAAGTATAGGTGATGAAACGCTCGGAACATATATTAAGATTACGTCTAAACGATATATCGCATGTGGATTCGAGATACATGCGATCGTTTAGTTTTCTTAGAATTGTTATCAATAAATTTTACGACTACTTTACAATGATAAACGGAAATTAACGATAACGTTGCTCTAAGTTGCACATAAAGCGGCGCGATTATTAATGCAAGTGCCTCTTTGTCTCACATGATTTATAGATATATCTAATGCCCATAGATATAACTTTCGCAATATCTTGCGTAACATGTTATTTGCGTCTAATTGCGCCTAATTTGAGTGTAACTTATTGACATACTACTGTGCATTAGTGTTTTGACGCTTCGACGATTAATCTTATCTAATCTCCATTTTTTATTCGATGTGTTTATGATTCTTTAAATGACGCATTAATCTCATCTTGCACACAGAGCGTCCCATAATCTGCGCGTACAAATTGTATACAATTCTCTGTGAATAGAAAAGGCAATATTTTCCTTTGGTAAAATTAGTCCGAGTTTTTGAATGCGAGCTATTTATGACTAAAATAATTGCTTCTTCCGGCATAGAAATTGTAGGCGCACAAATTCTGAGAGATTATCCTGCAACAAGCAACAGTCGTAAAGGTATCTGCAGATGCGCTGAGCAAATTAATAAGCGACAGCGACGCAGTCTCCGACTCTTGTACGGGAATTAAAAAAAAAACAAATAAGATACAGAGTGTGATACGTCAGTTATCACTGCGAATTATACACACAGTTTTTGAATTACGACATCGTCGCGCGCAATAATGTACAACGCATTCGAGAGATATTGATCACGAGATTCAGAATCTTTTCCCTACAGAATCACTATTGGTTACCGGTAAACAAATGTGCCGCCCTGCAGGGAAACTGAACGTGTACGCGGTGTACGTTCGTTCACAGTGTTCGCACACGTGCAACGATACGCGCGCATTGCGGCTGTACGAACTGCAGGAAGAAGGTAAACGAGTTTGCCCCAGTTTTTGCTTACGTCTTGCACTGCAACATTCCTTTATTAATCGCACTATCCCATCATAGAGTACTAAAAATCGCTATCGACTGTACTATAAATAAAAAAAAGAAAAAAATTGTATTACTTTCACTTGTCAAAGTACGATTTCTCTGATACAGTTTATAACTGACACAATTGATAACAATTTTTCGTAAATTTAGAACTCTGAAATTTCCTTTTCTTTTTTAATTTCGTTTATAATTCCATTCAATTCTCCTTTTTCAAAATAATCTTTAAATACTGCATGCAGATATCTTTACGAGAGATATCTAATGCCTATTTCCGTCTGATTTGTCATCAACGCGACGGCAAAAAATGTATCAAACGCCACCCAAGCAGAACAACAATCATGACATCAGAATAACGTAGTAAAGTTAAAATATTTAATACAAGTACTTCTTGATCAGTTATATAATTCATTTTAACGATATCGTCAATTATTTGACTCCGAAAGAGTCGATAGTTCTGTTTCGTGCGTTCTCGACGGGGATATTAATAAAACCGGAGGCGCGAATAACGCAGAATGCTTACAGAACGTGTTAAAAGTTCAACGAGGATCAACAACTCAACGGCACAATCGCGTATCAACGGTTAATGTTACCTACATCATTTTTGCTTTACACTGGCAAGCTCAGCGTAATTTTAATTAGCTAGTTGTATTACACAGACAATGAATCGCAGTTGAGACAATTAATAATTCAAAGTCTGAAAAGATCAACGACATTCGGCATTGAAAATATCATATATCTGAGAGATAGTATACCGCACCTTTTGTGTGCAAATGATAAGATAATTTTACAATATATATGTATATGTATTCTACTATAAAAGATTTATTTGTCTTAATGACGCGATTCTATAAATGATGCATCAGTAAGCAACTTAAGAAATATAAAACGCGACGCGTAATAGATCTAAACCGCGTAGAGCGATACTTCCTGCAAGTTTTATTTGGAAACGTGCAAAGCAGTCCGACATATTTTCAAAATGTGGATATTGCAAATGAATAACGAACAATGGTTATTAAATGTTAATAGATTGAACATGCAGATTGACTGCGAAATGTAAACGTAATACTTAACAATTTATAATTCGTATAAATATGAAAAAAAAAGGATTAAGGTACAAAAATTTTCGATATTCCGCGAGATTTACATTTCCTCCGTATGTATGCGCTGCAGGAATATAGATTACCAGCGCGCTATTCTCATGTAAATACGTATACAAAATCCTTTTTGACTATGCAATACGCATATATACATTGTAAATTTCAATGGGGCTGTTTTCTTATGCGAAACGCAATGATCTATAAGTTTATTTGCGACAGAAACAAAGTAAATAAAACATTGGCTATTAATTAACTATTACATATACATATATACAAATTGGGCGCGTAATATAACGCACGTAACATAACGCGGTTAATAACCGACAAAGAATAAGAAAATTTTATAGTTGCTTTTCTAAAAGGGAAAAATTAATAAGAGCATTTATATGAGATAAAACTTTAAGAAATTCAATAGAGTTTGTCTTTATTGTTTTCTCTCTTTCTTCTTCTGAAAATGACAGAATAACTCAATTATTAAAGAGATCTATTTATTATAAAATTATATATATATATATATATATTGAAATTAAATAATTAAAAAATGAATAATAAAATAATAAATCTCGAGAAATGAAGTATCTTAAAGATATATGGCTCTCGAATTCGATTTTGAAAAAATACTTCTGTTAAACCAGTTTCGAGTAAGAATCAGTGTGAAATACTCGTCGAACGGAAGCATAATGATTAGGAAAATTCCGTGACTGAAAATTGTCTTCATATATGTACTATCGGTAGCGTGATTCATCGAAATGAGACTTGAGGCTCCACTTAGCGACCCACAATTCCAACTGTGAAAGAACTAAAAGAGACACGCGACCCATAAAACGAAGTATCGCGTTAATTCTTTTTTTTTCTTCCGCACGCGAACTTTGACCGGGTTCGAAAAGTATCTCTCCTTTTTATTTCTCTCTTCCTCCAGGCAGCTGTCGGAGAGAAGAATGCCGCAGTATTATACGACATTGTCCGCAACGACGTCGGTTGCGGCAATGTGTTGCCAACGATACGTGTGTTTAATCGAACTATTAGCTAATTGCCTGCACCGTGCTCGCGCACTATTATTATACTTCCCTTATACCGCGATGATCAGATTGACGTAATTCAATTCTTGAAGAAGCGCGCGTGGCAATACGTACTTTGCAGGAGGAATCGTGTGTGAATTTTAGCGATTGTATGTATAACATTATAATTATTATCATTAAAAATGTTATGTTAGTGTTACTAATAATATAATTTATATACATATAAAATATATATACCTCTTTTATATGTATATATATATTTTTTTTATTACATTCTTTTGTTACTTTTAACAATAGGTAAATTTTTGGGTAAATTTTAGTACAATTTTAATTGAAATTTTAGTAGACACCGAGAAGTTATTTACAAGCATAAATAATCGTAAAAATTAGAAAGATACGATATAAATGATGACCTCTTCGATATTTCCTTCGATATTATCTCAAGAGAAAATTCTAAATTCATCAGAACAGTGTTTCAAATAAAAGAGATTAAGATATTTGTTAAGTTTAAATTCATAAAGGGATCTATTCTTTGTACTTCGGTCTTCCTTCTTGTCATAAATCTTTCTTATCTGCTGCACAGCATAAAAAGATACATTTGCGAGGCAAATTAGAAATGTAGACGACGACATGTCTATTAGAATATTTTACGCACAACAGTGTCAGTTTGTTTGCTAACGTTTCTTTAGAATAGCGTAACGCAGCGAACAAAGTAGAGGATTCAGCGACCGAGTTATTCCCTATCATTATTTGCAATTAACAGAAATCTCTTTCTCGCGTAAACTCTTTTTTGCTCTCCGCGTTATCTTCGTTGTTACATAAGAATGATACGACGAGACTCGTCGTTTGTTTAATAACTATCTTAAGGCTCCTGACTATAGTCACCGTGACTAAAAATCGTGGAAACGTGACTAAAAATCGTGACTTAAAATACTTCTAAAAATTGACGGAAATTATCCTTTCTTTTGCTAAGTCAGTAAACAGTCAATAAATAACGATAAAAGACACGTAAAGTGAAATCTAATTCAGGTAGCAAAAATATATGACAGATGTTGAAAGGAGTGAAAAATATGCCTCTATACGTATACTAAAATTCTGCAAAGATTACTTTCCATCCATTTTTACGAATTTGATAAGTAAGAGACAAGTCACATTTTTTTCACAATTATAACCACATAATAACGAAATGGCATGCAAGACAAAATTTTGTCGTCAATACTTTTTACCGTAAGGCTCGTTCTACAATTGCCGTAAGAATTGCCGACAAATTACAGTCGAATGTAAAAAGACTATTCGATTGTGATTGGTCAATTCTTACGGCTTACGATTTACGATCCGACATACGACATATTGTAGAACGAGCCTTAGTACGCTGAACAAGATTCTCATTCCTACTGCGATGCATCATCCCTGCAATCAACACGGAATTCTTGGCTGAGTATAATCAGGAGACTTAAATCCTCTCAATTTTGAATATATCGCGATAATAATTACTGTCTGGAAAAAGCTCATGGAATTCGGACCTTTAAATTTGAAACAATCTTGAGAATTATATAATATTCCCTGTGAATATATAGTAGAAGAAAGGGAATAAGGCGGAGAAGCAACGTGACGCGGTGTTCTAACAATAAGTTTTGTGAAAGGAGAAAAAGAAAAAACCAGGTATTTGGCCATCATTTCTGAAGGAATATTATCTTATTACTCTAACAAATATTGTTAGAATGATATTAAATTCTTTTTCTTCCCTGAATGAAAATATCTCTGCAACAATTTCATTCTTCTATAGATACATTTTTTAATGTAAAACCTCGTTTTTCATAAATGTATATTTTTTCGTATTATAATAATATTGCAAAATTTTAAATAATTCCTTAACATTTTTGATGCGGCTTTGATTCTTCTAATCACTCACGTTAATAATATTTCTAAAAAATAATTATTTTGCAAAATTTTTAATTTATTTTTATTTTAATATCTTAATATTTTAAGAAGTGAAATCACTCGTTAAAACCGCTTATCCGCACCAACTGATATTTTTTAAATTCATCTAATATATATGTAATCCACGTGTATAAAAAATGTCATAAAATCAGAATTTGATTTCGAGAGGTTTCCTTATTAAATAAGCTTCTTTGAAAAGAAAGGAGATTATAACAATCATTATACGACCTGCTGCATAAATTTTTTTTCTCCGAAAAAAAGGATCATTAAGGGATTATAAGAGTAACAAAATTTGAGAAGGAAGAAGGATAACGGTCGTTGTTAACGGTCGAATTGCTGCTGCATAGATCTAATTCTTTTTCGAAAAAAATAATTACTTCACAGGGATCACGAGAGCAGCGGAATTTGGGAGGAAGAAGATTGAACGGTCAGTGTTTACGGTCGCCCAGCTGCTGCATAAATCTTTTTCTTTTCCGAAGAAAAAGGACGTCGAAGACACTAAAAAAAAAAAACAACGGAATGAAAAGAACAGCTAGAACGAAGAGTTCTTTTGTCCTTCATCAGGTAAAAATTTCTTTTTTCGTCCTTTTTCTTCTTTCATGAGTGTCTGTCGCCTATCGAGTCATAGAATGTTAATCTTTATCAGTAAAATTATCGAGAGGAATTTAATATCAAGTTTATCTGTGGCGGAGAGAGGTAGCCGATGTTTGTGCTAACTTGGAATATTTCTATAACGTATAATATTCTTTAATCTTTTCCTTTCTCGAATAGAGAGAAAAAAAATTAAGGATCGATGACTTGGACATATCGATTAAATGATCCCTCCTGATTGAATTAATTTCTTCTCCTCCTTGTCGAACGACAAGTAATTAACAATCCGCACTAATGAAAATGATAATCGCCGTTTGATCCCACCGATCGAATTGCTCTCATCTAAATATTTAATTATATAATTCGTTATCTCTAATCTGATCTTCTCCACGTGTTAAATAAAAAATTAATAATTCTGTCCGCGTAACGCAGGTATTACAAGTGATTGGAACTCGAAATCGCCTTAATGTATCAATATAGATTTTAACTTTCTCGATTTAATTTTATCTCTAATTCTCTTCAATTTTATCTCTAAAATTCTTAGAACTAGAGAAAAGTAAAAAGTAAATTAAATTGAGATTAAAGTTAGAACCATATTCTGTAATCTTTAATGATATCGAATGATTGGCAATGTCGCATTAAGGTGGTTTTATCGAGCAAGTCCCAGTTAAAAGTTAGTGCCTCCATATGACTAATAACACACACTATCGAGTTGGCGTTAAGCGATAAAACCACCTTAAACAACTTTTTCCATGATAGCGACAAAGTTAAGAAAATTCAACATAAATAATTAGAGAGGATAATCCGAGAAGGGACGTTGTTGAACTTGTGACAATTTTGGTTACTGTGTTGGTTAATAAACAATTATATGAAATAACAGTTTACATTTATTATAAAAAAAGAAAAGGTCGTTCGCTAAATTGCTAATTATAATATATCGTTAAAAGATTGCAGAATATAAGAGCTCTTAACGTATAAGACATTTAATTTGCTAGATAAAATGAATTCTGCAATGAATTAATCGCAGGATGCCCTCCTCGTTTTCGCGCCTGGAACTGGAAAGCCGGAGCGCGCGGGGGATGCGCACGCACGGATCCCGGATCCGCGGGATACCCGCGGTTGATATCGGGTTGATTTCTGATAAAAAAAAAAAAAACAGGCCGCGCGCGGGCAATTATATAGCGGGATCGGCGGGTGTAACAGGCCGTGCCAACGGCGGGCGCCGCGCGTCCTTCAAACGTTCCCTATCGATTCTCGCGGGTCGTATATTACTTCGCGGCTCGCGCCGAGGCATGCTAGTCGACGCTATCACATCGGCATCGCCGTCAGTGACGGTGCAGATCGTCGTCGGATCGGATAGCGCGGGGACTCGCGTGCGAGGTAAGGCCCGTCTCCTCCGAACCGTCGCGCGTACTGTACCTCTCTCTTTCTTTCTTTCTCGTTTTTCTTTTCCTTTTCGCTTCTCTCTCTCTCTGCCAAATATCCTGACCTATAGACATATCATTTTATTTTACCCAGGACAAGGGGATTCGAACGGGGACTTATAAATTCACTAACGCTCAATAAACTAATCGTATTCTAATGCTTTCGGTACAGCTGTATCGTTATATTTTTTTATCTTTTGCAAACGGAAACGAGTTCGTGCCTCGTGGAGGTTATTTACGCGACAAATCTAACATATCTAACATGCGTATATATATATATCTAATGAAATGAAACACGTATGTAACGTGTGTGCGTGGGTTGCATCGGTCGTATGTGTGTGTGTGTGTGTGTGTGTGTGTAATATACCCATTCGTTTTCGAGATGCAGAAAGTGCAGAAAGTGGGTGCAACTGGGAGCGCGGCGGCGGCGGCGGGCGAAGCTGCAGCGGGGCCGGGGAGAGATCGGGAGAAGAGCGGCGAGCTGTATCTCCTGGAGCGGGCGCACTCGAGCGGTCCTCCTCCCATCCTCGAGATGTCAACGGACGACGACGACGGGATGTGCTGCAACTCGCGGCAGAACGGCATCGTTCAGCCGCTGCTCACAGGTACGTATAGCGCGAGCGGAAGGCGGCGGGAGGCGGCGTGGAACGCGCACGCCTCCCACCTCGGCGATCCCGCGCGTCGAGCTTAACCTCAACCTCACTCTCGTCGCCCTCGTCCTCGGGGAAACGCGTCGACCGCGCGAGAGAAAGAGACTCGGCCTGCCGAGGGGGGCAGCGGAGCGACGACGTTTACTCTCCCGGAGTTTTGCGTCCGCCTTCTGCGCGGAAAAATGAAAAAAAAAAAAAAAACGTTTCTCGCACGAGACGAGAGCGAGACAATCTCCGCGTTTTCTCCAACGCGAGGATTTTTCTTTCCTCCCTTTTTTTTCCACACGAATGATCAGATCGGCGACCGATTTCCTCGACGGGGCGCGCGGATGGCGTGAAGGTCGAGAAGGGCGGTGAAACACACACAGGGATCATTCATCGTTGTTTTGTTTTGCTGAATTGTATGTTGTACGACGGGCGTCCTTGCCGAGCGGAAAGGGCCGTACGTCGTGCATACGTACCGTATGTAATGAATCCACGCGATATTATCCGCGCGCGCGAGTACACGGACGAGGAGCGTGATTATGTTTGTAAATATCCTGACGATGATGTAAGCCGCGCGCAAACATCACCGACTGGCGTATCTCGCGCGCGGCGGAGATACCCACGTCCGTCGATGCGAACCTGCTTAGAATGTGGCACAAAGCCGCTTTCACATGCACAAAAAGACGCGCGCGTTATCTTGGATACGTATATACCTATGCAGCGCAAAATGCAGTCTCTGAGATGAAAAAAAAAAAACGACGCACTGGAGACGTGCAATTTTTCCGTCGGCAAAAAACGCGGTTTTGATCGCAGTTTACGCGATAATCACGGGAATATCGAATGTACAATTTAGTCCGAATCGTCCGGTTGCGCGGTTTTGTTTCTTACATAACTTGTAACTGTTACATTCGACGTTATGCTACGAAGCGTTCTCTGTAAGAATCTCTTCGAAATGACGCTGAATTTTTCAGATGTTTTTCATCGTATTTTCATACTTCGGAGGCTTTATTTCTCATTCACTGAAGAAAGGACGACGCGTTTTGTTTTCAGACTTGTATCAAATCACTATGGCTTACGCCTACTGGAAGAGCGGCAAAATGAACGACCACGCCGTGTTCGATTTGTTTTTCCGCAAGAATCCTTTCCAGGGGGAATTCACGATCTTCGCCGGTCTCGAGGAATGCATAAAGTTCTTGAATAAATTTCATTATTCCCCTAGTGGTATGTATTCGCCGCTAGCTGCGTACACACATATTTTTTACTCTGTTATAGATTATGGATATATATGCGATATGAATATGTATTATATGTTATGGATTATATTATACATTGTCTTTTCTATCGCAGATATCAAGTACCTGAAGTCGACTATGCCTGCTACGGTAGACCAAAGATTCTTTGATTATCTGCAAAGTCTCACTGCGAAAAATGTCACGATATACGCCATAGACGAGGGATCCGTCGTATTTCCAAGGTCAGTTTATGAAAGAAAAGCCTTATATATTATTCTTGAAAAATCAGCATTTATAGACATCATTTTAGAGAAACTTATATTATTACACACAGTCAGACGATTGAAAGCTTTTAGCGCGTTTATGTAAATAACGAATTAAAAGGATATTTAAAAATTTTAATTATATCTTTATTGTAACTTTAACTTACTATGCATTGGTTGAATAAATTTACATTGCTTTGATTTTAATTCCAGAGTTCCATTGATAAGAGTGGAAGGGCCATTAATTATGGTACAGCTCTTGGAAACAACTCTATTAACATTGGTCAACTATGCGAGTCTAATGGCCACCAACGCGGCGAGATATCGCATGGTCGCCGGGAAGAATATAACGCTGCTTGAATTTGGTCTTCGAAGAGCGCAAGGACCCGACGGAGGATTGAGCGCGTCTAAGTACAGCTATGTTGGTAAATACTTCATACTTATCTCAATTATCGCTTATAGTTCGATAAAGTCCACGCGTATTGCGCGGAATCATGCTATAAATTATTTAATAAAGCCGCGGTCTCAATTCGTCACGTTTAAAACGAAGTGATAACTGTAAATTAAATTAAAGAGGATAAATTCGCATTGGAACAAAAAAAATTCCATTGCATAAGAAATTTGCGTCAGTTGCCACTGGCTATCAGTTGCTATTTTTGTTCGCATTGCTCACACTAATTACCATGCCTGGCAATTGTACGCTGTTGCAATGACCTATTCTGCTAAAGCGTGTTCGTTACAAAAATATAGGAGTTTGTCGCATTGTATGTATGTTTAATATACTGTGTGTACATGCTGATGAAATATCTAATTATCTTTTTACCCATAATATATTTTGAACAACGGCTATATTTTTATCTGTTAACTTCGTAAAAAGTTTGAAATATAAAAAGCTTTACACACGTATATATGTATTGTATATATATATATATATACAATACATATATACATACCTATGCCATTCCGCAATGTGATATATAATGAAAACGGAGGTGTCTGGTACCACTCAATCACCCTTACACTATACTTAACAATTTCGTGAAAAGTGAATCAATACATTGTTCCACTCAGTGCCAGTTGGTACTGTCTAGGTGATGAGTAACAATTTAGGAGGTCAAATTCAGAATATATAGTCTTGACTTATTACACACACAAGCGCGCGCACGCATACCCGCATACATACATACATACATACATGCATATATGTATGTTGGATGTCTCATGCGAAACTAATTAGTTGTTCTTTTTTAACGCGTATGAGGAAGTAGGAGAAGTAAAATATCTTCTAATAGACAATTTGGCAGTTTTATTTATACGTAAATTAAAAACAATCGGAGATATTTTCATCAAAAGAAATAAAAGTAGAATTATTTTAATACATTGAAATTGGATGAAATATGTGTAACAGGATATACATAAATAAAAAAATTAAATTCTAATCTTTTTAGAATGTTTTCACTTAGCAATGTGAGCTAAATTTCATACAAAATCTACATAACTATATATTTTGCCTATAAAGAAAAAAAGTATTCAATGAGATAAATTTATTTTCTCGTGAAATTGCACATTATGACTTGTGCATATGAGGTAAACTTTTTTTCCGTCGTGATATCGTACATTATAGAATATAAACAGATGCATTCCGAGACTATAGGCTTTCGACCGTCAATAATGAATATCTAAAGGAATAAACGCGTTTAATTTTAGTAATTTTTCGTAGGATATACCCTGTTTATCATGTAAGATGAAATAGATCAAATTTTTTAATCATATTTCAATTATTCAATACATGTGAAACATAAGTAGAATTAAATTAGGGACAATTTAAATTAAATTTGAAATAATTTATTATATTACAGGCGGATTCGATGGGACTAGTAATGTCTTGGCTGGAAAGTTATTCAATATACCTGTATGTGGCACACATGCACACGCATATATCACATCTTTCACCTGCATCAGCGATCTACAAGGGAAAGTAAGTATATTCGATAAGAAACTTCTCTTATAAATTGTCTCTCATAAATAAATGTTGAATTAAATATCGAGTCTCTGCGTAATGTAGTCGAAAGGAGAGAAAAAAAGAATTGATCCGTTTCTCTTGCAGACATTGGCGCATAAGCAAACGGGTGACGTTTTAGATGTATTGGAACTGGCTTGTAAGCATCGCGAGACTATTGCTGACGACTTGGGTGCTTTAGCCTCGCAGGCGTCCGGCGGAGAATTGGCAGCTTTGATCAGTTATGCCGTCGCTTTCCCAGAAAGATTCACCGCTCTTGTGGACACGTATGATGTTAAGAGGTACGTACCTACGTACGCTCTCGTTTGTCGCTTTAACTCTCGTTTAATGCTTTGAATCGAAAGCCTGACATTTGTTTTTGAAAATTGCATCCTGCAAGCTTTGGCTACTTTTCTTTTGATGCGTCTATTTCGCATAAATCTTTTGCATGGCGTTTGCATAAGTTTGTCATTTATATTTATTTCTTTTACGTTAGTACGGTATGTCTCGTTTATTTTGCTATTTGATTTGCTGTGCTTTCATTAATTATTTTATATTATGATTTGATTTTTATTTCGATAATTATAAATAGTGTAGATATTTATTAATTATTTTAATAATTTTATATATATAGTATCTGAATTAACGAGAAGAAGTACGGACAGTATATTAGAAATAAATTTTCGAACGTGAACAATTGTGGATTATTCAAAATAAAAATGATTTCAGATATTGTAAGCGCATATTTTGAGACATTATGTATATTATGCACGTTAATTGCTGCCAATGTATATATTAGCTTATATTTGACGTATGCAGTAGAGGGTGTTTGTGAAACACACATACATCAATAATAATTAGCGTACAATAATTAGAATAGTTCTAATTACACATAGACGACGTAGCGTATGTAATTTGTAGTATCGTAATTATGGCTTCCAAGATCAAATACTATATATAATACTAAATACAAAGATCCTTTTTCATCTCATCTTTTTTTATCTACATGGATAAAAAGTAATTAGCGTAATTAAATTCATATTCAATGAGACAAATATATTCCTAATTCGATCTCTACTACTAGCGATTCAATAATTCAGTTTTGTCAGCGCGTCGCGAACAGAGCATGACGACATGCGTATCGACACACTGTAGCCTAACAGGAGTGTGTTTGTAGCATTGAGACGTCGACCAGGGGGCAGGCACAAGTGGCCAGCCTAAATGTAAAGAATAAACTTCTAACTAACGGGTCCAATACACACGCCCAAAACCGTGTGAGAAACAACCCATTTATATCAGAGCCAACTTCGCAACTTCACAAGAATGGCTTTTTAAGACGAGGCGAATTGGGTGAGCTCTATGTGAGGTACGATATCGCTCTGTTTGCCTGTTTTGCGGAATGCGATTCCTCCTCCCCCCCCCCGCCCATTTTTTTTTCTTGTCAGATCTACGCTTTGCGAATCATATTTTAATTTTTTTGCGACACCAAAGCCTATCATATCCTCTCATAAGCAATATTAGTAATGGCTGAGATCGCATTTAATTGGGATATATAGAGTTATTTTGATAAATTTCTATTACTCGGCAATTTAAGGCTACTTTGAATTGTTTGATAGCTGATGTAATTAATTAAATTTTCTCCTCTGTCCTTCACTTAGAAAATGTTCGAAATATTCTGTAAAACGGGCAAATTGCAAATTATGTTATTATATACTACTATTATGACGTGCCAACTATAAATAAAACAGAATCTTATTTATTCTTGTTAGAATTTAGTTTTTAATCAATTTATACTTGTGATCTTATATAGTGCCCCTCCCAATTCAGCCCCTTAATTTTCTTGATAATTGATATGGGCACATTCCATGTGTTACACAAATATGTACCTTACCTGTTATTCAGACACATGCAATTCCGTCGCGAACTTTGCGGCAAATTTAATATACAGAAATGCCAAAACACTTAAAATATTATTAAAAAAAAAACAATAAAAAAAGCAAAAAAAATATATTTCTAAACGAAACGCTAAATTTATTATGATATTTTCATATCATCGATATGGTATCAATTGGCTGTATTTGTATGTTTGCCAGAATATCATAAAATTTTCTTTTCTGGAAACATTTTAATGACAATGTAATAATCGGTTGAAATACTATTATCTCTGTCTGTATCAATTAATAATGCGAATGCGTAAGTTTAAGTAGCTTTAGTTTCTTCATTGTGTGCTTAATCTTTTATGTGCGGTGTTTCTTTTATTAGTTCTAAACTTGGCAAATCTAAGAAAATGACGTTGCAAAAAATATCTAAGAGTAACATGAAATTCAAAAAAAATTTTTTTAATTTGAATGAAGATACATTTCTTATATAAATGAATTATTTAAAAACATATATTTTTTTAACTTTTTTATACATTAAACAAGAGAAATTACAAACGAAGAAATATATTCTCACAGAATATATACATTGCCAAGTTTAGACTTAATTTCACGTAACAGAATTATAGCATAAAAAGTGTGTGACTGGATTGCTTTTCAATTGATTCATTTAGTTCTAGTTGATAGAATTATGGAGTAGTATTAGCTACCCACAGATATCTCATAGATATATATATTTTACGAAATAGGAGCGGTCTGTTAAACTTCTGCGCGGTAGCATTAGCTTTGAACGACTTGGGATACAGAGCCGTTGGTATCAGAATCGACAGTGGCGATTTAGCGTACCTCAGTAATGTGGCGAGAGATATTTTCGAGAAAATTGCCGTCAAGTACGACATACCGTGGTTCGCAAAACTGATGATTTGCGCGTCCAACGACATCAATGAGGAGACAATAATAAGCCTGAACGAGCAGGTAAAGACTTACGAATCGCGGAGTAGTATGATAGTTAATATACCGAAGTTTAGTGATCTGATGTAAAGAGCGTGGACGTTTTTCAGAGTCACAAAATCGATTGCTTCGGGATCGGAACGCATCTCGTGACGTGCCAGAGGCAACCGGCACTGGGCTGCGTTTACAAAATGGTGGAAATTAACGACGAGCCGAGGATTAAACTCAGCCAAGAGGTCGGAAAAGTCACAATACCAGGCAGGAAGGGCGCGTACAGACTGTATGGATCGGATGGCTACGCGTTGATTGATCTCTTGCAGAAAACAACGGAGGAACCGCCGCAAGTGATGCAGAAGGTTCTTTGCAGGCATCCGTTCCAACAGACGAAAAGGGCTAATGTTACACCATCCCGCGTGGAGTCTCTGCACAAGGTATTATCCGATTAAAATAAGTTTTCAAATTTTACTTTATTACATATATATAATTATATAGTATAAAATATTCTTTTTATGTGTAACTTAAATTCCTTGATTAACACAACTCTGTATAGTTTAAATTCCTTGATTAACTCAAAATTTAGTTTTTTTTCTTCCTGGAAATTTGATTATCCTATCGCGTTTTTTAATATATTTATACAAACTATTCGTCAATTATTTTATAAGCGGCTTTACATATCATTATTGATATTACCGATGTTAGTAGTATTTATGATTTATAAGTAAAAACATCTTACAGATATACTGGAAGGACGGCAAACTGTGTCAACCATTACCTACATTGCAAGAAATTCGCAATAGAGTGCAAGAATCTCTCAACACATTGCGTAACGATCATAAAAGGAATTTGAATCCAACACCATATAAGGTAAAAATTAATATTTAGTAATTTGAGAGTTGCTAAGGATACACATGTACATATTATTGAATACAGATTTTTCGATTGAATTTGAAATTATTTTTGAAGTAAAGAATCCAAATAATACTCTTTCTAAAGTGTCTAATGTTTTACAATTTTTTGTGTATTATTAAAATATTGTTTCATTAAATTATTGTTAAAATCTCGAAAGATTATTCAAACATTTTTTTTTCTTGATGTCTGTTACAGGTAGCTGTCAGTGATACTTTATATAGATTTATAGACGAACTGTGGTCTCAGAATGCGCCGATCGGAGAATTACGGTGAAGCATACTACTCTTATACAAGAGTATCGTTAAACTAGTCTCTAGCAATTATAAACACAGAGTAATAATCGAATCAGGAATCACAGTTTTACAGACGAAATGCATAAGTCTTTTCTCTAATGTAAGAGCTATGACAACGTATCATCGCAATCGTATGTGTGTGCACCATAAACACGATTGCGCCGTAGAATATAATCACGAAAGAGAAAGAGAGAAAGAGAGCGGGGATCCTAAAGAGCGTATTTTTTACATTTTCCATTGTTGAAAATATCGAATTATATTATCATCGTCGCAACAATATATTTTGGTAAATCTTGCGCAAATCGTATTATAACATACTTGTATAGTTTTACACATTTTATAGAGAGCGAGATGTTCCGTTACAGAAGTCTATTTACGAGAGCAGTTAGAGCTTCGTCGCGCACACATACACGTATTCTTATTCCTATTTAAAAAGAAGTAAAAAAAAAGTACAAAATAGTGTACAAAAAAAAGTACATATGTGTGTGTGAAAGAGAGATTTTAGGCATGCACAGCTAAAAATTCCCGAATAGGGATTAACTCTATAGAATTAGTGTAGATTATATATGTATACACGATTGAAAAAGTAACATTCAACGAATGGCAATATTCGATAGCGTAATTGTTTCAGTACATTTTTCTTATTTCAATCACGTTATGTTGTGTTGTTGGTCTTTCTCTTATTTTTCTTCTTTTTTTTTGTATTTTCTTTCCATCCCTTTTGGAAGATATGTTCCGTTATATACACTTGTAAATTTTGTATTGTATTAATTATTATTACGTATTTGTAATTGCTGAAGACTGCTTTAATAATATTCTCGTATAAGAGTGACACATTCGATATATTCACCATTGTTATTTACACGAATGTACAAAGAGCGCGTATAAGCATAATAATTATTATAGATATTTATAATTTTACAATACATGTACAATATGTATAAAAGTCTGTATTGATGTATACATATATATACCAAGAGAGGAAAAGAGAGAGATAGGAAAAAAAAGGAGGAAAATATGTAATATGTCTCAAATTAATATTTGACAATTTGAAATAACGAGCAAAACTCAAAGCAATAGTGAATTCTTTTGTTGTGTACATATTTTAATTGATTTATGATTAGGCAAACGCAAATAATGTGCATGTAAAATTATGTCCTCGATTGACTGTTCGAATATTTATTTATTCAGGTTGGAAACATATATATCGCTCGAGTAATTTTTAATACTATGCTACACTTAAGATTGATTTACGATTAATTGTTTAGGTTTCTTATCTTGTTTTTAATCATGATTTACCGCATATTTTCAGCATAGATCTGTCTATCCTTTTGTAACGCTCGTTTACAATACATAAGCATATTGTAAAATATATATTAAAAAAATGTTTTTTTTAATAGTGAGAATAAATAGCATATAGCTGTTACATATCTTCTCGATTATGATTGAATCCTTGTCAGTTATCCATTCCTCTCTCTGCGATGTATTTTCTAAAATGTAATTGTTTAATTTAAACAATACCTATGATGAAATGCGAGTGATCTTATCATTCAGAAATGAGAGATTTTTCCAATACAATAAATTACGACATTTTTTCACATGAATATATACGCATGGATATGTTTATATTTTATTAATGTGTAATCTACCAACAATATGTTTCTTAATGACATGCATATATATAGCATACGTTGGCATACACGTGAAACGTGCTAGTGAATGGCAATATCGGCATTAAGTGTTGCGCTGCGAGAAATAAGAATATTTTCAAGGAAGTTGTGGCCTTACGGCCACTGGCCGTTACAGATAGTCGTATTTATTTCGAGGATAGCTTTGACCTGTTGAATTAAATCAACCCGATGAAAAAATGTGGGAATGAATTTGAGGTTATAATTAAGGTTGGTGAACGATTCTATATATTGAAAAATAATAACATAATTTACGATTTTTAATAAACGTTAAATTGTGCATCTTGTATCAAAGAAGAATATGTATTTCCTTTTATTGTGAAATTGACATAACGAATCGTATGGTCAGGAATTTGTCTAAAAAATTTATTATTTTTCCAGAGTGTTTACAAATAATTTTGTAAAATGGAGAGACTCGTGCCCGAATGAATGTCTGAAGATTGGATTTACACGTCGTAATTTATTAATCGTCGTAAAATTAGATTTGTACATTATATATAGATGTAAAGAGAGATTGCTTTACAAGTGGAGGTATAATGCATCAGCCTCAGCACATAAGAACATGCATGAAGATTGTCAAACAGTTGTGTCCGCTGGTGACGCTGACGTGCACCGTACTCGTCATCGCGATTACGATTTACATCAACGAGAAGGTCTCGCCGGTCTTCGTCTTCCTCTGCATGCAGGTGTACCTGAACTGGTACTCCGTGTACAGCATCAGCTCCAAGTCGAGCCCGATGAGGATGAGGGAGATGCAGAGTGACCTATGCAGCGTGGTCACCACCACCCATCATCATCATCATCATCAGCAGCAGCAGCAGCGCAAGCAGTTCGAGCAGCAACCCGCGGACGGCGGCGCGCAGCCGCCGCCACCGCCGCCGGCGCACAACACTGCCTACAAGTTCTGGCACTGCGAGAGGTGCCGGAGCTACATGTGCAAGCCGACGCAGCACTGCGCCTACTGCCGCAAGTGCTTCCACTTCATGGACCACCACTGCTTCTTCCTGGGTGCCTGCGTGCTCCGCCAGAACATGGGCAACTTCATACTCTTCTGCTTCTACACCTCGCTGACGTGCCTGTACTCCCTGTGCGTCCTGGGCCCGTACATGTACGAGAATATCAATCACATAGTGAGGAGCGACGCGGATTACTTCAATATATTCCTGAACTTCTGCTTCCCCATCGCCCTGGCGAGGCTGTTGCACTCCAGGGACAGCTCGAGTATACTTCTGGTCACGGTGTTCGACACGCTCATGTCGATCCTCTGCATCTGCCTGGTGCTCGGTATCTGGAAGCTGCACAGTTGCCTGACCGGCAAGCAACGTTACGTCAACATGACGGGCAGGCAGAATCTGCGGGAGATCTTTGGCAGCTACGGTCTGTCGAATATCATCTTTCCGTACAACGGTCTCATAGGCACGCGAGATATCAACGGTAAATACGAATTGAAGGAAGTGTGAGGCTAAATCGAGTTGTTAAGCGATTAACGAACTTCGATTAGATTTAACATATACATTTCTTTTATTATGTACTTATGTAGCAATAAATACAGTCATATGTACAACATACGCATTCATACATAGATAGAGAACACAGATATCAGCGCATTTTACAATTACCAAATATTCTAGGATATTAATAGTCTATAGGTAGATAGGTATCATTTTCTAACGGGTTACAACCTTTTTCCGAATGTTTGTGACCTTTGCAATTACAACTAGTAGCTCTTTTTGAATATCGCTTTTCATACGTGATTAGTAGAAGTATCGTATAATAGGTTCACGGAAGTATAATTGTTATAATGAGATCATTTTCCAGAGACCGTGTAAATAATTAATTCTCATGTTTCTTATATAAGGTTCGATTCAGAACGTTTGTTGCTAAATTATTATAAGTTAATATAAGTGAATATCTACCTTTCAGGTAGATATTCTATATAAAAAAAAGTATTATTGCGCCTGTGTTTATTTTGTTCCCATATTGATCATTTTCGGATATACGTTTTATTCGGTTCGGTTTGCTTTTTATGTATGTTCGATAGTTGATGTAGTTATCTTCCTAAATTATTTGGTAAACTATGATTTTAATTTATTCAATTATTTTATTTTATTTATATGATTACCAGCATTAAAATTTAAAATGTGTTAAATGATAACACAAAATGTGACAGCAGGAGGCTGAGGATTATATTGAATTTCAATTACAACTGAAATCTAATTATAATTTCACAAACTTTAAGCAATTAATTCTGTAAAGTTTTTCTCAAACAAAATACGACATTGATATCGTGAAAATTTTGAAATCGCAGTTTGCTTAAATTGAGCTCGAGAGAAGAACGTCATTTAATGACATTTAAATTATATCCTTTTTTTGGTAATATGATGCACTTTTCCCTAATTTATTCAGGCATTCTCCGCAACGCACACATACATGCCGTGGAGACTAAAATTACCGTTATAAAAATTGTCTTTATAATTCCGTGTGCTGATTATGCTGCGCCTTGAAGTCATTGGGATGAATAAACAGCCCTTCCATCACCGACCACTGCGTGTGAGGACTGTTTGCAGAATATTCGCCTACTACTTCGTTTTGACCACTGATTGGAGTACCGTAAGTTCTACCACTGACAGCCAGGAATCTATAAACGCACGGTACATTATAATTTGCATACCTAATACCGTCCTTTATTTGTATACTGAAAAAGAGAAGGTTGTACTTACTTTTCGGTGTCGACGTGCTTCAACATAATTGTATCATCTCTCTCCCAGAAATCATTGTTGCATATCAGTATCCAGTTATCGCCGGTATCGCCGTCTCCGTTCTGATCCCCGTAGGCGGAGACCTCCTGCTTTGCGGTCAGGGGTGAGCTAACGAGATGCGAGTGAAGATTCTTCTTCGTCATGATGTGCTCCAATCTGATAGTGTCGCCGCATCTAATCGGTCTCCTATCGAGAAGATCGTCATAATTCGCTTTTATTCAAATAAAAGTGTAGCAATTAATACACGATATAAGCCTCGTAGCTCACCCTCGCAGGCACTGCTTTCCTGACTCCGCTTTGACGAGCCAGTAGGAATTGCCGTCTTCCTTGGCAGTGGTACCCGTTACCGACTGCTGCCCACTGCCACTGCCGTACTTCACCTCGTGGGAATGTAATCTCACATTGTAGTCTACATTCATTAACTTCAGTACAGAGCCGCAGGTTACATGCTGAGTCCCTTTGGCTGCAAGATAACAAATATCATAAGCTCGAGGCATTATAGTATGTGGAGAGAGAAAGAGAAAAGATTTTATATATATGTATGGTGCTTCATAAGCTCCATTTATCATGTCAGATATCAAAGGATCAGATGTCAAAATATCTATAATGCGATTAATGCTCGTGACCGTTAATTACAACGAATATGATTAATTGACGCGAATGAAAGCAGGAAGTTGCAAGAAATTGATTAAGATACGCGGAAGCGCAACGCATATGACATGTACGACGATGGAGATAACATAACCCATCGACTCGACAGTTTATTGGCAATCGTGTACGAGATAAGTGCAAAGCGTACCTTGAATGCAGTTTATGTGAAGCGAAAGTATTGCGAAGCTTGATAAAAGCAGACGCACCGTGTAATCCATCACGATCATTGCTATCGGCAGTAATTAACTAACACGGCAATCGAACGAGAACCGTCACCGGCGATAATACATAGGGGCGTTGAATACGTGTTGGCTTCCCATTGGTTGTCATCCACGTGTCCACGTCCCGACACCAGCGCGATGCTCGTCCTTCTGCTTTGTTTACCTTAGCTCGAGACGAGACAGTATATATTTATATTTGATAGAAGAGAAAAAAACAAGGAGTAAAAGGAAGCCTTCAACAATCTTAAATGTCTTTTCCGTATACTTTTTCAATATATATCTATATATATATATATATATATATATATATATATATACATATAGTATATATATTATAGTTGTAGATAGTAGTAAAAAATATTTTTCTTAAAGTTATGTATCTCCTACATTCTTCGATACAATTGATATTTATATTAGAAATTTATATCAGAAATTATATTTATATTAGATTATATAAATTATATTCATATTAATTTTCAATTCATAGATTATAAAATGAGATTTTTAAAAATTTAAATAATACATCTTTTTCTGCTATCTTTTAATGACTTACACTATTTTTAGATTTAAATGACGAAGGATTAATTCTTGTGTATTTTTGTAGTAGCGTTAAATCACTTCTCAATTCGAATAATGAAATATTTGAAATGTATAAGTTAAATTTTACAATCAAGTTTACTTAATTCAAACGCGGCTAAATTTAACAATTGATCATATCAACGAAAATCGATGGACGAAACAATTCCGATAAGGAGAGAGATGTGGAGGATATAAAACGTACATCGTACTGTTTATACATAACAAATATATTTTCATACCGCATTGGACCCATATTCATTATTCAAATGCTTTACATGCTAACATCTTCCAATTTGATTTAACGATTAAAACTTACATCTTACAGATATGGACTTCTCGCATGTGATGTTTAATATAAAGCAAAAAAGAATATATATATATATATATATATATATATATATATATATAAACGACAGAATGTTACGCGAACAAAATTCTGTATTTGTATAATTCTATACGATTCTCAACGACGCATTGAATAACAGCATGTGCACGAAAGAAAAGAATCGCGGAAGACGTGAATTAAGGTAAACTTATGTGTATATATTAGTCGATGTAAATAAATTTTATCGTTTATTAGAAATGCAATATAAATTATTAATGAACTTCCCGCGTGTTTTCGTAAAAAACATTGACCCCTCCTGCTAAGCGACTTTGCATCCGATAATTATGCATCTTAATATATTAGATAATTCTTAGCTTGAAAAATATCCTCTTATCAAATTAAACAATATACGGACATTTTGCAAAAAACGGCATCTAATTGTTTCCAGTACACGACTTAGGTACCAAGTGTGCCCCTGGGGGAGAGCGGTGGAATGGTGCCACTCCTTTTAGAAAAACTCTCGTACATCCCATGTGCAGAGAACGCAACGATGGAATATATAGAAATTGTCGAAATACAGCTCTCTCGGTCATCTGATCTGCTATGTGGATGACATCGTCGCTTATTAGTACTCAAGGAGCTTTGGACGGGTTTTAGCATAAACGTACGCCGCTATTATCACAAATATCGCAGCTACGGTGGGTAACACAACCGTGAACACTCTCTGCTTGTTCTCGAGAAACTCCTTTTTCCGCTCCTTCTTCTGTTTATTCGTTTCTTTCGTTTTCCCCTTTAACTGCCGCATACTTTACAGCTGCAAATCAACACGATTGCATTAAGACAATTGCGCGGTTTGTCATTAATTACATTAAGACGAGAGTATTCATTCATTTTTCAAATATCTAATGTGCATTATTGAAAAAAAAAAAAACGTACAACGGATTGTACGTTTTTAATAAATAAATTGAATCATGGTGGGAAAAAAACATGAATAAAATACACCATGAATTAAATTAGCGTCGAATCGCTGAAAAGAGGAGCGCGTTAAGTTTTTTAAGTGCCAGAGCGATCGACGTGTGTCGACAATTCGACGGAAACATCAACGGGGCCGGTCTCGACTCTCGATCGACGCGACAACAATCGCGGTGCGACCGTACTCGCCGCGCATATGTTTCAGTGCGATTGTCAACCGATTCGCGAACTCCCCGTTCGCGCGACGAGAGCTTTCCAGAACGGTCTCTCGATTCAAAATCGCCGAGATTTGCTGCACAACTACCTTTGGGCGCGCACGAGGCGACCGGGGGGGGTGCGAGAAGGAGGAGCACGGGTAGAACAAAGCCACGCTCTTCTCGTCGCAGTTCCTGGTGCGGCGCGGAGAGTCAGATTTACGGACACATGACACGTAGCAAAACAGTTGGCACGGAGACGCACCGGTTCTGCCTGTCGCTGTCACTTCCGCACGCACGGCACAGATGATTGCGCCAAGTGCTGCCGACTGCCGAGAACTGCGTTCCTAAATTTATCGCACGAGGCTCTCGACGTGGGATCGACGTGGCTGGGAAGGTTAAGGTATGTACGGAATTCCAGAATTTCTAAACAATTCCAAGGGACACGCGAGGAAGTGTATAGGTACGAATGGTGCGTCACCGCAATGAGATTTGACAGGAGATTAGAATTTCGATATCAATAAATGCATGCAGTACTGTGATCGCTCACTAATCGCGGTTTTAAGCAGCAATCGAATGTATAATTTATATTAAATTCAAAAGTAAGAAGCAATCATGCTCGACTGTTGTATATACAAAAAAAAATTTGATTCATTTTATTGTGATTGGCCCACTGTGTGTGCTTTCCACTTAACGATCAAATAGTTTGACACGACAAGCTCATTTTAACATTGTTGTCACTGGAAAAAAAAAAAGACAAAGTGATGCTTGTGTCGACTTAATTATATCACTAAATGGAGAGCATCATATGAATTGGCAGTCTGCAGAGGGGGGAGGGGGGAGGGGTCGATTGTGTATTTTTAAACGAAGTGAAAATGATAAAAATGAGCAAATTTACTACTAGATGTTGGCCAATGTAATTAAAAATATCTCATTGAATTTGCTCACTTTTGTAATTTTCACCTTATTCCAAGGATACACAATCGACTTTCCAGAATTGACAATCAGGTCAGCTTGCAGAAATCGGCAGTCTGATACGGGCTTTAAGTTTTTCCGTGTGCCATGGCCCTAAAGCATCCTAAAGCATCCATTGCCTTATCATACGCAGTGATCCGCTGACGGGGAATCCCGAGCGTCGAGCGCATTCTTCCCCGCCTTTAATTCTTCGCTCGAAAGTCGACTGGATTATCAACTGGCAGACCATCGGCAATCATTGATAACGTTGCGATGCAGGAAAATGCATTCCGTGATGCAATTCCAGCTCGTCATTGACCGGATTGTCCTTTGCTGAAGGCGTCAGCGGGGAATTACCAAGGAAAAAGAAGACATCCAGGCTTTTCCAGCTTATTCATAATACTTATTCGTGTCGCACGCGAACGTACTTACTGCGTGTGATCGCCCGAAACGTCTGAAGTTCAGGTATGTTAATTAATTTTCATTTGCCGGATATTTTTTTGGAAATTAAATTTCGAAATTGATAAAGTTATACATTTATCCTCAACGTCGTCCTGAGCGTTATCGAGTTAAAAGCCGTGAAGATGTTAGCAGTACGGGATAAGTCAAGTAGAATTTAACCTAATCACGAGCCTAGATTTAGATCAAACTAGTGTAAGCTCTTTCCGTTACTGTAATCACTCATTTATAGATCACAGATTAATATATTTATTTCAATATATTTCAATATGCCAATTCAATTTGTGCGAAGCTATTTGAGGTGGTAAAAAAAAAATAGATTCATTGGTTATGTTTACACTGTTGCGTAAAAATGTAAATAATAGTTATTACGTCCAATTATCTAGCCGATTCTTCGAAACACACTCATTCTTTCTCGCCGCATCGCAGTCAATCGCTTTTCGCTAATGACTTTTCCAAATCACTTAATTGAGCTCCTTCCTTTGTCTCGCTTCCTTCCTTTGTCTCGCGTGTGTGACCGCTACGCGTTCTTGAAATATAAATAAAAGATTTTTTTAGATTCAGATAAACATAAATATTTGCTTTTGTCTCCCTGCTTTGTTTGCAAAAAAGACAAAAGACGCTTACACTAGTTTAGCTTAAAAAGTCTCAGATTGTTCTAAAATATTACATATACTTTTATTATTTTATTACAGATATTTTTTTGTTACGCATGAAAGAACAGACAGCATAAAAAACTTGTTAAAATGAGTTACAAACGTTTTCTCACGGAAGGTATAACGTGTTACAATGGACAGTGGTATTGTTATCGTTGCAAGGTTACATTACAAAATCGAACAGAGGCACAGTGTCACTTGGAGGGCCCTCACCCGCTCAGCAGCACTCTAATATGTCAATTTTTGCAGAAATCTGTCAAATTGACAAATAAAAAATGTAAAAAGTTATTAAGACACGGTATTATAATAAGGGACTTAGATATAGAGCTAGATTACTTTTGCGTACATTGCCAAGTTCCAATTCCTTTAGAGTGTTACTCTCATCATTTTAACGAGGAAAATCACCAAAAACATTTAAATATGTCAGAACATTCAAGTGAGCAGCAAAGCTCAGACGACAATAATACAAATAACGAAAAAAATAACTCCCCTGTAGAAAACTCAACGAAACGTACAACCGAATCGAATCTTTCTGATACACAGCCAATCCGTGAGAAATTTACGAAAGATTTCTTCGTAAATACTAATACTAACAAGCTAGAAAAGTCTGCAGGTAAACAACAAAATTTAAATAAAAATACAATTGACAATAAAAATAAAACCAAATCGAATCTTTCTGCTGAAATACAGACAATCCGTGAGAAATTAACGAAAGATTCCTTCGCAAATTTTAACATTAATGGACTAAAAAAGCCTGCGGATAAACAACGAAATTCAAATAACAATACAATTGCCAATCAAAATGTTCCTGTCGACGTTTCACCAGATGGAAATGATTTAAATCGAGATCTTCCAAGCAACTTTACAGCAGAAGAGAAAAGTACAATTCCTTTGAAGTCTTGTAACGATTCTACGCAGACGGTAAATGAAACTATTGCAGATGTGCCTTATGCACTGATACAGGAAGCTGAAATGTCGAAACATTTCTTGATGCAACATGCAATACGATATGGACCATGGTACTGTCATGTGTGCAAATGTATGTTGTACAGCTTGACCGACGTGGATCGTCATTTGCAAGAAGGTCATCGAAATAGCGGCGCACAAACACCGGATTTTTTGGACAGGTCCACCGAATCGTCGAATTGTACGGATCTATTAAATCACGAAATAATAATGCAGGATAAACTGCAGGATTACTTTTGCGTGCCTTGCCGATGTTCTCTACCTTCTTTGGACCATTTTTATGAGCATTCACTCGGGAAGAAGCACATGCGCATGCTCAATTGTAATACAAAATTCATAAACACTAATATTAATAATAATGGACTAGAAAAGCCTACAGATAAACAACGAAATAACAAAATTCACATCAACGACAATGAAAATATTCCTGTCGATGCTTTACCAGTTGGAAATAATGGACTAGAAAAGCCTGCAGATAAACAACGAAATAACAAAATTCACATCAACGAGAATCAAAATATTCCTGTCGATGCTTTACCAGATGGAAATAATGGACTAGAAAAGCCTGCAGATAAACAACGAAATTCAAATAACAATACAATTGAAAATGTTCCTGTCGATGCTTTACCAGATGGAAATAATGGACTAGAAAAGCCTGCAAATAAACAACGAAATTCAAATAACAAAAAAATTGAAAATGCTTCTGTCGATGTGTTATCAGATGAAAATAATTCAATCAGAAACCTTCCAAGTAGCTTTACAGCAGAAAAGAAGAGTACAGTTTCCTCAAAGTCTTGCAACAAAAATAGTATCAATATTCTGCAAACTTATAAATATGTTGAGACAGCTTTTTGCTGTTTATGCGATATGTTCGTCTATAAAACTACTGTGAGAAATCATATGCGAGAATCGGTACACAATTATGTTGCGTCTATGTTAAACGTTTCCGATCCGGTGTCGCACATTATAAAGTTAGAAGGGAAAAAGAATATTGTTACGGCGTTACAGTTAAATAGTAAGAAGTTCGATGGAACGGTATGGCCAGAATACGCAGACACAGACGCGGCAAAGTATACTTGCGATCAATGCAATAAGATGATCGAGGAGAAGGATATAATAAATCACGAAGTAACAGTGCACAAAAGTAACATGGTAACTTCGATGAGGTTCATTCACGATTGGTCACCTGAGATTAAAAATCTCAACGTCACTGGGATTTGTTATCCTCTGTTCAAATGCTCGTTCTGCAATGAGATAATACATGGCATATTGTCGTTGGAACTTCACTTTTCGAAGTGCGAGCACAAGGAAAATATTAAACTATTAATTGACATTAAGAGACGGGAGTATGACGATAGTTGTGAAAACTTTCAAATTTACTTGGAGCCACTCGAATTCCTGAGTCTAATCTCTTTTGAGAATAATGGCGGAACCGTTCGAATTCAGGAGCAACCTGTGATGTACGTTAAAAATCATTATACAACTCTGCGTGAGAAAGAGAAGAAGTTTACTTACATTTGCTTTGATTGTCGACTTAGATTCTACGAGATCCACGACGCAATTATCCATTTATGTACATTAACACATTTGCGGCAGTATAAAAATATTTTTCACACATATAATTATGTACACAATGTATCTGCGTCAGGCGAGCTTAACGTGAACGAAAGTGAACGTGAAGTAAAGTCTCCAGTTTCCAGGAAGGATGCATCAATTGATAACGCATCATTGAAGAAACGTAAGGACGATGAAATGCAAGTAAATACAGGACAACATCGCGATCTCAATTTGAAAGCTGAAGTTGCTACTGCCAGTAGCAAAAATGGTGGATCGCGTCAAAATGAGGAAAACAATTCTGGCTTTTTCATGTCGCTCGATGTATTCATGGAAATTGATGCATTAATAAAAAAATTTATACCGACTCAGGGCACGCATGTGGATTTCAATAAGGGGAGCGCTCTGGAACGTTATAACAAAAGTTACGAGAAAGAATTTCTTGACTTCGAGGAAATCATGTTTACCTGCAATGAAAGGAAGTTGAAGGAGATTAAATTGAATCTACGGTTTATCCATCCGCAAAATCTTGACAAAATGCTCTGTCTTATATGTAACGATTCTCTGTTATGCGATGTGCAAGCAATATATGAGCATATAAATTCTAAGGAACACGTTACAAAATTTGTAAAATTGTATAATGACAAGGAAGAGTTCGAATTGTTGTTGGATTTAATCAAACCCGCGTATTACCAATATGCCATGTGTTTTGCTTGCAATACGCACATATTGGGAAGATCTAACGTGGATTACAAGAATCATACGGATTGTTCCGCGCACAAGAAAAATCGTCAACGATTGCTCGGTCAGGTGGAAAGCGTATTGAAAAATTTCGAAAACTTGTGGTACAGTATTCAGTATTTCACTTGCGTCGACTGCAGCATGAGGTTCAAAATGAAGATACAATTTATGGAGCATCTCAATGCCGCGCATCGTGCAGTCCTGACGACCAAGTCCAACTCGATGTTCGATTTCTGCTTGACATGCGCCACTTTATGGTACAAAAATGAAAGTAATTCCAAAGACGTCCGTAAAAGTTATGAAAACCACTGTCAGCAACGGATGCATCTGTATCTGAGGCAAAATAACGATTTCGCAATCACGCCGCTGCCGCAGCCTCTGCAAAAGTTGTTGAGAGACGTCAACGGAATTGCTGCTAATCTGTTCAAACTGTCCAACGACGCATCAAACGATCCGAAAGTGACCCGATTCATGGATGATTTAAAGCGCATCTTCAAAACACATCGGCTACCTGTAAAAGTATACATGTTTGGTTCAAGAGTCACTGGCTTAGCATCGACAAACAGCGACATTGACGTATATCTTAATTTCGGTAAATATATTTGTCTCTGGTATTTACATATCGTGTGAAATCGAACTAAATATTTTAAAGAATTTCCAATAATAAGAGTAATAAAGTAATAAGAGAGAATAGATGTAACAAATTTTTATATTAGCAAAATTATATCTAAAATAATGAGCTTCTAAACAAATGTTAATATTTTTAAACGCTTAATCACTTTCGTATAAATCGCTCTAAAATACAAGTTTATAACAAATTTGTTATTTGTACAAGAAAAATTGTGATATGAAACTTATAAAAGAAAATTTTTTTGTATTAGGTGACGGGTATACCGGGCCTGAATCGATTAAGAGAAGAAGCAAGCAGATTCAAGATTGTCTACGTACCGACCATGAGAATTGGGATATAGAATTGACTTTGGCCAAGAGCAGAACGCCTATAATAAAGGTGAAACACAGGTCAACGGGGCTGCAGTGCGATATCTCGTTCACGAGTGGCCTGTCGGTAGAAAATTCCAAGTTTATTAGGTATGAAGTGTTGCTGTGTATCTCTAAGAAGTTTCATGAAGCATGCTTCATAATCCACTAAACGGAAATGGATTGAAATTTCAAATCATGGATTGGTCTTCGTGGAGATAAATGCATTTCTATAAAGGCCAATCCATTTTAATCTATGTTTTGGAAAATTTCAATCCATTTCAATTAAAAAATATTTTTTAATCCACTTCTGTAAACTGGGAAATACCTGTTAAATTTAGGTCTTTCAACATCGCGTATCCGCCGTGTCAAAAGTTGATACTGTTCCTGAGGAAGTGGCTCTTGCTGGGAGGTTTGACCGGTACTGTCGGAATTCACGGAATATCGAATTACGCCCTTGTCTGGCTGGTCATCTTTTATTTGCAAGTCAAATTAAAAAAAATACCGAGTATTGCTACCTTAATCCAAAACCACAAACAGTCGAAAATCGTTTCTGGTAAGTGTATAGAGATTTGTATAAAAATAATGCTACGTCGTGTAATTGGTGGAACCCTGTAATTGGGAAAGATCTCATTTTGCCCATATTTTGCCCATAATAGTAAATTGTAATTTACATAAATTCATGTTTTAGAGTAGGTATAATATTTACCTTGTTATACTTTAGGTTGGGAAGTTGGAGTCAGTGATACTATTTTTATCAAGGAACTGGAACATCCGATACACGAACTGTTGTTAGGATTCTTCGAATTTTACGGAAATTTCGATTACATGCATTTCGTCGTGTGTCCGTTATTGGGCAAGGTATGCCAGAAGACGGCTTTTGCCGAAGTATCAACTTTGCCTGATTCCATGGCACGTTACGTTGAACAGTTGAAGATCAAGAAGCCGGAATATTTTCGCGTTGATTCATCTATGTGCGTGCAAGATCCGTTCGATCTCTCGCACAATTTAACGAAGGCTGTGTCGATTTCAACGCTTAAACGCTTTAAACACTATTGTAATGAAAGTTTTTCAGCGACGAAAGTTTATTAGTAATAAAAAGCTTATTACGTAACATTATTGCAACTTTATCGAACAAAGAACGAATTTTGTCACGCAAAATCATATATTTTTAAAGAGTTTTTAAGAGCAATTGTTAAGAGATTAATTATTTTCAATTTGAATTAATAATCAAATGTCGCTAAATGAAAATAATCTTATGCACAGCGATAAAGTTGCAATCTTGTATCTTTTATATTTTATAATATCTTATTGTACCTTTTTATAATGCTTGCAGTATGCATTATAATCTTGATGCAGTATTACATATTTTTCAAGAATCATATCTTGATAAAATAACGCCTTAACGAAGTGAAATTTTGGATTATTCAATTCATAACTTTAAAGTGAAGGGCCAAATGTATGCGGTGTATACATTTCATACAGCTTTATTACTTTTTACTTTATAATTTTATTTTTTTCTATGTAATGTGCATTTACGTGTGTTTCTATTTGATATTGAGGCAAAAACTGATTGATTAGGATTGTGTTAAGCTGCAGCTTTCATTTTGATATAATAGATATCTATTTTCCCGAATGAGGGAAATATATCACGATTTTCTCTGTATGCGATTTTATTTTACAACTTATATGAACTGTAATATCGTTAAATGGAGGGCATTACTATGTAAAGTCAGTTTTCTATTGTAATTTATATCACATTATCATTGTTATAATATATAATGTGATTCTTAAAGCAGATGGTGCTTTCAGGGAACAATTACCTCAGCAGCGTTATGTTTTTATAACACATGTGAGAATTTCGTATAAACTGTATATTCATATTTTATACTTTGTGATATCATATTTCGTTACATACTTATTAATGTTCATTGCATCATTTTATAACAAGTTACTGTTTGCTCGACAAACAAATTAACTTTATCATAGACATTTAATAACACGTCAATACGGTTTTTTACACTGAAATAAAGGTATAAGAGGAAGTTGAAAGATTTCTAATGTATATCAAATAAAATTTCTATATTCACGTATTCTGATTTATTTTCGATTCACTTTCCTCCTGTACAATGTCTTGCTTCCATATATATTCTCTTATATACTTACTCTTAGGCATGCAAGATTGTTTGCATGTGAAAACTGCCAATATTCCCCAATCCAAGCACTTGATAACGTCTTTCAGGTCGAGGAAATTTAACAGTTGTGGCATTATCTGCAAATCACATTTTTAATTTAGATAGAAGTATGACATTTTATTAAGAGAAAATTTATTGATTTTAAGAAAGTTTCTAAAATTTTCAAATTTTATGTTACAGAATTTGGCATAAAAATTTGATCTAAATTTTTATATTCCAGTTATATACGAATAAACTGTACATACTTGAAATTCAAACTGCCTATCGCCGTCGCATTCCGGGCATTTTGGCACATCCGTTATCTGATTATGTGACGAGATATATAAAACTTTCCTTCCTCTGTCATATCTGTAAAATAAAAACAAATTGGCTGTAGTTACTAGTTTAATGCTTCTGCAAAGGATCGAAATTGCTGCAATCTTGTTTTGAACTGCATATAAATTGCGATAAAAAATACCGCTAAAAACCACATGGAATTTTATAAATTGATTTGTTTATAACGCAAAGTATTTGATAAAGTTTCGTGCTAAATATCGATATATGAGATATTTATATCTATGTACAATACCAATGACATTGCAAACTTGGGAAAATTCTTTATAAAATAAAATAAAGACAAATCAGAACATCGTCTATATTTTTCGATATATTCTAATTTTGATTTAATTTAAAACGTTGAAATATATTTTCCAATAAAATTTTATAAATATCCGATTTTTATTTCAATTTATATCATAATAAACAAATATATAATTGTAATAATGAATATAAATTGAATAAAACTCGGAATATTTTCATAATAGATTTATAACAATTTTTACATAGTTCTTTTGCTTATTTTATTTATTTAATCGAGGCCTTTTGATCGTTAATATATCTCATTTATTTTTGATTCGCTAATCTATGCTGCACTATATAGTTAAGCAAAGTTGCTAATTGCACGATACTACTTTTAAATGACATGTGCGTATAACTTTATCGAAATTTTGTGGCGAAAAAGAAAAAAAGAAGAAGCATTCTTAGATTAAATTCTATAACGCGTAATAAATGAAAAATATAATCACGTGTTTTATTATGCGTATTAAGGTTGCTTTAGCACTACATTTTTCAATTTTTAACAATTTCTAATTGCATTAGTTTTTTTTATTTTAGTTAAAAGCAACGCGTCGAATATGTTTGACTGTTGCAATCTCTTTGAATGTAAGAATATATAATTGAATAACCGGCCGTAAAATGTCTAGATGGAAAAAGGGAAGTACAGAGAAAAAAAACATCAAATTATTGTTGGTTATTGACACTTGTGATACCTCAGAATCTGATCTGGATAACTGTCTATTTTCGTACGAAACTCTGCGAATGTCTCGTCCTTCTCGTCATTAGCCATCTGCAGCAAGTCGTCGTTGACGTCTTCGTTCTGAAACGTTCCAGCTTTGCCGTCCTGTATCATCGCATTGTACTTCTCCATTTCCGTCTGCTCGCCGCTGGGATCGTTCCGCTCGACCCTTTCCGTCGCGGTGTCGTCCCTCTCGATCACGATCTCGTATTCGGGAAACAGGAAACCGTTGCCGTTCGTCGCCTCGGTGCCGCACGCGTTTTTGTGTCCATTCTTCCAGTCGTACACTTGATGCACGCGGCAGCAATAATTGACGACTTTACATCTGCCGCAGTGATTAGGTGCCAAAATCCCGCACACGCGGCACGTTTTCGCCCACCGCGACACGTCTGCGAAAGCAACGAATCGTTACCTGTAGATTTTTATTACAAACCCAGTAAACGAAAATGGGGTAAAATATATATCTTTTTAATTGAAATGGATTGAAATGGATTGGCCTTTATAGAAATGCTTTATAAAAGTGGAAGGCCTTTATAGAACAATACAATTTAATTACGAGGGATTTTTTTCCACAAAGGCCAATATCTATTTCAATTCATTTTATAATCCATGATTTGAGATTTCAATCTATTTCCGTTTAGTGGAAAGTCATTTATCTATAATTAATGTTACAGTAGTAGAACTTTTATTTTGGTCATCGTTTATCCAAACCGAATGATTCTGAATAATAGAGGCTCTCTTATCATTCAATTTCAATATAATAGGAACTGACGTTCAAGAAATTGAAATCGGGCACATCGAGCTGTTATTATCCAAACGATTCGGATAATAAAAGCTCATCGAGTTTAGAGCTATATAAGTTTCTATATTTGGAGCTCAGCTGTAAGTTTCTATATTTGGAGTACAAACGTGAGTGGAGCGTGGACAAACGGAGTTCTACCATATACCCTTATTAGTTGCCGCTGAAAAAAATATATAAGTATAATTCACAAATCGCAAATACCAATATCAGTTCCCCAGTCCTTCTGCTCCACGGGCGGTTCGGCCAGATAAAAGTCGTTTATCCTACCCAGCTGCGAGCGGAAGACCTTCAGGTTCCCGTTCTGATTCGGCCTGCAGCAATCCGTGTTCTTGCACACGAAGATGTAAACAGTCCTGTGAAACGCATCGACGTCCTCCTCGTACGGCGCGTAGATCTGACAGAGGAACACGCAGGGATCGCCGCAGTACTCGCACTCCAGATCGCCCTTCCCGGGAATGTTTTTCAGGTCGAGCCAGGCCGGCCTGCCGCCTGCTTTGCTGGGGAAGAATCTGCTCTCGAGCCGCCAGGGCTCGCATTTCTCCACGAATCCCAGATCGACTGCCATGCCAGAGATCGTCGCCGGGACGACGACGGGAGGACGAGTGAAATCGCACTGCACCAACGGATCGCAAAATGTGTGACACGTCAGGCTGGAAAAAATACGAGAAGATGCGCCTTCCGCGAAACGTCAAACTGAACGCACGTGCTCCGTCCTCTGTGTATACACTTTATTTGCCGTTTGCATGAGCGCGGCAAAACGTCGTGTTTACAATGGCCCGCACAAGGCATACATACACATATGTCACATACATATATGTATATCGTTAGCGCGATTTCAATGAAATGAAATTAATTAATTTAATGATCGTAAGTCAACTCATCTAAAATAATACCTATATACTATATTTAGAATTACAAATTCTTTGTTGTTTAATATGGAAAATGTGAAAATGTGATATCGGATAAGATATATTAATCGGATCAGAAATGACAGATTATATAGAAATTAATAGAAATTTTGAGCCAATATTCTTGAAGTCGTGTTTTATTTATTTTTACCAATGTAGATTAACTCAGTTTGATTTATTCTTTTTTTTGGTAATTTTTTTTCTAAAGATAATAAAATGCAAAAACGCGTCGAATAAATCTATTCTCATCAAAATCGGAGGTGAGAAGGGCTAAACTAAATAATTACCAAGAATAGAAAGTTTAATTTAATTCTTTTAATTATTTCGGTAAAAATCGTAGAAATAGTATAGATATTTATATTATTTATAATTTACTTGCATTCTCATTGGCTAATGGAAAGGCGCAGCGATTCCTTAGCGCTGGGCTGCGCGTTCAGAAACTTCGCCTAGGCGTATCTAGATGTCGTTTTATCCTTGTTTAACTTTCGGTGAACAACAAGGATGACATGTTACACCGTGAATTTCTGAACGCAGCCCTGCTGCCGTCGAACTTCGGCACCGCCATCTACGCATCTCGGCTATTGCGTGTGTATGTTGATATCTGTCATATCGTTTGTAAGGTTAGCTGTCGAACCGCGATTACCGCGAACAGTCCGCGGAATTCCTGGGTTTTTCTCCGAGAGCCGCCGCTGACGAGGATGACGTCCTGTTTCGAGAACATGCAGGTGCCGTCCTGCGTCTGGTTCGAGGGCGGCGAGAAGAGGAACGCGCTCGTCTCGATGCTCGCGGGCACCCTGGTAAAAATCCCACGGGTTTTCACCCGCGCCGTTTTGTCTGCTAAACAGACGCGTCTACCGTCTAACGGGCGCGTTATCGATCAGGTCACAGCCGGTCTCTAGCAACTCTCTCATCCGTCCTCTCCGTCGAAAATGTCGAAGCGTTATATAGTCGTTCCGACGACACCGCAGATATTTATCTTGCACGAGGATCGCGCGCCTTTCAGCGATTCGCGTATCTCACATTAATTTTCCGTCCCTCACAGAAGGTCTTATCTTATGTTTCAGTTTTTCGTAGGATGGTGGTTTATAATAGACGCGCATGCGAAATACCCGAGTGAAATGTCAAACGCGTACCACGTTTGCGGAGTGTTCGGTACCATATCTCTCTTCATGTGAGTAACACTGATAACACTATCAATATATATATATATACACATACATACATACATATATAGATATCAATATAGATATATAGTTGCGATATAGTTGCGATAGAATCGTAATCAGAATACATCCCGCAGTAAAATCCCTTATTGCGACACAGTGCTACTGTATTGATTTGAAAATTTTGATTTTTTTTTTTACAGGGTCAATTCAGTGACAAACGCGCAGATAAGGGGAGAAGCTTACAATGGCGGTTGTTTAGGAGCAAGAGGTGCTCGGAGCTGGCTGTTTATCGGCTTCGTTATGGGATTTGCAGCGGTAATAGCAGCCTGTTGGATCTTGTTTGCCAACTTTGTAGCAGAAGGTATACTTATAATGCAATACATATGTAGCCATAAATATAAGGCGTTCACACAGATTGACGTAGATATTTTACATTAAACGCAAAATAAATTACAAAAAAAAAAGTTTTATTGAAAAATGATATTTATTTTTATAATTTTAATATTTTAGTTTCACTTTGACTTTTATTACCACCTTTTCCAAGAAAATGCAATAAATTGAGGGTGCTTTATATATAAGACAGAATCATAAAGATTAAATTTGTCCTATTATATTTATCATATTTTATCTTCAATATTTATTGTATTTAATATCTTTTTACAGGCGCACCACATCATTGGCCGGGTGTAGGATTGTTCTTGCAGAATGTGTTTATTTTCCTGGGCTCGCTCACGTATAAATTCGGTCGATCTGAGGATCAATGGGGTTAATGGATGCGTACCATGGTGAAGAATATTTTTATTACCGCATAGTCAAATCAAGAGCACCAGGTGAAGCTCGGCTGATGGGGGGGCGGGGGAGCGGGGGAGGGGAGACCTCGTAACATCAACATACCTTGTACCGCTTCGAGCGTGAAATCCAATTAATTCGCAGTAAATTATTCTTATTGTAAACGTTTCCGTGTACACGCGGCAATTCTTATTTATATCCACCGCGGAATCGCGTGGAAAAGACAGATAGCGATTACACGTTACAAATATGCTATATATGTATACATATATGAGATTTTACTGTAAAGGTAAGGAGATTAGAGGCCTGTTCTTCGTAGCTGAACTGCTGCACTAGTTCACAGTTTGTCTTTCTCTTTCTACATTGGAAGAAGAAAGCTAAATTCTGAACTAGTGCAGCCAGTTCAGCTATAAAGAACAGGCCTTAGATTATCGATCTTTTTTGTGTGATAGAATTATACACTACTTACGCTACGCTAATAATTTTAAATCGCATCGGTAAACTTTTTCGATCTGTGCGCCATCAAAAAAAAAAAATCCCATATTTATACACCTTTCTCATCTCGTTTCGTTGGTATCTTATATTTGATACTTTTACAAGAAAGATAATCACAAGTGTCTGATATCGAAGTTAAATAAATGAACTATGTTCCAAGAAAAGGTATAGTTTTTAAACATTTATTTATTAAGGGAGACTTAATTTCGTCAAAAAGTGAATCCTTCGATGCGTACGATTGGTTCGCTTAGCTCGTTACATGTTTCTTTTTTTTTTTTACAGATCAGATCATTTGGATACATCTTAAGGCTTGTTCATATAAATTCGCAGAGCCAAGAATGTATACAGGATGATTTTAATTAAATTCCAATTGACTTTTCAAGTATATTTACAATAATCTGTTTACGAACAGATTAATTTTTTTCATCATTGATAACACATCGAAAGAAACATTAGATTAAGGGTATAATGAAAAATTTTGCTTTAGACAATCCTGCTGATTGAATTACAACTTTTCGGTTTAACTTACTGCTTCTTATCCATTTCTAATTTTAAGGATTAGAAAAAGATAAAGAGTAAATGAAACCGAGATTAAAGTCGATTTATATATCATAAAAATTGGCATTAATCGCTCATTAAGTTAATTTGAAATTAATCAAAGTTGCCAACAGAGAAATCGACTTGACGCACGTATTTAGCGTAGGAATCGCGAAAAAATGTGTAACATTTGTTATTTTAGATTCTCTAGAATCATCGATCTCTTCAAGCGCGCGCGATTTTATCCTTGAATGAGTTTTATAAAAGCCCAAGTACTTATCTCTCTGCCCTGCCAATTCCCTCGGTGGAATCGGTGTCATCGGCGCGGGTCGCGCGACGCGATTGGCTCCGATTTGCCAACGCGGACCAACGGCCGGCCGCGCGGCGCTGCTCCAATCGCGACGTGCCACACCAACACATGGTGCTCGGCGGCCACGGAATTTCCGCGGAGAGTGGTCGCGGTGGAGGGTGTCACACGCTTCGGCCTTTTTTTCTTGAAATTCGAAAGCTGCGGGCTGCGATGCGCGAGCGTGTTGTGTTCTGAATGGTGTACAGCTGAGAGCCGTCGTCCCCCCGAGTACGTCGTGTGTCGTCCTGAGAGCGCAAGGTGAGCGCGCGTCGATCCGGTTAAAACGCGGTCTACCCCACGATCGACGTGCCCGCACGTCGCCGGTATCACTCATAACCAAGTTTGACAGCTAAAGCGGAGGCACGACGTGGTGGATTTCTCTCTCTCTTTCTCTCGCCTCTCGAGCCAGCGCGAGCGCGTGGCACGTTCACGTTTTCGCATTCTCACGCGGATCTCCCGGTCGCGTTGTATCTCACGTCTGTCCCCGGTTTCCAGATGGAATTCTCACGGAGAGGCATGTCGATGGCGTCGCTGGCCTTACTCATAATCGCCACTTTTATCGGCATCAGCGAGGAGATCGCCGTTATGAGCATCGACCTTGGTAGCGAATGGATGAAGGTCGCTATCGTCTCGGTAGGTTTACAGTCGTGTTTATAGCGAATCCAACGGACCGACGGTTTTGCCGCTGGAACGCTTCGTTGATCGAGCACATTTTTACATTTCAAAAATTCAGCATGTTTCCTATGAGATATCTTTGTCCCTCTTTGCCCCGCAGCCTGGCGTTCCTATGGAGATAGCATTAAATAAGGAGTCGAAGAGGAAAACGCCGGTCACGATCGCGTTCAGGGACGGGGAGAGATCGTTCGGCGAGGATGCCCAAGTGATCGGCGTGAGATTTCCCCAGAACAACTTCTTCTACATTTTGGACCTTCTAGGGAAGCCTATAGACAATCCGCTGGTGCAGCTCTACCGGGAGAGATTCCCCTACTACGACATCGTCGCCGACGACGAGAGGAAGACCGTGGCGTTCAAGCTGAACGAGAACACGACGTACACGCCGGAGGAGCTGCTCGCGCAGTTGTTGCACAAGGGCAAGGAGATCGCGGAGGCGTCCGCCCACCAGAAGATCAACGAGGCCGTCATCACCGTGCCGGGTTTCTTCAATCAGGCCGAGAGGCGGGCGCTGATCCAGGCGGCGGAGCTCGCCGGTCTCAAGGTGCTGCAGCTCATAAACGACTACATGGCGGTCGCCCTGAACTACGGCGTGTTCGGCAGAACCGAGATAAACGACTCCGCTCACTACATCATGTTCTACGACATGGGTGCCAGCAGCACCACCGCGTCGATCGTCAGCTACCAGAACATGAAGACGAAGGAGCGTGGTTTCCTCGAGACGAATCCGCACGTTTCCGTGCTGGGCGTGGGATACGATCGCACGCTCGGCGGACTGGATATGCAGATCAGGCTGCAGCATCACCTGGCGCGAGAGTTCGACGCTCTCAAGAGGACGCCGAACTCGGTGTTCAAGAGCCCGCGCGCGATGGCTAAGCTCTTCAAGGAGGCCGGACGCGTGAAAACTGTGCTCAGTGCCAACGCGGACCATTTCGCGCAGATAGAGAGCCTGATAGACGATATCGACTTCAAGCTGCAGGTCACGAGGGAGAAGCTGGAAGAGATATGCGCCGATTTGTTCAAACGTGTGGCAAATCCTGTGAAGACCGCGTTGGAAACTTCAGGTGACCTACCTTTTCAATACCCAATTGGATTACGATTCTTGCAAATATGTATTTAAATTAACTAAATGTAATACACTGTTTCAGGTTTGACAATGGATGTCATAAAGCACGTTGTATTGGTGGGAGCAGGCACTCGAATGCCAAAGGTACAAGAGACATTGTCCCAGTATGTAAAAACAGAGTTGTCGAAAAATGTAAATACGGATGAGGCGGCTGCTTTAGGGGCTGCTTACAAGGCAGCTGATCTCAGTCAGGGTTTTAAGGTCAAGAAGTTCGTCACAAAGGACGCTTTATTATTCCCGATTCAAATCACTTTTGATAGAACCGTTGATAATAAAGTTAAACAGGTAAAAAAGTATTTTATGATTTCGACTTTTATGATATTTGACATATTTTAATTTTTCGTATCAGAGGACTATATATATATATATTTATATATATTTATATTCTTTATTTTTGTACAGGTGAAGAAAACGTTATTCGGCAGAATGAATCCTTTTCCACAAAAGAAGATCATTACATTTAATAAGCACACGAATGATTTTGATTTTCATGTGAATTACGCTGAGTTGGATCATTTGCCCGCTAGTGAGGTAATGTAAGTATCTACAGCCGTTGTTTATCTATAACATTGGCAGCAAATTAAACGGAAAACAGATTAACGTGTATTATTTTACATATCATAAACTTTTCACTTATGTCTAAAACTACAGAGATAGAAATTTTTACAGTGCTATTGGTGATTTACATTTATCTACTATATCGCTGAATGGTGTAGCCGAAGCTTTAGAAAAGCATGCCAACGAAGGCGCCGAGAGTAAAGGAATCAAAGTGCACTTTAATATAGACGATAGCGGCGTACTGAATTTATTGACTGTAGAATTAGTTTCCGAAAAGTCGAGTACTGTTGATGAAGAAGAGGGTACTTTCTCAATACTTGGCTCAACTATTAGTAAATTCTTTGCAGGTTTGTGCCGAAGGCAATGCAAAAAATGATCCTGTTTTTTTGGTTTTTATTGCACATTATTGATTCTTAATTTTGATGACACCTGCATTGGTTCTTCTTTATATCCTGTTTTATATATATATATATATATTGAAGAACTGTTTTATTTTTTTTAACTAAAAACATGTGTTTTCTTTTATAACAATGAAGAAATTTTTTCATGTTACGTTTTGAAATCATTTTTTGCAAGCATTTTTATATCAAGAAATACGTAGATGCTTTGAAAAAAGAGATAGATAGTACTATCATTAGGGCCAACAGATTTTGTTGCCGTTGACAATTAAACTCTTGCAAGAATACGAATTTTTAAAATTTATACATGTATTAATAGAACAGCTCTCTCGTTCGATACTTTTTGTTCGCGAAATGTCCGCGCTTTTTGTGTTGAGGTGAAACTTGAATTTATGCAATCCGTTTGTCAATGACACAAATCTCTAGGCCCTGATTGCAAATTATTCAAATATGTATCGAGGGAGGCACATTGAATTGAAGTCTTAATCTTTTAGGTTCTTCTTTAGAAAAAGAACCGGAAGAAAAGACGGAGGAACCGCCGAAGGAGGATGTGAAACCAGTGCATGAAGAGCCAGAATCGGAGTCGACAAAAGAGACGGACGAGAAGGAGAAAAAGAAGAGCGAGACGAAAGTGAACGAAGATAAGGCTACAAATAAAACCGAGAAAGTGGACAAAGAAAAGAAAGCTACGATCGTTCAGATCAAGGAACCTATTGGCTCGAAAGAGGTCAAACTAGGATCGCAAATCTTGTCCGGTGAAAAACTCACGGAATCTCGCGACAAGTGAGCAAAAACTTATTCATTCGTAATGTGAAGTAATTGAAAAAATAATAATTTCCATCTCATATATATATATTTTTTTCTGTTAATTTTAATTTTATTAACATTAATACAAGTGCTACTGTGACTTTAATTTCTTAACTACCACTCTCCCTTTTCTCTTGGCAGGAAAATATAATTGGCACAATTACAGTTAAACATAATTGATTTGTTACTATTTCAATAACAGTATCTTTTTTTTTCTTTCTATAGGATACATCATTTGGACGTGCACGATTCGGAGAAGGCGCGCCGTGAGACTGCGCTGAACAATCTCGAGTCGTACGTAATCGACGCGCAGCAGAAGTTCGAGTCCAAGGAATTTGCGGACGCGGCTACCGAGAAGGAGATCGAGGAGATTCAAAAAGCGTGCGCCGAGATCTCCGAATGGCTGTACGAGGACGGATTCACCGCGACCGCGGAAGTGTACGAGGAGAAGTTGCAGGAACTGCAAAAGTTAACCAACGACGTCTACGAGAGGGTCTACGAGAACCGAGATCGACCGGAAGTCTTCAACGGAATGGTCTCGCTACTCAAAGGCAGTAGATTGTTTCTAGAGAATATGCGTAACTTGAGCTCAACCAGCGAAATTATTACGTCCGTTGAAGTCGAGACGTTGGAAAAAGTGATCAACGAGACACAGGTAACGATTTAATTTTAATAAAATAATGTCTAAAGCGATTTAAAATTAAAGCGCTATTTTAACGTTATTATTACATGTCTATAAAACGTTAGTATGATACAAAAAAATGATTTTTTTTTTTTCAGAATTATTATGACATGGTTTCGAAATATTTCGCGGACGCGCCGCTGAATATACCAGTAAAGTACAAGCTCCGTCAGATCGCGAATAAGATGGAGCTACTCGACAGAGAAATCAAATATCTTCTGAACAAGGTAAAGATTTGGAAACCGAAACAGGAAGCTGCGGCGAATCAAACGACAGACAGCAAGGCCGAGGCCACGATAGAGGAAAACGGGGAAGCCGATGCGACTGCCGCTGATTCCGATGCTAAGAGGGAGGACAAGTCCGCGGAGGAACAGCAACCGTCCGACAATGTGGAGGAGCAGCAACAAAAGCCGGAGACAACAACGGACACCACGCAGGATCCGTTAAATCTGCCGGAAAGTGAAAAACCATTACCAACTAAGGAGGAAGCTCAGGAAGAAACGCATCAAGAACTATAAGAAATAATTTATTTAAAAAATGTGTGATCCTCTGTTATTGATCGACGAGATATACCCGTCGATTTAGGCAATTTTTCCGTAGATTATTTTCGTCAGGTGCATTTAAAAATCAAAGCGGGAATTTTTCTCTTGTGCGTTTCCGTTGAATAAGTTCATATCTACGAATGCGTGGATACAAGCTGTTCCATTTAATTAATATTTAATTAATAATATATATTTATACCAGGTATGGGTCTTCACCGTTCATTTGTTTTTACAAAAAAAAAACAGTTATTGCAAGATTGTCGATCTCAGTCTACTTAAAGATTGTCCGCGATAATTATGTTACACAAGTGCCAAGCAATAGCAAATTTCGACGATTTTGTTTGACAAAAACGGACACGCATAAGGCAGGCCAGTTCTGTGTGAGGGATTTTATCTCGAATCCTTACAGCATGAATTTGTGACTTTACATGTAAAAATGCTTCTGCTGCAAGTACGTACCTTTCACTTATGTACTATCACACTACATACGAAGTTGCAGTATAAGGCATACTATTGCTTGTAAAAACACGAATGGTAAGAGGTGTGGATAAAATAAGTTTTGTTTACAAAAACAATTTTTGCATATCTTCTAGGGAGTGGATCTTTTCACGTAGTAACGGGTTCTTACGTTTCTCGCAAATGTATAATCAGTAGTTTTCGAATGAATTTATCACATTTCCTACATACATCGCATTGATTTACATCGTCTTTTTTTTTATAAAGGAAGATTCACACGAGTGAAACTCTTTCTAATTTTTTCTTTTGTTATTTATAGCGATATCATATTTAAAAATCGTGACGTTTTTCTGATATTCTAATGTATATTTCTTAAAGAAGTTAGATAGAATATATAGAATATTGGTTATTTTGTAAATGTATATAACGATTTGCACAATGTGAAATAGGTAAAAAGAAGTCGGCTCCTCGAGAATTTAAGATAAGATTTGCTTTTTTGGCTAATCAATACTTTAGATGAATTCTCCGAAAATTACGAACACATTATTCTACTGCCAAATAGGCGTTCAAGAAATTTTTATCATTCCAATAAAAATAATTGTAAATTTACGTGTTATTCATATATTTTAATTTGAATGAACAAAAAATATATGAGAGAAAGAGAGGAGAAAGAAGACATTGGAATAAAGAAACAAAATGTATTATCACCCCATTGTTTTTCTTTTATAAAAAAAGATAATTATGATAAAATTATTTTAAAATTTAGGATTTGTGTGTAAAAAAATTAAGTGTTAAACCTCCGTGTTCTTTCGATCTTCCTTCTTATCAGCAGAACCTGTATGAATTTCTCTTGTGTCATCCGTATAATATCTATCAGCTGATCTAAAGTAAGGTTATGTACACGGTATCGTCTGCCTTTCGCTCGCTCTTTAAATTCCTCTTTCTGAATATTAAGAATTAAACTTTCATTTACGTTAAACTGTAGAATGTTAGTTAAGAGTTTAAAGTAAAATTGTTAAACTATAGAAAGTGAGTGAAGGCTTTGAAGGAAAATTAAAAATAGAAAAGTTGTCAGAAATTGCCGGTCCTAATGAATTAAAAACAAAAAAAAGAAACGTGACTGTACATTATTAGCAAGTTATTGTTAGCAAGTATGGCCATGCGTCAAATTCTCAGAAAGTTATGGAGAAATATTAGTCCCGCGATGGTGAGAATACAATTCACATGCGGTATTCTAATAATTCCACTTTAAAAGAAATCCGTAACGCATTTGCAGTACACGTCAGGTGTGATAGTCGCGCACTGCATCTCGTTCGACAAGCCTAGTGAAAACGATAAGTTAAAGCTGGACCCACCGGATGTAAAGAAGCTAACCCACGAGTATATGATAAAACAATCTGCGTTGGATGCTGCCAACAGTGTAACCCAGGCATTAACTGTCACTTATATGGCTATAATAGATCTGAGCGTTGCATACAGGTAAATAAAAATAATATCGATCTTTGATGTACTTAAAAATAATATAGATCCATGAAAGATAGGTCTCCGTTGATAACGTTTATCAACAATCATTTTGTAGAATATTATTGAACGAACTCATTTCTCTTCTCGGAGAAACTATAATGCACAATGTAAACGACGCACACTGGGATCTGATCGTGGAAGTGCGAAATGAAATGCAAGACAAGAAAGAGAAGCTTATGGTAATGAAGAATTGCTTGAGAAACAATAATATTTCAGATATTAAATGTTACAGTTTTAAGTAAATTTAATAAAAAAATTAAATTCTCTGTTATACCTACTATAAATTAAGGTAAACGTACCAGTGACTGAACAGCTATCCATATCTGAACATATGTACACAAAATTTATTAATCTGTAAATGCCTTCTTTAATTAGAATATCAAAATTTAATTATAAAAATATTCAAAGATAGACAATTAAATTATAACATTATGAAAAAAGCATTTAAAAATAAGTTTTTGCATACGTGTTCCGATATAGGTATACGTTCAGTCACTGGTACGTTTACCTTATAAAATATACGTAATAACATTGTATCACAGCACACATTGCGTATAAAATCACACGAGTTAAAACGAATCTTTTTTTTTTTAAATTAGCGCCTAGTTACCTATATGGATTATGTGCACAAAATGGCAGTAGCCAGCGCAGAACTGAGTTACATGTGCGGGATGGATGGCTTGACCAGCACGCTTCAACAGAGGATAGAGGATGCGTTAAACAGGGTGAAAGCAGAGACTGACAGCAATGCAGAGCTGGAACGAGAATACTGGCGTACACAGGAACAGTGCGTCAGAGGCGGTAGAGAAACAACCGAGAAGCAATGAACTTTTACAGAGAAGAGCCCAACATTCTCAAAACGCGTTTTATTTTTTTCTTAAAAAAGAATTAAAAATAATGTGTATCATTATGACGTTTTTTATATTAATAAACAATTTTCCTCACATCTAGCAACATTCTGTACATGGTTAATATCAATCTTATTCAACTATTTCATTTTTTCATATTTTTCGTTAAAAGTGCTTAGCCTACTATATTAAAGTTGCTTGATTACACAATTTCAAATATTATTTTATTAAGTATTTCTCTTACAATCTAGATTTCATAACATCTTTATTGTAAAAATATGATCGGAATAAAGTGTGTCTCATTATTCTGTTTAATCTAATCATGTATTCCGAAACTATTACTTTTTTTGTATTGTATTTGTAATATCTTTTTTTTCAAGTTTGCTTGAATAAAAAAATTAATAGCTGTAATATAAATATGTTCGAAATAAGTGCCGCGGATGTACGAACGATTAACAGCAGGACTTGTACCCGTCGATTTTTCGCAAATCTACTCTCGTATCACAAAAATCAAGTTTTCAAAGTATAAAGACAATATTTACAATATATTCGTATATATATTCAACACTTAGCGCACACGTCAAAAACGTAATAAATAAACATAGGAAGGGGGGGTATTTACAGACTTGCGAGTGAACGGCGCCGCCTCAAACGTCTAAATGTATCGAGACAATGTGTCGACCGGGCACCATCACCAAGCCTAAAACTCTCGCCTCCGTGTGCTCCGTGGACAGGTACTCGGTGCACGAGCCCAGAATAACGTTGGCGTCGCGGTCCGTGCACAGGAACGCTCCTCTCAACACCCGCCCGTCCGTCATCTCGATTCGCAGATGTCGATTCAGCCAGCTCCTCAGCTTCTGCTTGGCCGGCGACTCCTCGGAGATCACTGCCTGCTGCAATCATAGTACCGCGATAATAATACTCGATATTATAATGAACATTTTGAGGAACTTCTTTTCGTTCTTTAGGAAACTTAAGCAGAACTCTTCATTAATTACATTTTGTGGCCCCGTAAGATTATTTGTGTAGATGTGTTGTACGCAGAATACCACTTGCATAGAAAAAAATATATCTGTACAAGTGCAATTGTTCAAATCCCACACAGCATAAAATATTTCCAAATTGCATTTCATGCAAGATTTGAAATATTTCAAAATATTTCTGAAATACAAATATGTCTGGTATATCAGAGTTTTTGAAATATTTCTCACGATGTACTATATTTCTACAATATTTTTGTAAAATATTTTAATGCGACAATTTAAAATGTTTTACAAGAGTGTATGTTTACGAAATATTTCAAAAATGATATTTGCCAAAAATATTTCATGCTGTGTGGGATGAAATATGAAAAGAGACTCAGATGCCGCAGGGTAACACAGTGAATCGTTTCATCTTTCAATACTGGTCAAATAACAAGGATATAATAGGCCTGTTTTTTTATAGCTGAACTGCTGCACCAGTTCACAGTTTATTTTTCTCTTTCTACATTGGAAAAAGAAAGATAAACTCTGAACTAGTGTAGCTAATTCAGCTATAAAAAACAGACCTAATGATTCACTGTTGCACTGCGTCAATCTCTTGCTGAAAAACTCTCGATAAGGATAACATCAATTCCATCAGATCCAAGGTTGATGGTACCCTTGCAGAATCCAATTTAAGGCTGGAAAAATTGCTTACTTCGAGTATTGAAAGCACTGTCGTTCAAAGTAACGAATTAATCACTACCTTCCAGTATTAAATTTCTGTAAGGGTAGATAACCTATGCCCGATAAAAATCGACGAAAATCCGAGGTTCTTCTCGCGGGAGAGACGCCGTGCGGATGACTTCCGCGAGGTGACAGGGGATGCTACGGAAAAGTTAGAAAGATGAACAAAGGGAGAGAGAGAGAGAGAGAAGTGCCCACGGCTTATAGAATTTACCTCCTCATTCCCGTGGACGTGCTCGTTGTTCACGACGCTGCTCAAATTATGCACCGTCTCCTTCATACTCGCACTCATCTCGCACTCTCGTTTATCTCTCGGAACGTTCGACTCTGGGCGAACTCCTTCGGACGGGGACCGCGCCTCGACACTTCGAAATTCGGCTCTGCGTCACCGCGACCACACATATACGGTTCAAATTTGTTTTGGTTTCCTCGCCATTCCTATCCCGAGAGCCACGATCCTACCGACCTACCCTACTCCGACAAATCGGGAGCAACCTCGTACCGCGAATTATCGAAGTTTCTGCACTTAAAATGAGATAGGTATATATATACATACAATCGGACGTTGAAGAGAAAGAAAGAGAGAAAACGAAGAGACCGTGCAGGACCGTTCAGCCGCGAAGAACAAAGGGCAAACCTAAAAGATTTGACTCCGCTTCTTAATCTGTCTTGCTCTTATTGTTTCTTATTGCTAAACTTTTCACTCTTTCTCCTTTTCTCTCTTATCATTTATTTCATATTTAATAAAACATATATATCCGTTTTATTTTTTAAGTGCGAAAGATAATATCACCGACGAGATACTATATTAAAGACCAACACCTTCACAGGAGTTAGCGTGGCTGTTTAGTACCTAATTGCTAAAATTTAAGCAATTATAAGTCAATAATATGTATAATCTTAATTTAATGATTTATTGTTATTATTTTTGTATTTATGTTTTTATTTTAGATCAATTTTTTTTAGACATGTACATTGTAATTCATCTGACGTATTATAACTTGCTAATAATTATAATTTTATTTAAAACTATATTTTTATATAGTTACCATACATGTTTGATTATCCAGAGAGATGGTTAAAAAAATGTAATTTTGCGGCAATATATTTGATATTATAGCATTATAAGCATTTATACTTATTTATAAAGCATTTATATAATAAAAATCATGATCTTAATAATGTATTATTCAAATAAATCGCAAATTTATGTCAAAAGTCGATAACATCGACACTCTGCAATTACTTCCGGGCCCGCCGGGCTGGCACGAAAATTTGCCCATCAGGGCTGATGGTCTTTAAATTTAATTAGTTACCGACAGTTGGGTAGCCTGACAGCTGTGCGGCGGTGTTGTCACGGTGTTTCCCGAGTGTGACGGAGAGCGAGTGGTTGTTGGTGTTTGTTGGAAGTGCTGCACAGCAGGCAGCAGGAGCTGCAGAAGTTTATCGTCGTTTCGCCTGTCGTTCGGCTGCGTCGACATGCTGGCGTCTCTGCGTCGAGCTTGTGGGCTCTTCGTGAGTAAAATCCACTTTTTCGGAGGACTCCACCGTTTCGCCGCAGTTTACCTCTCCTCTCGTCAATAACCTAACCTCAAATACCTTACATAATCTTCCAATTTTAATCGACTCTTTGTAAAACGACTTTGCGCTTGAACGTTAAATTATCTACCTGACTGCTCACAGATCAGAGGATCGTGATTTATTTAATGTGAAATATGAACGACTCGCGTACTGGGAGAGACTTACGCTCCGACGACGACGACGACGTCGCACACGTTCCATCCCATTCTTTATTCACGATCGAAGCTTCTCCGATATTGATTGACACTCTCATTTACTTTGTTCATTTTGTTTTTGCTCCTCTCCAAATATTCATTTAAATTTATAAAAGCCAAAAGAAATAAAACGAAGGGGCAAGATAAAAGTGCTGGCGTGTCCGAAGGCACGGCAATTTCTTCATCTTGTTAAGTTCCGTACACTCAATAATCGTCACTTGACCCATCACTTGATCCGTACACTTGACTCGTATTCAACATCGATTTTCTGTTCTCAACAGGCTGCGAGAAACATTAGGGGAGTGCAAACAACGGCAAATCGTGCGTCGGATCAGTTGTTCATTGTAAGTAATGCAACAATAAGGCCTGTTCTTTACAGCTGAACTGGAGCTGCATTAGAGTTCACAGTTTACCTTTTTCTTTTCTACATTGGAAGAAGAAAGATAAACCCTGAACTAGTGCAGTCAGTTCAGCTGTAAAGAACAGGCCTGTAATGTTACCGTCAAAATCCATAATTCATTAAAACTCGGATTTACTGGTTAAAACTAGAATGATTGATTAGACATAAAATCGAAAACCCTATATGGACAATACAATTATAGGCCTCGTTTTGCCCTGTAAATAGGGGAAGGTTGGACACCTCGCTATGCGTGAAAAGCCGAAAACATGTGAAACCCATGTGTGAAACAATACAATTATAGACCTCGTTTCAACTAAATTTAAAACTAGTTTTTAACTAATGAAATCGGGTTTTAACGACTATGGATTTTGACGGCAAACAATAATAAAAATTAAATCTTCACTAACAGTGAATAAATAAAATAGCAATAACAGTAAATTTGAACTAGAATGTTACGTGAATTTCAGCACAGAGACAGCGAGCATGACAATCCCAATACACCGTTCGAGTTCAACGAGGCGAACAAGAAGCGGATCGAGGCGCTCCTCGCGATCTATCCCGAGGGCCACAAGCGCGGCGCCATGATACCCCTGCTGGACCTGGCGCAGCGGCAGCACGGCTGGCTGCCCATCTCCGCCATGCACAAGGTCGCCGAGATACTGGACGTGCCGCGCATGAGGGTGTACGAGGTGGCCACGTTCTACACGATGTTCAACCGCAGGCCCATGGGCAAGTACCACGTGCAGATCTGCACTTGCACCCCGTGCTGGCTGCGGGACTCGGACTCGATCGTCAACGCCGTGACGAAGGCGACGAATTGCGAGCTCGGCGGCACCTCCGAGGACAAGCTGTTCACCGTCTCGGAAGTGGAGTGCCTGGGCGCTTGCGCGAACGCCCCGATGTTCCAAGTAAACGACGATTACTATGTACGTAAATTTTGCCTCTTCGGGAATAACGGCAGTTTTGAGTGAAAGCGTACTCTCTGTACTTGCTGCTCCTTTCTCTTTTGCAGGAGGATTTGACTCCGGAAACCGCCACGACTATAATAAATGCTTTCAAGAAGGGCGAGAGACCGTCGCCGGGCCCACAGAATTCTCCGAGATTCGCGGCCGATCCCGCTGGCGGACTCACGTCGTTAACGACCCCGCCACCGGGTCCTGGATTTGGAGTTAGGTCGGATTTGTAAAATATGTGTTTTCGATTAGGGTTAATAGTGTACATTAACGAATGTAAAAAAGTTTCAATAAACAGTATATCAAAATAGATATACGGATAGCGGATTATTTTGTAAACGCATTTTCGTACTTTGAAATACTGTTTTTCTTTTCTTGGAATGTAGCTATGTTCTCATTAAAAAAAAATAAAGCTTTTAATCAAATAATTATATTGTAAATTGTTAAAAATAACATTTCCTTTTGTAATTGTGAATTCAAAAAAATCATACATGAAATATATTACTATCTAAATAAATTAATATGCATTTAAAAAAGTTAAAGTTTTTAATTCTATATCACAAGAATCATTTATTAATATTAAATCTTTATAATTAATAATATTAATATATAATTAATATTTATTAATATTAAATGTTATATTTTTATATCATAATTTATAAAGAAAAAAATCATAATATATTAATTAAATATTCATGACTGCGTGTGCCATTTAAAAAATTTATTTAAAGTAAATTTTCTTTCATTATATCTGCATTAAAACGCGTGATCAGTTTACCCAACATAACTGACGATGAATACAACACAATAACCAGACACAATCCGCCGGTTACCGGCGGGTGTGCGAAGGTGAGACGTGCACGCTGCGAGTAATTTCATCGTTTTCGTCGTGCTGATATATTCGTGACGCCGAGCACATGTGCGGACAAGCCGAACGATGGACGAACCCGTTGCAACGACTGAAAAATCGAAGAAGATAGAGGCTATAAACAAGGAAACGGTCCATCACATCTGCTCCGGCCAGGTAAGGTTAAGTATGCGATTAATAAGAAGCGTGTAATTAGTTGTAAAGTAATGTTCTCTTATAAAAAAAAGACCCGTGAGATACTATATTATACGAATATTTTATCAGGTAGTGCTCGATCTTGCGATTGCAATCAAGGAGTTGGTGGAGAACAGTTTGGACAGCGGAGCTACAGTGATCGACGTCAGGCTCACCGATTATGGCAAAACGTGCGTTAGCGTCAGTGACAACGGCAGTGGCGTTTTGGAACGGGACTTCGAAGGCTTAGGTAGGCCCGTAGATTAAAATAATTATGAGTAATTAAAAATCCGACAAAATTCAGTTACGAGCAACGGAAATTATACATATTTAACTTGGAGTCAGTAATGCGGTAGCTCCTCTTTCCTTCGATCAGGCTTGAAACATCACACCTCGAAGCTTCGGGAATTCACGGACCTGACCGAGGTGAGTACATTCGGCTTCCGCGGCGAAGCGTTGAGCTCGTTGTGCGCCCTGTCCGAGCTGAGCGTCGTCACCAGGCACTCGTCCGGCGAGCACGGCTTCAAGTTGGAGTTCGATCGGGGCGGCGTGCTCGCGAGGAGGGAGGCGTGCGCCAGGGAGAGGGGCACCACGGTGCACGTGAGGAACATATTCAGGAGTCTGCCCGTGCGAGCGAGGGAGTTTCAGAAGAATCTGAAGAGGGAGTACGCGCGCGCCATCCAGGTCCTGTACAGCTACTGCCTGGTCTCCACCAACATCAAGATCACGTGCTCCAATCTGGTGGCGGGCAAATCGCCGAGTCTCGTCGTCGCCACGAGGAGCACCGGCGACGTGCTGAGCAACGTCAGCTCCGTGTTCGGCAACAGGTCTCTGGACGGGATCGTTAAACTCGAGCTGCAACCCCCGGACGAGGCGACGCTGCAGGAGCACAATTTGCCCGGCGACGTTACCGTGGATTTCGACTGGGAGTGCTACGTGAGCACTTGCGACCACACCGTCGGACGTTCCTCGCCCGACCGGCAGTTCTTTTACGTGAACGGACGGCCGTGCGACCTCACGAAGGTCGGCAAACTGATCAACAGCGTGTATCACAAGTACAACAGTAAGCAGTATCCGTTTGTCTTCTTCAATGTCAAATTGGACCGGCAGTGCGCCGACGTTAATGTCACGCCCGACAAGAGGACGATATTCGTTACGCAAGAACGCCTGGTATTAGCGACACTGAAATTCAGCCTGACAACAAAATGGGACAAACTGCAAGGGAATTTTACCGTCAAGACCTTAACGGAGTTGAATTTTGGCTTGAAAAGGACAATCTCGCCTAATCGCGCGCATCCGCCGGCTAAAAGATTACAAGTATCGCCTTCGGTATCGCCTTCGGTATCACGTACTGTGAAGGAGCGTGATATACAGACTAATATTAAATCAATGAAAAAGCCCGTAGATGTAGAAATGGTGATAAGTATAGTAGCGATAAGAGAAAAATTGAACGAAAAAAGAAATATCGCTAGAGCACCTGCCAGTACAGCTAAAAGAGTAAAATATAGAATACAAATGGAAGCTAATCAAGGCGAGGCTGAAAAGGAGCTTCAGAGAGAATTGACGAAAGATTCATTTGGCAAGGTTGGTAATGTGAGAATATATATATAATTTTTTATATATCAAAATCGAAATATTATACATTTATGTTTTGAACTTAGAAATCTTTTATAGATGGAGGTAATAGGTCAGTTTAATCTTGGTTTCATAATAGCTCGCTTGGAGGATGATCTGTTTATCATCGACCAACACGCCACCGATGAAAAATTTCGCTTCGAGAAGCTCAGTAACGAAACGAAGCTGAAAACCCAGAAGCTTATTGCACCAAAGTCGCTGAATTTCTCCGCGTTGAATGAAACGATACTCATAGAACATCAGCAAACGTTCGAAGATAATGGATTTACCTTTAATATCAATGAGCAAGGTATGCACATGCAGTTCTCAGAATTTTTATCAATTCACAATTCTCTTGATTGATTAAACCAAGGATATTAGTAAAATGTGAAATATTAAACTACTGCTTTCTATAATTTTCTATATTATGTTTCCTATAACTATTTTTTTTTTTTTACAACTTTTAGCTGAGCCTGGCAAGAAAATAGAATTGATAGGAATGCCTGTCAGTGGTCACTGGCAGTTCGGTCAAGAGGACATTGAGGAGTTAGTATTTCTCATCAGAGAAGCAGGCAATGAAAACAGGGATAGGAGTATATATCGTCCGAGTCGTGTCAGGCAAATGTTGGCATCGAGAGCGTGTCGCAGCGCGATCATGATCGGCACAGCGTTAAACACCGGTGAGATGCAGCGGCTGCTAACGCAAATGGCGCAAATGCAGAACCCGTGGAATTGTCCGCACGGCAGGCCCACCATAAGGCACCTGTTGTCCTTATTATTAATAAACAAGTGATCTGTGATGTTTTCACGAACGTATTTTACGAAGACATTTGTGTTCAAATACAAGCAAATAATTCTTCATCCGCGTTTACGTCTTTAAAAAAAAGTCTCAGTTCGCGAAATTAAAAAATTACATAAATAAGAATAAAATTCATTTAAGAAACGAAAATCTTGTAGATATATTTTACATAGTATATTGTTTCTTCACGGTCTCTTAAAATATATTCTTTTACAGTATCCTAGAGAATGATATCCTATTACACGCTAATCGTACGGAATATATTGAATCCCGAATGCGCGGTCGATATCATAGTTCCCGGGCATTGCGGGTGCCAGTGCAACTCTTTGATATCCGACTGACCCTGATGTATGAACAGCAACTGCGGCGGTAACTTGGCCAACACGCTGTCCTGAGGTTCCTCCGTGTCGTCCGCCTCTACCGACAGATCCCACTGAGCGATCTGATCGTCAGCACCGCCGGAGGCAAACACCGTGGCTTCTGCGGGATGCCACTCCACGGTGGTGACTGGCGCGGTGTGCTGCTTGAAAATGGCGACCGGGCTTGCGCCGTTAGGTCCGAACTGTCGCATGTCCCATACGCAGAGCATCCCGTCGTCCCCGCCTGATACTATAAACTGACTCTCCTTCGGGTTCCACGAGATAACGTTGACGTCAGCCGTGTGAGCGCCGGACGCCGTCAACATGCACGCGTTCTGTGGACTTGCTCGCGTGTCCCAAATCTTTATGCTGGAACATATTAATCTTTATAATAATTTGCGAGGCAGCAATATTCTCAATTCAATTCAGTAATGACAGGGTTGCCACAGACCTGGAAAACCGGGAAAAGTCAGAGAAAGATATAAAAGAGCCTGGAATTTTGAAGTTTGCTCACAATTTCCTTAAAGGGATCATTATTGTTTTATCGACGAAATTCCATAATTTTTGCACAATGTTTTTGTATTATTGCTTTTTCTGATTTGAAAATCTTTTTCCAGAATTAAACAACAGACAATAACAGTAGACAATATAGAATGAAAATGAAATATAGAATGAAATGATTTTATACGAAAATAAGAAAAATTTTCGAAAATTACAATTTCGTTCGAGACTTCTCTCTGTTATTGCAATCGAAAATATTCTGAATGTTTAGCAATATTAAAGAAATGTCTATAGGAATCTTTCTGCTTTTACCATTGACTTTTTGTCTGGTCCCCAAGCAAAGGAAAATTCAGTTATACCAAAGAAATTTTTTCTGTAGTTTAATGCATAACAATGTCAAAGTGATATTAATAATTTGTTGGCCTGAATTTGCATTTGGGATTATATTATGTTATTTAACTTCTAAATTTATTATATTCTAATAATATAAGTTACCTTTCTTGTAATACGTATCTTCTAAACATTAAAATTTAGATTATACATTCGATACCGATCATGGCAAATTTTCCACTGTCGTGTGGAAATCATGGAAAAGTCAGGGAATTTCAAAATTCATTTTCTGTGGCAATCCCGAATGAGTAATAAATATTTTGTAACAAATACGAACCTTTTGTCGACGGAACACGATGCGAGGACGTTCTTCTCATTCGGCGACCACTGCAGATCCTCCACGCTGTGCGGGGCGTGCGAATTGTATGGCCGTTGGTCCACGTGCCAGGACGCGCCGCTGTTGTCGACTCGCCATATGTGAATGTTACCCTTGCAGTCACCGGACGCCAGAGTGCCCGGCTCCGTGCGGCTCCAATCGAGGCCGAATCCTTCGGACAGATGGCCCTTGAACGCGTACAACGGCTTAATCGCCGCACTCGCTTTATCGCACTTGTTACGATATGCGGCCAGCAAGCCGGGATTTTCGACTGCGCTCAACTGTTCCTGCAGGTTCCAGATATTTACGCGCCCCAGCTCGCTCCAACTGGCAGCCAGGATTGCTTCGCCAATTTTCGTACATCTGTGAACATTACAAATGGGAACTTCAGCAAAAAATATATATTCCACAGCCGTCAATTGTCAATGACGGACCTTTCCGGAATATTTCCTTACCTCACTCTATTAATACATCCTTGGTGTTTTATAGGAGCGACGTTCATAATCGGCTTAACCTCGCCGTTCTCGTCGTCCTCGTCTTCCGAATCGCTCGATTCGCTCTCCGAGTCATCGGAGCGCTGCTTAATACCGTGCAAATTGGACATCTTCATGACGAGGAGATTGTTAACGTGCGTCCTGGCGGCTTGCGTCCCAGCGACTATGTACATGCTTAAGGGATAACTCTCCCTGGCGTTACCCAGATCGTCCGGTATCACGTCGAAGCTGAGGCACGGTGCTCCAGATTGCGCGTGATGCAGCAATCTGTACGCCGACTTGTCCACAGCGAGCTCCTCGTCCTTCTGCAGAGCCTGTCCCGGAAGGTACACTTGGGCTTCCTCTTGACCTTCATTCGCGTTTTCGCCATCCATGGACTCGTCGCTGCTCCCGCTACTCTCGTCCTCGTTCGTGACATCCTCCATCGGTTCCTCCTTCATTTCCTTGGGCTCTTTAAAGTGGACAGGCATGTTAGATAAACGCAACGGTGACTGCAATAACGAATTTTATAGTTCTTTAATAACACATTAAAAAAAAAAGATATTAAGTTTTGACTGTTTTCCGGCCAATATGAAGAAATTTCAAGACGTACAAATTACGTATCATATTGAAATGCTACTTCATTTGTAAGGGAAGTGGCATACTGCTTATCTCGGGGAAACATTGGAAACCTGGGAGAAATCGTAATCGAAAACAATAATGTTATCGCGTTTATTGCTGAAAATGTTATTAGGTAAGACATCAAGGCATCAAGAATTAAATTAAAGGACCGTATAGCAATGTGATAGCATTAGATTTTATCTTGGGGAAACATTGGAAACCTGGGAGAAATCGTAATCGAAAACAATAATGTTATCGCATTTATTGCTGAAAATGTTGTTAGGTAAGACATCAAGGTATCAAGGGTTAAATTAAAGGACCGTGTAGCAATGTGATAGCATTAGATTTTTATTACCTTTAATCATGATTTCTCTCGTTTTTTTATCAAGGTAAGTGATACACTACCCGATTCCGCTTAAAGTAATCCTTTATATGATATATAATTTGTACGTCCCAGAACTTTATGTTGATCAAAAAAACAGCCAAAATTTAACATATTTTTCTTTATATTTTATTGAAATTTCAATGTATCTTGTGATGTATCCTAACCTCAGAGATTGCTGATCAAAATATTACAGATAAGCTATATTAACTAAACATATTTTCAGATAAACTTGTACTTACCTAAAGAAACCTTAACGGTTAATTCCTTAATATATTTACAATTATTTTCCTTTTTTAAATATAAGATTAAATAAATAAATTGGCTTTATCCCGCTCTATCCGCATTACATACAAGCAACAGCCATGTGGGTCTTTTCGCCATCTGCGCATGCTCAAGAACTCGTCATGTGTGTGTGTGTGTGTGTGTGTGTGTTTACATACACTTTTAATTGGCACTTGATTTTTGTTTACTTTGAAAAGAAATTAAAAAAGAAAAAATATACAGCTAAAAAAAGATGATTATATTTGTCTAAATTAGTTTTTTCAAAGCTTTTGTTTGAAAAGATATAGATGTATATTCAAGCTTCAGAAGGAAGAATGTAGAGGCAAGCATAAAATCTAACACATAAGGATACATATAAAGAGAATTGAATAAAAATATATAATTATTTTTAAATAGTAAAAATTTTTAATGTCTCATATTTGAGTCCGCTACAAAAAGTTGTTCGCTTTCTCCTTCAAATCCTTTCCTTCCATAGAAATCTCGAGAATCTATGCAATACAAACTATATTTGTCATCACAAAGTATCGCAAAAAAAAAAAAATAAATAATACAGAAAATTAGAGATATCTAAAGTCGTACATTGTTCGAGAAACTCAAGCTGCAGTAACGAAATATTAATGAATCGACGTTACGTTGTTTGCGAAAGAAATTCGATATAATAGTAATTTATCTTCTTTACCACAGACGGAGGGTATAAAGAGCGGCAGCTGTGCGCGCATTTTCTTTGTATATAATTCGCAGAAATTATTACAAAATTTATTCAAGAAGTTAATATACAAAGTACACAATTTATCGTCCGTATATTAACAAGTACAACGCAACTTTTCCTTCGCCTCGACAAAATGTAGAAAAAGTTGTTTCGCGCAGCTGTACAGAGCCGGGATATGCGATACGTGGAAAAGGATCACGTGTATGGCATCCTACGTATATTAGGCACAAACACTAAATAATAATGACAATAAAATAAAACAATATTGGCTTAATCACTCGCGCGTTCGATAAAAAGTCATATCGGAAAAATGAGAATTCGATTACATGTACATAAGAAAAAGGAAGGGGGGTGCACCTTCGCGAAACGATTCATCAACAATCTAAGACTAAACGTAATAATAATCGTAGTAATTAACCTAAGGATAATAATCATAAGAGATATAAGCACATAGATAATATCAATTTATATATATAAAACACAACAGTAGTTGCAGTAGTGGAGGTCCCTTAGGGGGAGAAGGGGGGGAGAAGTAACGGCGAATTTTTGCTCGGAGAGACAACCCGAGTGGCGCGGGAGGGGGGGAATCGAATTCTGGATTAAAAACGTTGGCTTTTCGTGATTCCGCGCGACGATATATTAGCTGTGCTCGCTCAAATGGGTGGTGTTGTTACTAGAGTTATTCATTAGCTCGATAGACGCCATCGTGGAGTGCGAATGATTGGACAGCTGAGAGGTGGGATTGTGCCGTGGATTGGTATTGTGGAGGCTGTGCAGGTAGGAGCGCTGGACGGGCTTGTGTTGACCAAGCTGCAGCAGGGCCTCCGGTATGGTGAACCACTTTCGCTTCCGGCCGATAGCGCGCGAGTCCTCCCATTCTGGCAGCTCCTCGGTCACTCGCATAACCCACACTTCCGTTCGGTGTTTGTGCTCCGTGTTCTGTAAAAGGGAGAAGAGCCCACACGGTGAAATGGAATGGACCTATACCTCAATGGGAGCCGCTGTTATCTCGCTTGGGAGTCTCACGGTCTCTCGAAATCGAACAACAAACGAACGCGACTGAGAGGTAACGATTTAATTACGTACAAAACGCGGCACGTTAATAAAAAAAAAAAAGGAAAAAAAGTAAACAGAAAGAACAGCACGCGACATCGAGGTTGAATAATATCTGTACATGGCATACATCACGAGTTATAACCTCAAATGTGCCGAGGCAACGGCCCAACTGTCCTAGAACGCCAGCCTCCTCCCGGACCTCGCGGAGAGCCGTGACCGATGGTTCCTCCTCGGGTTCGACGCCGCCGCCTGGTACTATCCAACTGTCGGGTCTTCGACTGGATGTAACTAGCAGTACCTGCAGAAGTTGTACAAGTACACGTGAGAGAGCGAGAGAGAGAGAGAGCGAGACCACGTGCGAGAAAGCTCGACCTCGACGAGAGACGAGTCCAGGTCGATTGACGATCGGGTCAGAGATCGACTTTCAGACGGGGAGACAGAGAGGGGGGAGTAAGAGAAACTAGCCGGCTCGCGAGACGAGGGTACGCGGCGACGAGTCGCGTGCCGGCGAGGATTTACAGGTGGCTGCCATCTGCTTAGGCTCGGCTTACCTCGTCCTCGAGATCGCTCTTGACGCAGATACAGGCGGCCCTGCGTCGGTAGCCCTCCGAGTCGTAGATGCGGATCGAATTCGCCTTCTCCTTCACCATGTCGCTGTTGTTGTTGTTGTTGTTGTACCGTGGATACCCTCTCCTCAGATCTTTCCGTGGATTCATAAATAATCGTCAAACGGCCCGACTGGCCAGCCTGTGCATCCGTGTCGTCCTAACGTTGCTCGTAGCCGACATATTATCGACATCGAGTCCACTTTGCCGTACGTAAAAAGGCGTGTGCGGCCCGAAATTCACGTGTGTGTGCACGGTGGTTAGCGGTCAGATGCGCCGCCACCCGTTTGCGTGTGTGTGTGTCGAGAGCTGCCCGATGCGCGTTCCTTCCGCTCGCAACGACGAAACGCGTCTGCCGTCACCGATCTGTGTCGCCCGCGCGGTAAGCCCACGAACAGAAACACACGGTTCTGGAGCCAGACGCTCGCTATAACCTCCAAGGCAACCCGAGGCGCTACCGCACCGACCAACCACGACCCCGCCGTGCGCGACCTCCCTCCGCCGTCCCGCTGCTCCGAGTCGCAGCCAATCAATTCCGTTCGATCTCTACGCGTATTTTTGTGGCTCCATCGCGTGGCGGCAGACTCTTCGTGTCTTCGACGCGCGACGTCCAATGAAAAATTTTGTTTGTTTTTTAACGAATTTAAATAATCACGAGACAATGGCAAGTAAAGGAGAAAATAAAAATGTGGAAATGCAATTGAAGCGGTTAGATTTGTATACATCAGAATCTTTCTAAATGATAATCAATCGTGCCAATTTAAATTTTAATTGCTCTGTAAAAGTTATTTGATTTTCTTTCTAAATTCATGTATATTTAGCGTTCCATGTGCAAATTAGTCTGCATTTTGTACTATATTTATCTCTAATTAGGTCCATTAAAATTTAATTAAAAATTAATTAGAATTTCTTATTCAGATTATTATTCAGATATGCTCTTAATCAGATTTATTATTCAGATATGCTTGTAATTTTATTCTCAAATTTCAAGAGTATTGACGGATTAATTATTAATATCAACTTGATGTCTCGATAATCATGTTAAACTATCTATTCTGACATCATACACGTGTCTAATATATGATACTTGAAGAAATAGTGGAAAAATATTCCAAATTAAAATTGTACTGCCTATAAATTATACATATATTGCCTTTAGGCAACATATATTACACATTGTAGAAGATTACACGTTTTATCTTTGAATTATAAATGAAGTTGGGAAATTTCCTAAGAGCGAATTTCCTAAGAGCAGATAAGAAATAATCATTATAGATAAAAGTATTCCATAAGACGATTCATTAAATTATATGTGATATTATGAAATACAGAATAAACTAAATGTTGGCTCGAGACAGCGCACAGATATTTCCAGAAATTTCAATAAGAGACTGTGTGTGCCACTTGAGGTTTTTCTCAAGCATTCGCAAAAACAAATTAAAAGTAGTCCCGTAATAAAATGGAGTTTCCTGACAGATAAAAAAATTAAATTTTTTACAAAATGATTCGTCAAATATATACGATAATATATAACGGTATTTTCACTACATAAATATGTTATAAACTATATATATTTATGTAGTGAATACACAGATGTTTCAGGAAACGTGTTCCATACTACCTGAGTATCGATCATAAACTTTTTCTTCAGAACAGAAATGTGAAAAGTGAAAACACCGATGAGATACTATTGAAGATATCTTTAATAGTGTGTCGTCGATGTTTTCACTTTCACGTTTCTGCCATAAAGAAAAAGTCACATGATTGATGACCTGAAGTCTTTCTGAGTCATTTGTAAGAACAAAGTTGAAAGTCCCACAACAGAATAGAGTCTCCTGACAAATAAGAAAAGTAAATTTTCTACAATATGATTCATCAAATATACGTATGACATATGACAGTATCATTCATGACATAAATAGTATACATACTTATATAGTGAATAATGTGCAACAGCTCTTTCAGATCAAATTAATATAAATTCAAATAAAAATGACGGAGCTTTACTTATCATCTTAAAAGAATTTTTCAAGAATTTATCTTCGAATTATACTCACGAATAGAAGGTGTTTAACCAGTAAATCTTAATTCTACAAATGACACATGAATTTTGCGTAAACAGAGTTTTGTGTCAATAATAAAATAATTTCGATCTGATATTTGAATATAAATATTGTTCGACTTAACTTTCAATAAAGCAAAATCAGGCTAGTCAAAGAATCAACTTGTGAACTTATTGTACAATAATTTGTACAATAATCATTCGGAACATTTACCCGTAATTACCCGTGATCGCACGATTCACCGCGCTCCTGCTCGAGGCACATGAAAAAAGAAAGCAGTTTGTAAAATTAGACATTTCGTAAATCGAACGTAGCTTATAAACTATATATTTAAGTCAATAGTGTCATACATACAAATGGTTCATTACAACCTGTGTGTGTCCACAGTTACAATCTTGCGAGTTTTAGGCTTCCATCGCCTTCCATTCGCGATCTCTTTATTCTACGGAGCTAGATTAGACGCACTGATCTTTCTCGGGCTCTCACGTTTCGTTTGATGGTAGATCTACAGCCCCGCAGGTAGAGGAATTCCGTATACCGTATGTTTCTCTTTAATTAAAAAGTATCTCTTAAACGTAAAATCAACAAAGAGCATATCTTTCTAATTTTCCGTAATGAATTAACGGAGACAAGATGACGAGGGATCGCATAAAATGTCTCCAGAACCCCAGGCGTCTCTTCCTTTTAAATTCTTTAAATAACGTAGAGTTAATTTATACCGTTAAAAATGTTACACAGTTGTCGAATAATTAAAAATTTAAATAAAAATTAAAAATTAAATTCGCGTTTCTAGTTTGGAGAGAGAAAAAAAAACAAAATATTAAAGTCTTAGCAGAACTTTAATTTAAAGCTTGCCAATTAATATTGAACGCTGAACCATGCGATGATTCAAGGACACTCTCTATAATCGGAAAATAAAAGGCATGGACATGCGAATTAACGTTCATCAAGAAAAAATAATTTGCATTATTTCGTGCATTTCTTTCTCGACTAATTAAAAAACGAGTATCATTGAGTCTGTTTATTATTTTAGTTGCAGTTCCTGCACGCCTTGCTACCGCGCCTTCGAATACAATGCCCGTTTCCTTCTATTTATATAATTTTAATACAGCACGTGTAAGGAAGTACAACTAAGATATGAACAGATTCACAGTACGGAATACCGCTACCGAGATCGAGAGCGAGGTGAGCACGTGCGTTGCATGTGTGTCGCGACACACGCACGCATCCGCACGTGCTCCCCGACGTTTTCGTCGTTCGCCGCCGCCGTCGCCGCTGTGGGATGCACGCGATCTATTTGCGTACCTTCCCTCACACACGGCGCGCAATTACCCTTCTTCCGCTTTCTTCCCCGCATTCCGTCTCCGTATAAATCGTCGCATACAACGAGCCTTACACATATCGTAAAATCGATAAACGACCAGCCGCGAGACACAATCTCCCCGTCCTCGATCAGTAAACGAAATACAAAGAGAAACCTCCCCGCAACGCTTTTCATCGCTGTTACCAATCTTCGTCTCGAGTTACCTTTGCATCCTCTTTCTCTCTCTCTTACTCTTTTTTCTTTAGTTTTTTTTTATTTCTTTACGAAATCGAGCTTGTCTCTACGGCCACTTACCTCTCATATAGCTTAAAAAAGGTGTGTATACATATACATACAGGATGTTTTAGGCATCGCGCACTTTCTCTTGAATACAGATACTGCTTTTCTTTCGATTTACGTGCTTATTTAATTTAATAATTTCGATATCTTTACCAATAAATATCTTTTTTTTAAGGTTTAAATTAATTTTTTTTTAGTTTTAAAGACCGCTTGCAGTCCAACGAGCGACTCTCTTGTGGCTCGCGAAAATTCTTCTCGCTTATCAGTGAAAAAAGTCTTGTTCAGCTTTTTAGATATCTAGATATCCGTCGAGAGAAAGTGTGCGAGAGAGTATGCATATATATATACACATGTATATGTACATACTTTATTTATGTTTACGCGTCGATTTTGTTAATATAATTTATTTCTAGTTCCTCTCGGTTTTTTTTTGCATCGCACACTGCCCTTCGCTCCTCCGTTCCTTCCCTCACTCTCCCCCACCTCGTATATTCGTCTCATTGCTTTCGCCAGTTTGTATCCTTAAACCGCACGCAACAGACAAGTCCGAGCCGAACATACACGGTTTTCCATACATCACCGGAACAATGAGAGACTTTGATTGTTCGTATTACAAAAACTACTTCTGCTGGGTTATGTCAATCCTTATCCATATACAAAAGAGATTAATTATACAGTAGGTAAATCCTCAGTAATCGACAATAGACTGTACACATCTCGGTAACACGGAGCGTGTCTCAATTCTCTCTAATAACAACAAAAGAGATTTATCACATTAGTATGAATCTCAGTAAGGAAGGTTAAAATCAGAACCTTTATTGTTACTACAGCATCAACAGTGTTACGTCGTCATCTCCAGCGCTCGAAACTCTTATACATTCTGGCCCTCCCTTTTATGAAAGTATCAAAAATATCCTTTCTAGCACTCATTCCCCAACAGACAACGGAAAATTTTTTACGATATATCGTCTCAATACTAAAAATCAATAAAAGTATACAACTAACTTATCTAAGGTAGAGCTCACCTGCTCCTATGCAGGTCTCCTTGACTAAGATTCGTCCTGTCCCCCTTTTCCAGAAAGAAAAAAAAGAACCATAAAAAGAATAAGAAAAAAAACCGAAAGAAAAACATGATTTGATAATAATAAAGATTGTCTTGCTTAAGCGCTAAATCTCGAGTTCAAGAGGTAAAACTAAGTAAAATTTATAAATATGATACAATTGATATTAAGCGATAGAGCAATAATAGATTAATTATAGATACGTGTAGGTAATAGCATTGTATCGTTGAATCCTATGGCGATTTTTTTTCTGTTTGTTATTTAAGTCCTCCGCTTAACAATAGTAGAATTGAGGATTGAATTAAACATCAGTGTTTTTCCCGTGTGTTCGATTTGATTGAGCGAGTCTCGTTCAGTCGAACAATTCACCGCACGCACCAATCACCATTGCGGACTAGCAGCCACCTTGACTAGCTTTTTTTAAATTTTCTGCCATTTCCTGCCACCTCAATCCCATCGACGTGTATGTCCTCTGGGCTAGCAACTTGTTCCACTATACTCCATCAACTTCAGCAGGTACGAATCAATCTCCAGGATGTTCAGGGCAGCTACGATTCACTTGAAACCACTTATCGATACAGCTAGAAAAAGCATCGATACAGCATGAAACTTTATATTATCTAATCCTATCATCGTAATTTAAGTAACTGAAGGCGATATACTTGTTAACTCGAAATAATTAATAATTATTTTAATACTAGTCTTTATCTATTAATTATTTTAATATTAAAAAATTTCGATATTAAATGATATACTAATATTTTCATAATAAATTTATAGCATTATAACATCTTATTTTCCTTTAGTCAATTTTTTTGAGATAATCAAATTTCTTCATTAACAGCACATCTTTTGTTGCCTATGTTAAAAAAAAAATAACAATAAGATTGCATTGTCGTACATACTTTTTATGATATATACAGAGACAGGGCAAGCGGGCTATAAGATCTCCAGATTGTAATTCCTCCAAGCAAATGACACATTCGCCTTTTCCATCCGTAAGCACATCCTCTGCCATGGAAATAAGCAAGGGCGTTAACATCCTGATATTTAATTATCATCCTAATTAAATCAGACGAGCATCGCTTCGCGAAAGTAAAAACGAGTTCGCCGACTGGTGAACATTGAACATGTAGAGAAATGACATTAGACAGCACGCATCTCCAAAATCGGGACATAGGACGTCTTTGATCTTGAGACATGGTGCTGTCTGGGTATCTATCGCTCATCGAGACAGACACAAATACTCGTCATCGATCGAAAAATCGTCACCCACTCACCATTGTAACTGAGCCGTGGCTTGGTCAGGCACATGACCAGGTGACACTCGATATCGTCCGGCAGAATGAACTTGGAGCATACGGGACACTTTAGACCTTGAACACAAAGGCAGAGAGAGAGTGCGTCAGAAAGCGAGGGCAAGCGAGCACAGCGGGAGGAGAGGGCGACGAAAGGGAAATGTGAGGGCTGCAAATCGGAAGGACGCCTTTACCGTAAAAGACCCGTCTGACCCGGTCCACCGGCACCACAGCCTCGGCCTCGTGCTCGTTCAGGCACGAGCTCACTATAATTCCCATAATAGACCCGACATAACCTCAGCCGTGGGCCGCGAACCCGCGCGGCGATCCTCTCCCGAGCCTCATCCTCTCTCCCGCCCTTTGACCGCCGTCGCGGGTGATCCTCGCCGGCGAGCCGCGACACGCCCTCCTCCTCCTCCGCCTCCAACTCCTCTCGCTCTCTCCCCGGGGCCGCGCGGTTTCGCCACCGGACTTTTAACTTTTCACAGCCGACGCCGAAAATTTTTTTCTCCCCAGGTCCCGCTGATGCGTGTGTCCTCGGGCCATCATCGATTGTGGTACGCGGTTACCGGGCCAACCACCCCGGCAACACGCGTCAAAACAAACGCCCCCTGTCCCACCCGCGAATCATCGTCGCGCAGCACCGAGCGAGCCCCACACCGTCCGTCCGCGCGGCGCGGGGCTCTCTCGCTCGCTCGCTCCTGTGCTCGCTGCGCGGTTGCGCGACCTAACCTCGCTTTTTTGCGGCGCTCCTCTCGGCAATTAGGTTAGAGACCGCTAGTGCTCGCGATTAATGCCCCCGCGCGCGAGCGAGAGACCACCTCGAGACGCGTTGCGTGACGGCACGCGTCTGAATAAAAAATAAATAAATAAAAAAAATATCCTGTCGCGCGCGAAATGCTGCACGGACAGGGATCGGCGGACGCGCGACGAATAACTGACGGCTGGGACTTATAGTCGCGAATGGGACCCCGATCGCTCCTTTCCTCGGCGATGCCGTTTCGCCCCTAAGCGCTCCTTCGCGCGCCCCGACGAACAGAACCGTAGCGGAACTGATCAATGATTCACACACGTGTGACGATGCAATGACGATGATTTGTTGACTTTCAGCGCCGCGATAAGGTGCGAGATTTAGCGTAGCGGATCGACGACGATACGCTACGTGTAACGCATGATGTTTAAAATTACAAAGCTTTACGGACTGTTTACGGACGATCCGTCGAAGCGAGCGGAGTTTTTTCAGGCGCGGGAGGGGGGGAGGATCCAGGCTCTGGAAATAAATAAACACGCACGCAGACACAGGGGAAGGGGAGGGGGAAGGGGGGAGCTTACCGTTGAGGGACCAAATGTGCGAAGGCAAGCTGTGAGCGGCGTAGACGCGACCGCTCTCCTCGTCCGTGTCGTCGGAGTCGAGCTGCGGCAGGCCGAGGGCCTGGCCGACCCCGACCCCGACCGAGGTGGAGAGGCTGGCCTGCTCGGCGGAGGAGAGATCCGGCACGGAGCTGAGCGAGCGTGCACGCTGCCTGCTGTCCCCGGACATGCGCGAGTTCTGCGACTGATTCTGCGACTGCTGGTGCTGATGGTGCAGCATGCCCACGCCGCCGGGCAGGGAGCGGAGCATGGAGAAGCCCTGCATCGCGGTCTCGTTGGCCCCAGTGGACGACTGACCGTTGCCACCAGCGGATTGTGCCACGGTGCTCGCCTTGGCTCCCATCCCCCGGCTGTGATGACGAGATGAATTTGGGGGGTTGAAAAAAAAAAGGTCGTCCGAACCACGTGTCCGTCCCGCCCGTTCCGCCCGCTCGTCCACTCGTCTCTCTCCCTACGACTGTCCGCCGCCCCCGGCGATCGGAAGGACTCTCGGCCCCGTCACCCGGTCACGCGCGGCCGACCGGGGTGGAATAGGGTGGAAAAGGGGGCAACCGCGACAACGCCTCCCCCGGGTACCTTCTCAGGTCCTCCTGGCAGTGGTACGCGCGCACACACACACATACACTGGCAACAATCCCCAAGCGGTCCTCGCGCGCCTCCGTCTCGCCTTCCGTCCTCTCGCCCTCGTCGTCACGACCTCCTCGTTCTTCCTCCCCCTCGCGCTCCTCACGACGGCGCGGCGTCGGCGTCGGCGTCGGCGGCGACTGCGGGCGGCTGGACGACCCTGGCGCGGCCCCACCGGCGGGCGCGACGCTTCCTCACAGCACCTTGGGATTTAACTTAGGCCGGAATTTAGCAGACGTGCGCCACAACAAGCAAGTCATTTCGTCCGCGAACATACCAGCAGCGGCTCGTCGCACAAAACATTCCCCGACATCTTAAACTTCCTAGATGTCAACACGGTCGGCTCGCGCAGACACTCCACTCCACTTCGCGACGTTGCGCGCGCGCGCGCGTGCACGTCGCGGGCTACGCGCGATAGACACGATACGACACACGATGCGCCGTTTACGTGCGTCAACGCCGTCAACTCTTCGGGAGAGCCGGGAGGAGTGCGAAGCGGCGAATTCTGATTGGCGACTCCATGTTGTCGACGCGTACTTCGAGGTATGTATATCGGCGAAGCGCGATTGATTGCTTAAAAAAAAAAAGATGTGATATCTTTTACACTCTCCTCTCGAGTTTGTTGTTTTCAATGTTACCGCATCTCTCCCGCGGTATAATATTCCAATCAACCCAGCGACAGATTTTAAGGCTTGAATTATTATTACGACCGACTTGTTGAAAGCAGAGATGTCGAGAGGGAAATTTGAAATGGGGAAAATAAAATTATAACATACATTAAAAAAAAAACGTATAACAATATAATAATAATAGTATAACAATAACGTATTTAACTGTACCTTTTTTAAATTAATTACAACTACCATCCTTTTGCCTTGATGAAATGTACAATAAATTATTACGTTGTATCACCAAATAATAGCACAATCCAAGAATTTTTTAAATAAAATATCTCTCTCGGTATTTCCTTAAGATACAAAGAAAACGACACCCCACCTTATCAATATAATCCATTAATCTTTAATGTGAAAATATCCGACAGAAATATTAATCACACAACATATACCAAAAATTTATGTATACATATATTTATATATATATACTTTTCTTCTTATAAATACGTAGTATATATATGTACAATTTAATCGATATAAAAATATCTAAAGATGCCTCGCAATCTTTATACACGTACAATAGGTTTCAAAACGGCGAAAAATGGCACGTAGTCGGTAAAATAATTAATTAGTAGTTTTGACATAGGTTACGAGTATCAGCCTTTGAATCGGGGCTCAGAGAGCTCCAAGGGGTATCGAGACATTTTTGTAGCTTCGATCCGGACCGAGTCTCATCGTCGGCGTCGCACATCTCGTTGATCTCGTAGTGCTCGTATACCAGTCTGTCCAGCCAGTCGTCGAGATCCTCGCCGATTCTGTTCTGACTGTGCGTAATTTGCTCGTTCGCTATCACGGATTTCACCAGCTTCGACCAGCTTTTGTTCATCTCCTCTGTAATATGATAGACGATGCTCGGACCGTCTACTATCTCCTTCGCCTTCTCCAAGTCTATCCTCTTGGTCTTCCAGTAGGACAGCGGAATTACTAGGAATTTCAATTTCGCTATTAGTTGAGTGTCGGCGACCAATAACAGTCGCCAAGTACCAACGGCTAATTGTTCGTTCAGCTGCGGCTTAACATGTCCCACCTTAAAAAAAAAAAACATATGAATTAATAACATTAAGAAACCGGCAAAAAGATAAATAAATAAAAAGAAATTCGAATTATAAGAGTGACTCGAAAAATCACCCGTTTTTGGGCCCTCGATTTTGAGACTGAACTGTATGCCAAATGATATCTTATAATGAGACATTAATTATAGAGATGTTTCATGCTGAGGTGACAATTGTTATCAGAGCTGGAGACGAAGTCAAAGTTCATTATGGAATTGTCAGAATTATAGATCTGCCAGGTCCGGTATTTTAAGAAGGTTAATCCCAGTCTTACGTAAAAAACACTTGTTTTGGATGTAAAAAAATCGAAATTTTCGCGTAGAGAGACGCAATAAGTGATCTCCCTCCGGCTGTGATAAAAATTATCACCTCAATCTGAAACTTCTCTATGATTAATATTTCATAAGGTACCATTTGGCACACAGTTCAGTCCCAAAATCGAGGGTGAAAAAACCACCGTTTTTTGGGTCACTCTTTGTTCATATAATTACCAAGCTCATCTCTTCGAGCAGCATGTGATTCACGTCGGCGAGACGGCCGTGCGGATCGATCCACAGGACTGACACGTTCTGCGGTATCGTGACACCCGCGTCGAACTCGTAAGCCAAGACCGGAGTCGAGTACGGCCCTATACTGCCCATGAAGTTTCTGAACGTCTGCTCCTTCTGATCGTAATCCGTGCTAACGGAGAGACTTCGTATCTTCCCTAGCCACGATCTACTAGCGGAAAAATTGTGTCGCAGAGAGATCAAAACCTCCACGCGTCTCGCGCGACTGTTGGGCAGTGCGGATACGTCGGAGAGCTCTTCTTTGCTCTCCGTCAGAATTAGAACACCGGCGAAACGATTCTCGCGAAAGTACGCGGTGTTTTCCAACAAGCGGACACTCTTGTGATCCATGTTCAGTTTGCGGTAGACCAATCGCGCCAAGGAGTACGAGAGCGTCAGCAACGCGTCGTCCGGCAGTGGACTCAGGTCCGCGTGGTGATAAAGACTTTGCCAGTACATGTCGTAGCCCCGCGATCTCGTCGTCTTGTTTATACGATCGGGATACAGCCATTCCTCCACGCGATTTATGATTCTGTGATCGATGACGGGCTCGAATTTACGGGCGAAGAATATGTTGCGATCCACCGTGTTCCGCAGCCGGTTGAAATCCTCGAGTTTGAAATCGTTCGGGCTGCACCCGCACCAATCCACCACGGCCTTGTACTGGCACTTGCAGCCCAACTTCCTCTTCCAGTTAGTCATGTGCAGATTATTGTCTATGTAAGTATTGCAGAAGCGTGAATTTCTCATGACCGTGTGGAAGAACGACTCGGCCGGCAGCAAGGTGTATTTGAACAGTTTTAAGAGATTGGCTACCAGCTGATCGGGATTCGGATCCGCGACGTACTCGACGAAGTCTCGGCTCAGAGCAAACCAGTCGCTACCACCGTCGATTTGAATACCTGTAATAAAATATTGCATATAACTACATGCAGGCAAATTTATATCAATATGCTGTTTATGCTAAGAAATAATTTTTCAATATGCCAGGCGTTGAATTATATCAACATCGGAATGTTATCTACGAAATATTAAATTCTTTGGTACTTGAAAAATTATTCAAAAAAGGTAACGCTGAACAATCTTAAAGGCAATATTCATAATCATTTCTTATCTATCTTTAAAGAATTATATATATATATAAAATAGATAAGAAATTAAATATTAAATTATAGACGAGATATATATAAATGTATGATATATGTATGCGTCATGTAACGCACGCATACATATATCAACAAAAAATGAACTATCGTTTTAAAGACTAGGCAGCAAACAGAAAAATATAAGCAGTATAATAAAATAATAAGAAACTCACTAATTATTGCTTAAAAAAATAATCAAATAAAGAGATTGTGTATATAAAATAAAGATACTTGATTTTAACATACCATTTGGTAACTTTCGATCGCCGATTCGCCACATGCGTGCCTCGCATTCGACGAAGGTCTTGTCTAAACCCTGCTTGGCTATGAAACGCTGAACTTCCCTTCCGTGCGACTTCGCGAAGTTCATACCTTTGTTCCAACTGAGAAACTCGGTCAGCTGACTATTGCTTTTCAAGGGGAAGTCGGATTCCGATAGATTTACGAGAAAATCCCAATGCTGATGATAGGCGAGCATCTGTTGTGCGGACTTTAAAAATGTCGTCAAGAGACTCGCGCCACCCCAAATACTCGCGTGTCGCAAGCCCTCCCCCTTTGCCACTTTGATATTATTTAATTTACACGATTTCTCCAGTTCCAACATTTCGCGATACAAATAATCCTGCCTCTGAAAATATACATAATTTGATTGAAACAATATTCATCTGTAGTTATCAATATGTTGTTACGTTCAATGTAATAAGTTTATAATAGAAATTACCACAGAAAAAGTTTAAACAGAAATATGTAATAAATTAGAAATTCCATTACATGATGATGTAAAATTAATCCATTGTTTTTGCCTTATCAAAAAAAAAAAAAAAAAAAAAAATTAGAATAAAAATAATCTTTTTACACTGTTAAACTTACCGCGTCAACGTGGATATAAAATAAATGCGAAGGATGATATAAAATACTGATAAGTCGTTTCACTTGTCGACTCGCTCTACCATTCACCGTCAGCAGATAAGCTATTCGCACCGGTTGCTCGTGTTCGTTTCTTAAACTCGAGTTTCTCGCCTCTTGGGCCTTGAATTCTGTCGATACGAGAAAAAAAAGGACCCTTTAATAATTCCATAGGATGCCTACATGCATTTAAATTGCTCTCACGTACTTTGAATTCCAGTCCAATATATGTTAATCGTTAAATAACCACCGCACGTCTGTCTCGGATTGCCGGAACACTTCATGTTGCAGCTGGAATCTGGTAACCGTTTCGTCTGCAGCGGCTCCTCCATTCCGCAAAAACATTCTACCCTAAAATCACACAGTGTTTCAGAAAGATATAATCAAGGATAAGGATAGCATATTTGAAGGGGTGCCTGAAAAAATGTTGCAACCATCATTTTTATGAAAAGTGATGTTTCAATGGAAAAATGTTGATTGTACAGTCGTCGACATATCAGTTGTGACATTTTTTTTAAATAGGTTTCGAAACGCACTAATATTTTGCAAATGCGAACCACAATTGGTGTACTGACTTTAAATTAAAGATAGTACACCATTGTAGCTAGCATTTGCAAAATATTAATTACCTATAAATATATATACACTAAAAACCTATGAAAAAGTGTTGCAACCGATGTGTTCACGACTATACATTGGCTAAACATGGTGAAATTTAGTGGTAAAAAAAAAAAATGTTGGACGCAACGTTTTCAGAGATTGAACTTTTCTTCATTTATGTCAATCGTAGAATCAATCGATTGAGATACTAACGAGTACTCTGTACCAGCGTACGGAAATCCCGATTGAAGACACATGTAAGCGCAACGCTCGGGCGTATTGTTCCCTTTGAAGACGTGATAGTAACCGGAGAGCGCCCGCAACGTCTTGTCGTCCTTGAAGCAGCCCAGGTTGATCGGCATGCCTGTGAAACCTGGGGAACGGGGACACGAGGATTGTACTCTTTCCGGGTACAACGAACCCTGCTGGCTAAGGCACGTCACATTGACAATGCGCTGCTTGCACGCCTGGCTCTGGGCGCGCGTCACAGCGCTCACCGCCTCCCGGACCGTAACCTCGCACGCGGGCGTGAAGTTCAACGACTTGCGATCTAGCTTGATTCTGGCGGTGCGATTTCTCAGCTGGGACTGCGGCTGAGTTTGCCTGTTGGAATTCGCTCGCTTGTCGGGTGGTAGTTTCAGTTGACGCGAGCCCTTCGGCAGGCCCTCGTCCTCCTCAGGTTGCGAGGAACCACCCTGTAATTTTTTTATTAAATTGTCAAGTATTCTATCGTCATTGTCCTCGCAAGAGGGAGAGAGAGAGAGAGACGTAGGTTAGGCGGCTCACCTCTCCGGACGACAGTCGGCTGGACTTGCCCTTGTCGCTGTCCAGGCCGAAGAACGTGTGCAGGTAGACCTGGACGCACAACACGGTGATGCCGAAGGCGAAGATCAGCCGGTACTTGCGCAGGCAGCTCGACGAACGGCCGCCTGCGGGGTGGCTCTTGGTGGTCGCCATTGTCTCTCGCCCTTCGAGGCTCTCGTCGCTCGCGGATTACCGTCGATCGCGACGCGCGACCGAGGGAGGCCGGACGAACGACTCGATCCCGTCACGACGACGGCCTCATCGGGCGCAGGAATTAATCCACGTTCCCCGTGATTCAGCGGACAACCGAACGCGCGTCTCCACTCATACGCTCCGCGTCGCGTCCCGCCCCCATCGCACGCAACTCGCGCACAACCACTAAATGCACTGCGACGCGACCGCGTCAAGAGACGGCATCCCCTGAAATCCCTGAATGATTAAAATTAAGCGCAAAGGTTAGGTCGCGCGCGCGCGCGCCTGGTGAGGTTAGGCTCGTATGCGTCACAGCGCGCGTGCCAGGGGGCGGGCGGGCAGGCAGGCAAGGCACTGGCAGGCTGCGCTCGATTCGACGGCGGCGGGCATAGGTTATGGTCCGCGCCTTAAATAATGCAGTAAACAACTTCAGTCACGCTTTTTATCGGTCTATGCGGTCATCCACGAGGAACGCCCATGGCAGCGGGCGGGCAACGTGAGGCAGCCGCGCGTCTGCTCGCCGAGCCGGCACGGTGAACGCGGTGACGGTGGACTCGTGCGCGCCTCGACGACGTGCCGCGCGGGAGGTGCACGACGGTGGTGTTCTTTCCCCGGTGGGATTTAGATGCGACGTCAGAAAATGGCAAATGCGATATTCGCGCAAAGGACCAAGGTGGAGGACACCATCGAGTGTTTCCTCTATCCCAAGTTCTGCTACGCTGCCGACCCGGACGCGGTGACGGAGGCGAGGCTCGTCGAGGAGATCGCCAAGTACGACGCGGAAATCGCCTCGTACGTCGCCAATCACATCTGGCACAGTGACAGCTTGACTTTCCGTCCTAGAACCAAGCAGGCGATGCTGCTGAATCGCACCCTCGAGGGATCGGCGGTGGAGGAAGGTGAAAATTTTACTTTGTTTTAATTTATTTTCACCTCAACGTGCAGTTGGAGAGACGATCAACTGCAGCCGATAAGGAATAATCGATCACTTCTTTTTTGGACGACAGATTACCACACCTTGCCTCACATTTACGCGAATCTGCGTTTCGACGAGGACATAGGGGACGAGTGGCTGACGGTGTTCCTAATATTTAGGCTCACCAAACTCTTCGACGGACTGATCGCCCGAGTGGTGGACACGGACGGGGAGTTTCTGCTGATAGAAGGCGCCCACGTCCTGCCGCTCTGGGCCAGCCCCGAGACGTGCCAGGACCGTGTGTTCATTCATAACGGTGATATTCATGTCATTAGAGAGAGGGGAACGTCGTTTCCCAATCTGTTGAATAACATAAACAGCAAGCCGCACATCTCCAAGATGTCCGAGAAGGTGCAGCTCGTGCTGCAGAAGCGAATCGGCATTTATCCCGACGAGATTCAGAAGAGGAAGCACAAGACGAGGGCATTCCTGCCGGAGAAGGCGGCTTCGATACTTCGTCTAGAACCAAGACTCATTGCGCCAGCGATTAGAACTATCTGCCATTCGGATCCGCTCGAACGCAAAGTACAATAATAGAATTGAAGGGCTTGCTGCAACAGTGTGGAGCTAATCCATATTTTGTAAAAAAAGCGAAGAAAATTAACTCCGAAGTTAAAGCTATGGGAAAATTCCTCCGTTTCTACTGATATCACAGTATCGATATTCAGCTGTGTGTGGATTAGCCCATCGTTGCGGCAAGCCCTTCAATCAATTTAATTCTTCTTACGCGCGTAAAAGAATTCTATATATCTTTTCGTTACTATTGTACATTATAGGTTTGTCGCGCCATGAGATATTTCCCTCCCGAGCAACGAACCATGGTCAATGTTAAAATGACCAAGTGTTTGTACGCGATGGCGACGCACTGTCGTTATACCGGCGATCCAAGAACAGGTTGGAACATACCACCTGCGACTTGCTCAAAATACAATGCTCATGTTCTTGGAGTTAAGATAGCATGCGGTTTAGAGATGCTAGTAGCTCGGGCCAACGAGGAACGTAGAAAACGTGTCAGAGAACAGTCGGACGTTCCCGACGACGCTGAGAAGTTGAAGCTGAACGAGTCGGCTTACAACGCTTACCTAGCTCGTTTAGAGGCGAACGGTTACTTTAGAGATCTGTTGGAGGGTAGTCAAGAACGTGACAAGCTGCTGTCCACGGCGAGAGAGTATTTCTTGAAGCATGCGACTTTGTTTGATAATCTAACGAATTTGTACGAGAGCGATGCTCAAAAAGTCTTAGAAGCATGGGAGAACATACAGACGAATGACATTGAAATGCATGGTAATTTGTTATTTACAGTATTTTTCATACATATAGTTATTCGAATTAATATTTTACAGTACTTACATATAGTTATTTGAATTAATATTTTAAATTGTGATGGTTGTTTAAATTAACGTTTTGAAAAGTAGCATACACAAATGAATTTCCGGACCGTTAAATGCAGCACTTTCATTACGCGTTTTCATTCATAAGCATTTTTTATGCGCAGCACAAGATGAAATTACGTTAAGTCCCGCGGATACCGACAGTTGGATGAATGTGGACCCGGCGCAGTTAGAGGCGTATTTGAACCAACAGTGGGGCAACGTTAAGGATAAAAAATTGGAAAAGCAGGAATCCTTGAGTCTCCGAGAAAAAGTGCAGTCGTTTCTCAACCAAACCAGCGACGTTGACGGCGTGCATTTCTTAGGGTATGATTTCCGTCTGTCGTAGGAATAGACAATTCTCTCCCTCTCTCTCTCTCTCTGACAAACATGCTGATCGTAAAATTTATTCGCATTGAAAACATTGGAAAATATACAACTGTTTTTCTTTATAGAGAACAATCAATGGACAATGACATGCAGGACGCGGAGGATGGCGCGCGAATAGACTTCGACGCGGACGTGTTCGACAGCACGCTACGAGGCATCCTCGATCTGGTCGTTCCGGGGGGAGAGGACGAGTTCGAGGGCAGCTCGGAGGGATCGCTCGGCGGCGACGACGAGGACAAGGGCGGCGATATGGACAAGTACATGCGGCTGTTAGACTCGCAGCTGCAGTCGCAGATGGTAAAAGACGAGAGTAGCTCGGTAGCGGAGGACGATGATGATAACAATAGCACGGATCCCGTAGAGGCAAATTTGCGAGAGAGCATCGAATCCGAGGCCGGCGGCTCCGGCCCGGCCGGGAACATAATCGGCGGCCCCGTACGGAGGCTCATGCACTTGCAGCTGCAATCGCCCACGGGTATCGGGGTGCCGCCCGACTTGCAGAGTTAATGGCACTACGTATATTAGTAGACGATTAACAATAGTTACGATTCACGGTTAACATTCGTATAAAACATTATTACAACCCCTTCGCTTCATTCTGCAAGATACATTAAACATTTTGCCATTTTCGAAACACAAGGAGAAAAGACAATGGACTTGAGTCTCGTTACTATTCAAATTATTACACATTTATTACTTAAAATATATATACTTAATGTTATCGATCAAAGCACCTTTATCACGCAGATAGTACCATTGATACAGTTGTACTTTTCATCACTCGGCTATATCACTGTTTTTCATACAAATTATATATATATATATATATATAAAATATATATATAGAATATATATTATAGCATATCTTATATGCATATGTATGTATATACATATACATATAAAATTATATATACAGATAACATATAAGGATGTTATTATCGCGGCCATAGTTAGTTGGTAAGAATCCTACTATTTGTATACGTATCATTTCGTTTCCACTTTTGTAACTAATTTTCCTAAGCATCAGACTCTCTTACGTGTAAAGCTTTGTACATTTCAATTAGAATAATGAGAGACACGGACGTTTGTTGTGTACAGATTTGTATATTTCATTAAGACTCGTTAAAAGGAATGACGTATGACGACATGTATACGCGTCATGTGCTCGCGCCTACATTGGTCTTCATAAGAGATTCCGTATAGCATATTGTTTATATTGAAAATTCAGGAGGATCACCTTTCCGGTGCTATCGATTGTTTGATAGTCGATATTTGAAGATGCTCGATTATTTGAATGTCTGTTTGAACCATTTTGGTGTCCTGTTTTGATTCTGAGTTGACGACGATGGTGATGATGATTTGCCGCTACCACTCGGTCCCGGAGTGACATGATTGCTCTCGACAACTGTGCCTCTATCACTTTCAGTCGTTGGATCTTGTTCTTTCCGCATCGTGGCGAGTCTGTAGACGAGTTATGTAAAATTTAGCGACACAATCCTCTTATCGTCGAGCGATGCAAGGTCCAGGTAGTATCCTGAGTAACACCTTACCTAGATTTCACAGCCTCGACACCAGCGGCTCTAGGATCTGTCAGTTTCGCTTTTACATTCGCGCTTAGCGATGATTGTCCGGAGTAATAAACGATAGCAGAGGGAACAAGATTTTCGTCTATTAGTCGTGCGTCGGGGTTTAAGATATGCCTTGGCGGGCTGGTGTCTGCAAAGAGAGGAATAATAAAATTTTATCCACAACGAAATTATCACATGTTCTGCCTCTTGCGTGAAAATGAGTGGTGAAGATGAGTCTTGCGTGAAATGAAATGGTGATAATTGCATGTGTCACTTGACTCACAGATAGTGAATTCGCAATCCGGATCGTCCAGATAGCTTCTGACGAAGTCCTTGACAGTTTGTATGGTCTCCAGCGGCCCGAACAAGCCCTGAAGAACGTACTGATCGGGGAATTGCACGCGAATCACGGTGCGACGATACTTGTTCAAACGGCCTAGCAAGTGCTTGTCCCGGTCCAGCTGACGCTGCGCCTCCGTCTGAAGCGGAGCGTCCTCGAGCTCCTCTCTACGACGCTTGACGTCCCGTAAGAGCGTCTTCGCGTCGTGCAGATCGAGATCGAAGAAGCTGTCTGGCAATTCGTCCCTCGGCAACGCCTGAGTCCCGGCTTGATTGAACACCAGAGCATTTCTCTCCCCTAACTGTAAAAACACGAAAATCCCTGGATAAGTAAAGTCACTCGCTAATGCGATTGCACGTTTATGCACAATTACATCTTACAAACTTAATTTCGTATGCGTTCTCCTGGACGTTCCGCACGCATGTTTTCGCGACCCGCCGATCCGCCCTGTCGTCGTGATCCTCGTGGCTGGACGCAATGGAATGACTCTCTCCTACCTTAGATGTATCTCTCTCTCGTTCTTTATTACTAAGCGCATCTTTATTACTAAACGCATCTATTCTCTCATCTTTCGTGTCTGCCTTCGCTTCATCCCCCGCCTCTTCTCCACTCTCCACTTTCGATGTGCTTGTCGTTGGGAAATTGATTGTCTCACTCATCGTTTTGCTACAATGTGGCGTGGATAATGGCACTCTTTGGCAATCCCTGTCGCTCGATGAATCATCCGCGACTGACTTTGGAAGCAAAGGCGCAGACACGTGCGCCTGAGTCTTTAACTGTTCATGATCGCGATATATCAATCTTAATATTGCCCTTCCGCTGTTGAGTCCCAACGACTTCAACGTCGTTTTCTCTAACGCTTCTTTGCCGCACACCTGGAAAGATTTCGAGACGCTTACTTTCAATCTCTCGCATCTCTACTTTGCACGCCTGCGTTATACACGTAATTATACGCGTCACGGGGGAAACGTTCAGTAGTTTCTACACTACCGCTCAAAAATATTTGCCTACTCTGTATTAATTAAATGAAGAATGCATTTCGATCTTCTTTCCTAATCTTAATAAGTTTTGACTCGGAATTTTTTATTTTACATATGTAAAGACTGCGTTCGGTTTGGCGCTTGTAAGCATCATTTGTCCCTGTTTAACATTCGATTAACAAGGACGAAATAATGTTGTGAGCGCCGTAAAGCGGCGTCTACAATGAGACTTAAGATTTAAGAAAGTTGACCAATCACAATCGATTATTCTTCTTAACGTGAGATGAATAATTGATTACGATTGATCAATTTTCTTAAATCTTGAGTCTCATTGTAGGCTTTAAGCGCCAAAAGCGAACGCAGCCAAAGAGAGAATACGTAGTAGAATTAGAGGGAGGATACATACAAAAATCAGGGTGATACTTTTTGAGCGGTACGCTACGTCGCGGCCGTGCGTATATGTACACGTACTTCACGATGCATGTAGATCAACACGGCTCGCTCGAGGTCGGAATCGGGATACATCTCCGTCAACGCGCGTGCCAGCGTCGTGTCGGGCGGGAACTCGCGCAGCACCCTCTTCCCGTCCTCCGGCTGAATGCCGATCGTGACGTTCGACGCGGCACGCGCCCTCGTGCAGGCCACCATCTCCAGCTGTGCGTTATTCGGCAAGCCGGTGAAGCGGAATATCGTGTTAGGATCTAGTATCTGACGATTGTGTCTGTATAAACAAAGTATACAATGGCGCGAGAGATGTATGTGAGATGTGTACGGAGCTTATACGGAAGAATTATATATCAATTGGAAAAAACCGAAAATCCCAAGTGTCGCTCACCTAATGTCATACTCGTCGACGTTGTAGCCCTGCTTCTGGCACACCTCCTCCAGAACCTGCAAAGAACCTTCGTCTGAGGATCGAGAATTTTCTCTCTCTTTTCTTTCTCTCTCCCTTTTGTTTCGACCACTCATTCGAACTTACTCAAACCCCCCAAAAGTTGCGCCCAAGCTCACGTCGGACTCACCTGCAGGATCGTCGTGTTAATCGTAACCCTGACATTCTGCCGGCGACCGTTGGGCGCGAGGACGAAAACGGTCTTGTTTGCCGCCATGGTGATCAGCGAAACTTCAAAGAGGTGCCTGAGAGCGGCCCCCTAACCATCCCGAAGTCAACAGCTGATTCGGAGCAACCAGCTCGCGCAGACACTCCACGTGTCCTCCCTCCCCCTTTCCCCCCGCCGCGAGATCGCGTAAAGCCCCATGTTCATCAACACCTGACCTGCGACAACAAGAAGAGGAGAAATAGTAGAGGGGCTTGATTCGTATCTTCGCTCGAAAAGACTACGTACGGTTCCTTTTTTTTACCGTGAAGACAGTCGCGTTTACACGTTATCTCTATCTTTTCTGAATAAGCCTCCACGGATCTGCGAGAGCTGTCACGTGTCAGCCGCCACACGTAACACGATCTGTTTGCGCGGTTCGCACATTACGCGCCGCCGATCAGCCTCCCGCGTTGATAGGCCTCTATCGAGCGCTTGCGCGCGCGATATTTACGGTTAGATCGCGCGTTCGTACGTTGGCAAGGATCCAGGGGAAGCTACGCCGAGCGTCGAATTCGTGTGGCTGACCTGCCCGTGCATGCAGGCGGGCACACTGCACGGACACAGGCAGGGCCGTTTACGGGGGCAGGGAAAGGCGCGAGAAAAACAACGAAACGCGTGTGTGTGTCAAGCCCGTCGTCCGCCCGTCGCGCTGCGCCGCGCTGCTCGCAGCGGGATTGCGTGCGCGTTCGACAATAAAAGGCGACGGACGGCAGCAGAGAGGCAGGAACATCCGCGGCGGGCCGCCGTGTGTTTACCGCGCGACGAGCGACGGGCCGCCCGCTCCGCTCGCTCGCTCGCTCGCTCGCTCGTCGTCGTCGTCGTCGTCTGACGTCTTATCGCCCATCGCAACGTTCGACCGCAACGACGACATAAATGACGGACCGCGAGGTGAGGCCAGCCAAGCCGCGGCGCGATGGTCGTGTCCTTTAACCGGTATCTGCCGGTAATTCTGCCGGAGGTCGACGACAGCGAGCCCGGCGGCGCCGTCGCCGCGAGCGACGTCGGGCCGCCCGACGTCAAGCAGCGCGGCCCGTACACCGTGGATGAGACCTGCAGCGTCGCGAGGAGCTGCTCGATCAGCACCACCACCACCACCATCATCGACGGCGGCGGCGAGGAGGACGACGACGACGACGACGACGACGACGGCGACGACGACGACGGAGGCGGGGACGGAGGCGGCGGTGACCCGACGACGACGACAGCCTCCGTGACGACGCCAGCGGACACGGTGACGACGTCGGCGGTCACGGTGCCGCTGTGCGTCCTGGGCGAGGTGCAGCTGCGCTTCCTCTGCCCCAAAGACCTGGACGAGGTGCGCGCGCTCTGCCAAGACTGGTTTCCCATAGGTGAGCATGATTCTTGTTTGTCCGAAATTGAAGGGTGAGCGAGAGGCGGGATTGGGAGATATTTTTGTAATATAATTTCAATCCTTTAACATTTTCCCTTTCTCTCGCCTCGTCGAAATCGACTCCGATTGATAAAAATGTCTGTAACTTGAAGATTGAAAAAGATGTGGAAAAAAAAAGAAATGGATTGATATCTGAAAAGAAAGAGTTTGATACACGGAAATAACATATAAAGACTGTTGCTTATACATACCGTAGATCTCAGGTTTCAAAACCTTCATATTTATGAAGCAATCTCTAGATCCTGAAGGGCATACATGTGACTATTAATTCAGTTCCAACGCTTTTTTAAATAGCTGAGATATAGTTTCAAAATTATATAATTTCTCTAAATTTTAGAATTAAATTATTTATTGGTTTAATATCTAATAGGAATATATTTAACGGTCAAATTGTGGGAGGATATTCTACAGTAGAAATAAGAAAAAGTTGTATGAAATTTATTATAAAGTCATAGAGAAACATTGAAACGAAAAACATAAAATAGGAAATAATTTTCTATTGCGCAGAACAAAAGTGTACATTTCATGTATGGAAAGGTCGAACGTTTATTTCGACTGTAAATGCTTTATTACAAAGTTATACACAAGTTTCGACACAGGTCGAAATGATACTAAATCGTTTAAAGATATGTAAATAATACACAGGAAATAAACACGTTCGATTTTCCATACACAAAGTGTACACTTTCATGTTCTGGGCAAAATCCGTTATTTCCTATTTCATATCCCTCTTTCAATATTTCTTTATAACTTTGTAATAAAGCATTTATTATCAAATTTTATATAACATTTTTTTTCTTATTTTCACTTGTAGGATATGCTCTCGCAGTTTGCCCGTTAAATTTGGATGTCTTGAGACACCTTATATGTTAGAAATATATATTTTTTTATTAGAAATATGTATATCAAATGACGTGTTTTCAGTTCTGTATTATATTTAAAAAAAAATTGCTATAAATAAATAATATAATGTTATGTTTTAACTATATTGATGAAACTAACTGATTAATTTCTATCTTCACAGATTATCCTTATTCATGGTACGAAGACATTACGAGTTCGTCGAGGTTTTATGCGCTCGCAGCAGTATACGGTAGAGTAATAATAGGACTGATCGTCGCGGAGATAAAACCTTACGCCAGATTGAACAAGGAGGATCGCGGCATTCTCTGCTCCAGCTTGGGAAAGAATTGTCTGGTGGGTTATATACTTAGCTTAGGGGTACGTCGAGCGTACAGGAGAAACGGCATAGCCTCGTTGCTGTTGGAACAGCTGCTCGCCCACGTCACCGCTCCCGAACGTTCCTCCGTAAAGGCAGTCTTCCTACACGTGCTCTCCAGCAACGCGCCCGCTATACTGTTCTATCAGAGATGCCACTTTCGTCTGCACAGCTTTCTTCCGTATTACTACTCGATTCGGGGAAAATGTAAGGACGGTTTCACGTACGTACTATACGTTAACGGCGGACACGCGCCGTGGGGCATATGGGACTGGGTCCGTCACCTGGCCGGCGCGATGACCAGCCTCGTGCCGTGCAGGGTGCCACGATGGATCTGGCAGCGTCTCTTGTGGGCAACCACCATTCTCTCGTACCACAGATGATACATTATTATGTTAGATAATAATACAATTTGTGATTTATTATGTTCCGTTATATGTTGGATTGGAAGGAAAGCAATGTCGTATTTTTAGCTCGAAATTGAAGCAAATTTATTAATATTTATTAATATTCAAAGACTTTAATCAGTAATTATGACCGTTTTTTTTATATTCTTTAAAATAATCCGAGATAAAATATCCATATTGAATAATACTCTGGAGTATTGCTAATACGTGGACGCGCGTCATCTTAGCCAGAAACGAAATAAAACGAATGGACTGTCGAAAGTCGAAGCAGAGTTCGCTCTCGCATTTACCTGTATCATACGTGATGTCGCATTCTTTTTGTAACTTTTTGTAAGCTCGAATGCGATGAGTAATTTCACGCTGTGCAATTCGCAATCTCTTGTGTATATCTGGTGTCGTATTTTTTTTTCCTTTTCGGAAATTAAACAGCGAAAATACAGCTGTTTCGCTACATTTTTCTTTCGATTTCAAATGAATACAAACGCTTTATATGATTTCCGTACACTAAATGAAGCTTTTAGAAGTATTAGCTGTCATAATAATATACATTTACGACATTTGGACTGAAGTTTTCTTCTAATAAAACACAATACAATAGTCGCCTATTTGAGAAACCACGACATTACTTTCCTTCCAACCCGATATTTATTTTTCTTTTTTGAGTCTAGAGAAGTTATACGCGTGTAAAGTGCCATAAGTTGATTAACGTTATGACAGACTCAAGTAGATAGCCATGGCGTGGCCATATATGATTTTATTACATAGTCCTCTGCTAATGCAAAATTAGAAATGGACATTCATCTACAAATCGACATAACGCGAACAGATGTTTAAATTCGTCTAAAGTTTGGGCAGCAAGGCTTCAGAGTATCTTAGCATGGCTTTTGTTACCAAGGATTGCTAGTTGTTAAACACATACCGTTATTACAATTATACTATTGTAATAGTTCGAGATATGTAACTGCCAAAAATAATTAAGTTGAAATATTGTGCACATTAGAATCTAATATATCTTCCATGTTGTTTTTAAAGATTGTAATACTAAACCATTGTTAATTTTAATATAAGCACAAACCTCAAGATAATTACATTTGACTATTTTTTTTATATTTAAAGATACGTGTACTGTAATTTTATCTAATTGAGATATATATGTCGTAAATTTTCCGTAATTTTATCTTTAAATTAATTTTTATTGTATAGATTTCGAAAATCGAATAGCACACAAATTATCTTTTAAGCAAGAATGATTTAAAAGACTGCATCATTGCGATTCATACTTTGTATACCTCTGCTGCCATCGACTGTATAATATATGTATAAACTGTGTACATATTTTGTATATTAAATAAATACTTAATATATTAACATGAAATAATGAGAGTAAAATGAATTGGTGATGCATCTTGATAAATTATTTTAAAGTTTAGTGGAATCTGTGAAAACTTTACGAAAGAAAAAAAACTTTAATAGGCATTCGCACGTAATTCGGAGTAGTGTGAGATTGTCGATGACTTTGATGAAACCGAAGATTTATAGCACAACTTAGCAATTTTTTAAAATAATTTTTAAACAATTTTTGATACAATATACATATTTCTCTATTTTGTTGCAACGAGATAAATATTTTTTATTATAAAGAATTGTTATTAAGAATAATGTGATAGTTTTGTGCAAATTAATACTTTATTACGAATAATCTTAATATATTATTTTACGCATAAAGTTACATTCCTTTCAACTAAAGTTCCTTTTCAATTTATATATTTACATAATATATAATTTTATTTTGCGTATCTACGTTCCAGATTTTCTTGTTTATACTTAATATTTATATAGAAAGTAATTATTTCAACACGTATAAAAAATAAAAGTTTATTTAAAACAATCCGCGAAAACAAATATAGTTATGTTTTTCTTTTAATGCATACTCGTATACATCATGCATACACAGAATGAAACAGATCATTAATCATATAGCATTTTGCAATTTACATCGAGATTAAAGCTAGACGTTTTAAACATTGTGATATGATAAAAACTATTAAAAATACTGAATGAAGATATACTTAATTCGCTATTGGATAAGACTAGATTAAATTACTAGAACTAGAATTAAAAAGAAGAGCTAGATTACTAGAACAAAACAATACATATTAAAATCGTAAGATATATAAGGTATGGAGATATTAAACGATTCTATACGTTCGCTCATGCAAGAATGTAATGACGAGAACGATAATAAATACGGAAAAAGATACGCAAGAGAAAAACTAAAAATAGGATCACATATGAAATACAAAGATTAAATTACTAACGTACAATACGTTAATCGAATTGATATCATACGATTGTCTACATCGAATTAAAGCAAATGGACGGAAAAATACTTCTCGATGACATACGAATTGCCTATTCCTTCACAGCCTTCCAATCTCTAAATCAATATCTTATATATCTATGTATATCTCAAACTAAGATATACATAGAATAAAGGTTGAGATCGAACCGGTCAAATTACCAGTCGACCAATCGCAAGAGAAAACTAAAATACAATTTTATACTTCTAAAAATGTATGTTAAAAAAACTTATGATTTGAATTTTTTTACTCGTTCATTCTACGTATATATACTTTTGATATATATATTAATATGTCACATGTCTCTATAAATATTATAAACTATGATCTTTTTTTTAATTTTTTGACACACATTCTTGAAAACGGTTTCTATATATAAATTATAGGTATATACACGCGCGTGCCTATACATTACAATATATACAGTGACTATATACGCGTTTGCATCACAATAAGTTAAGTATGTGGATTTAATAATTGCATTAAATTATCCATATTCAATGTATCGTCCGTGTTATATATGGCAAACTCCTGGTAACGCGTTCCTCAAATGCTACCGGAAATTTTGCCTCGGCGTCTAATGGCCTTTTATCACGGATCTAATCTTCTGATTATCCAGTAATTGAATTGTGCACGTAAAATTCTCGAGTGTGATGACTAAGGTGGCGACTCCAAGGCCTCGCGATACTGCAGACAAATATGACACTGTTAAATGCAGCGTACACAGGTTGATATATGCTGCCGTGTTCCAGGGGATTCTTCGTGAGCTCAAATGCGATGGGTAACATCACGGGATGCTGTGCAGTTCATATTAATTTCTTATGTATGTCAGGTGTTAGCAGAAATCTCTCTCGGAGTCGGCTTCTATAGTGGGTCACAAAATTTTTTTGTGAGTTATTGTACCTGGAAAAATTATAAATATCACATAAAAATATAAGTAACATAATATTAGTCATATAGTAATTACATGTCATTCCGTTGCGCGTGAATTTCTTCTTAGATTTAAATTCAAATCCATTTTCTCAAATTTATTTATATATTTTTTACACATATTTGCATTTGGTATGAATTGATCTATAAAGATTTACACACTTTTATATAATATTATTCGTTGATACATAGCAGCAGAGAGAAGCTATATAAACCATGTGGTGTTATAGTACCTATAATATATTATAGTACCTATAATTTTAATTTGAATTGTATTCAATTAAAATCTGTATATATTTTTTAGATAACGTATCACCCCCCCCCCCCAAATATTCTATCCTTTAGCGATACCTTCTTGATGCTAAAAGATTTTCCTTTTACATAGTTCTTTTTTTTACAAAAAATTGAGTTTTCAAAGAAAATTGAGTTTCACAGAAATGAGAAAAAATTTTTCATATATAATTATGATGTCTTGAAGTTTCTTTCGACTTCCGGATCTGACCGCCCCGGCAATCACATTCGTGAGTTACTATCTTATTGCACGCCGGTTATACATATTGGCATCTCGCTCCTTACTTCTAATCGTCCGCCGAAAACTGACACGGGTGGTGAGGCGGTCTCTCTCCATGGTCCGCGCTAAAGTGTATAGTTGCGCGCAACCGCGCCGCGCGCGCGATAGTCCGGCGGCAGCCGCTGAGTCCACATCGAGTTTGGGGGAGCGTCACGTCGTGTCACGTAGGGACGATGTACATACAGCCTCAGGCAGCTCATGCGCTGCAAAAAATGGATGAACACGAATGCATTGAAGGAAATTTATATACGGGTACATGAAATTTATAAATTTATTTTATTTTTCTATCATTTTATTAAGTTATAATTAATTCGCTCGCACGGTCAGCCGCACAACTGTTCGCTGCGTCGCGCGTCGACGCGACGCTTGTTTCGCATAAGCTGACTGCGTGCGGGACAAATTGCTCCGCTTCATTATCTTAATTACGCATTTATCCATAAGTATGGCGTACGTTACATACAGCAAACATATTGATAAACACCTAAGTAAGATAGTGAAGCGGCGTAATTCGTCTCGCGTGCTGTCAGCTTACGCGAAACAAGCGTCGCGTCGCGGCGCGGGCGACGCGTCGGCGGTGGTATACGTCTTGATTTTCGGCCGAACGAGTATTGCGATTACGCATCCGATCGAATCAGAATTCGAATCTATATTACGCGCTAATTAGATGCAAGATGGATCGGATGCGTATTTCGCAATACTCGTTCGACCGAAAATCGAAATGTGTAGCGTCGGCGTCGCCGCGCGCCACTGTTGCACCGACGCCGCCGCAGCGCGTACGGTGGCGCTATTGGCACGCGAGTCGCGAAGTTGATCGCGCGGATAGACGAAACCGCTTCACCATTTTAGTAGCGTTTCTTTTATCATTTCAGAGAACTCGATACGAGAACGAGATAGAGCATCTTCGGAATGAGAGGCGTCGCGGCTAATATAAATTGGTAAGTGGGACTTTGCATTTAATTGTCTATAACATGTAGCATCGCCGCACTATCGCCGTCGCCACCGCCGCCGACCCGCGTCGCCGCGACGCTTGTTTCGCGTAAGCTAACCGCGTGCGAGACAAATTGCTCCGCTTCATTATCTTAATTACGCATTTATCCATAAGTTTGGCGTACGTTACATACAGTAAACATATTGATAAACACCTAAGTAAGATAGTGAAGCGGCGTAATTCGTCCCGCGTGCCGTCAGCTTACGCGAAACAAACGTCGCGACGCGTCGGCGGCGGTATACGTCTTGATTTTCGGCCGAACGAGTATTGCGATTACGCATCCGATCGAATCAGAATTCGAATCTATATTACGCGCTAATTAGATGCAAGATTGATTGGATGCGTATTTCGCAATACTCGTTCGACCGAAAATCGAAATATGTAGCGTCGGTGTCGCCGCGCGCCACTGTTGCACCGACGCGACGCCGCGGGCGGCGTACGGTGGCGCGTGAAATAGACCGCGCTGAAAACGAAACACTTGCGCTATTTTAATCGCATTCTGCACGTTTCATTTGCAGAACGTGATGGACACGAAACGGATCCGAATCGGCTCCGGAACAAGTGACGCTACGATTCACTTAATTGGTAAGTATAATATTTATTAATCTTGCATTTAATTCGTGTAATACGGATTCGGCACTGATGAATCGATCGAACGCGTATTTCTCAATACTCGTTCGGGCGAAAATTAAGACATGTAGCGTCGTCGCCGCCGCCGCGTCGCACGATAGGCAAAGCCGCTTCGTCTTTATAGCGTTAATAGCATTTTTATTATTTTCAGAACGCAACGAACATAAGATAGATCGTCTCCGGAACGAGGAGTGTCGCGGCTGATATATTTGGTAAGTGATATTTGTATTTGCATTTATCTAACACGCAGTATAATAATATCGGCACGCAAGCATTGATGTTCGTCCGAACGTGTATTTCGTATTTACGTATTTCGTAATACTTGTTCGACCGAAAATCAAGATGTATGGCGCCGACGCGTTGTTGGCACTGTTTCGGCGCTTATTTCGTGTAAAATTAACTGCACGCGAAACAAAACGCGCCGGTTTGCTATCTTAATTACATTAATTACGTTTTAATTGCAGAAAGCAGCAGCACGTACACTGGATGAATCGGCTTCGAAATGGATTTGTCGCGACTCATTCCGGAAGGATGTCGAGAGAGTCCAAAGCATCCTATGATATTCCGGACAATTTGAGAGGAGGAGGCTTAGGATAAGCATCTGGCACCGGCGGAGCAACCTTGGGGTAAATATCATTTTTTACTTTCCTAAAATTAAAAGATAATTCTTATGTATATTGAATTAATTTAATTTTGATTTGTCTTTCAATTAAGTATTATATTTACTAATGTAATGATCTATCTCATCAAAAAATTTTCATAAAGTTTATAAATTTTTATAAAATTTTAGATAATTTTCTTTTATGTAATTATTTGTAATTTATTAAAATAATTACATAAAGGAAAATCATCTAAAATTTTATAAACATATTTATGAACTTTATAAAAATTTTTATTGATTATTATGAACATTGATTATTATGAACAATGTTTTAATTCGAATTTTTTATTTTTGTGTTACAGTATCATCGTAGCTTCGTGGCTGATAACTCCGCCTGTTGCGCTTCAGGTCGGTAAGTGATAATTTTTTTTTATAAATAGGCAGGGTGGGTATTACCAGAAAAAATCGGGAAAACCTGGAAATCTCAGGGAATTTCATTTTTGCCCTTAAAAATCATGGATTTTCATGGAATTTTACTGGTACTCAAGGAAATTTTTTGAATTTTTAAAATTTAATTTTATCCCTTTAAAAAGTAAACGTGGCCCCATATCGAAGACCCCTGATATATTGAAAGTTAATTTATTTTAAAATTGATATATACTATATGAACACTCTTTAATCTAAAAAATGATAATCCGGAAATAATAAATCAAGCATTAAGAGCCTAATAACGCAGAACTTGGTGCGTGAAACAATTTAATCTTTACATATGTAATTACATGTAATAAACTTCCAAAAAGTAAAATATAAGCTAATAGTTACGCGTCCAAGAAATGTCCAACAGATAAAATAAATATAATAACAGATTCCATACCGCCATATGCCAACAAGATAAATAGTGAAAATGCGTCAACACATTGTTTATGTACTATATTGGTAATTGCAAATATCACCGCATGTTTCGATAGTCAAATAATAGGACGCCCGGCAGGGAAATCCAGATTCGAATCTTGGCTGAGGTGGTATTTTTCGTAATAAATTTTTTACAAGGTTTTAGGGAAAAGGGGATTCTTATAGATGCTTGTTAGCATAAAAAATATTAAATTTCTCCTCAATTTAATTCGTTACAGTGGATTCTGGCTTCATGTAAGAATTGTATTTTAAGATCGATAAAAAGTGTGGTGTGCAGTTTGTGTGTGGCTGGATACTATAACAATAAAAATTATTATACACACACCAACATCCATGTCGACTCGCATTGGCATTACTACCAATGCTTGTTATTTCTAAATTAATTAATTCTAATTAATCTTGATTAATTCAATTCATGAAGAAGAAATACTGTTGTATATTAAAAACGTACGAAAACTTTATTGAAACAACATAATATAATGCTCTATTTACAAGAAATATTATATGTACAAATATAATATATTATATTGCTTTGATTGCAAAAATTGTATGTAATCTCTAAAGTGCTGAGGAGCAAGGCACGTGAAGATCTAAATAGAGGTGCGTGCCAGATTTAACAATGAGGTATAAAAATATAAAAAAATATAAAATATATATAATAGAATAGTAATTACGAATTATTGCGAGTGTGCTCAACAGCTTTTATCACAAACCAGTTTAAGTGTCTTATAATCTCATCAACGCTTACTTGAATTTAAATTGTTAACATTTTCATTTTCTGCTACATCTATTTCTAAAACTGTTTTCAACAATAGATTTAATAACTTGAATTAAAATAAAATATTTAAATGCGTTACGTAAAAAACTTGTGATTTATCGAAGATAAATTCGAGTATTCAAATAATATTTATACTGAGTTATTCACTTTTATAACAATTTCTCGCATTATAATATAAATCTGTCGAAAAAATCAGTCAAGTCAAGTCAGCGTGATTACAATCAATAATTTACTATATTGATTTATACTATAAACAATTGAAAAGATAGTCTAGTCTAGTGTAGTTTTCACAGCGTCACAAATGTAGTAGTTAAGTCGAGTCTATTTGATATAATAGTTCACAGAGAGTAAGATAATTTTCAAAAAAACGTCAGATTAATTTTTTTTAAGTTTTGCTAGATGTTTAAAGAAACTATTTAGTGATTTGTCTGTGTACAATTGTCTTTACTATGACTTTGCGGAAAAATATAAATATTCAGTGACGTATATGTCAGTTGCGTCTGTTGTCATTTTGTTATGTGTTTGTTTGTCGCGTAAAAATCTGATATAAAATCAGTAAAGTAGTTGCGTTCAACATATTTCTGTTGCATGGTATCATTATCTGTCAAAAATAACTGATAGAAATTAAAAAGTTGTAAAATTACAACCTTAGAAGTTCCTCCAAAAAAGTGAAAAGATTTTAAATTCTTCTTCGCATATTCTTGTATCACACAATTAAAGCGGCAGCATTATGATTTTAATTAAAGGTTGCTCAAAATTGCTTTTGTATTAATCAATCAAACGACAGTATCGGTTGAAAATATGCCAATATGCAGCTGTAAGTGTCTGCAATGCTCAACATATTGGTCATAGTGCAATCACTCTTATTTCTTTTTGTGGTAACCGGAGAAACCACCACTATGACCTCCACCGTAACCACCACCGCCGCCGCCGCCGCCGCCGCCTCCACCACCGTGGCCGCTTGAATAGGAATCGAAGCCACCGCCAGAACTGTAACTGCTTCCGCCATGGCCACTGAAAAGATATCAATATGAAATATTAAACATACGTAACATCGTGTATAATAATCGAATTTTTTTGCATTCTCGTTTTTAAGATTTATCGACTTCTTTTAATCGATTAATATTAATATAACCGGTTTAACACAAATTCAATATTTACCTGCTACCAAATCCAGATGAGATACTATTGCCATAACCGCTGGAGCCATGATCATCGCCACCGATATCGTGTCCGCCCCCCAAATCGCCATGTCCACCAAATCCACCGCCTCCTCCGTGACCACCTCCAAAGCCACCACCGTATCCACCTCCTCCCCCAAATCCACCGCCGTGGCCACCTCCAAAACCACCACCGTGTCCGCCTCCGTATCCACCACCTCCTCCAAAGCCCCCTCCGCCCCCATGTCCTCCATGATCTATGATAATTCCGCCACCTCCGCCGCCATAACCGCTACCCCCGTGACCACCTCCGAAACCGCCGCCTCCGCCGTAACCACCGCCTCCATGTCCACCTCCATAACCACCACCACCACCGCCGCCGCCGCCGCCGCCGTGATCATCGTGTTCTATGATAATACCGCCGCCTCCATGGCCACCTCCTCCGCCGTAACCGCCACCTCCGTGGCCACCTCCAAAACCGCCACCGCCGCCATGTCCTCCGTGGTCTATGATAATACCACCGCCTCCACCGCCTCCGCCGCCGTAACCACCACCTCCGTGACCACCTCCAAAACCGCCGCCACCGCCATGTCCTCCATGATCTATAATAATTCCGCCACCTCCGCCGCCATAACCGCCACCTCCGTGACCACCTCCAAAACCGCCGCCGCCGCCATGTCCTCCATGATCTATGATGATACCACCTCCCCCGCCGCCGCCTCCACCGTATCCACCTCCATGGCCACCTCCAAATCCACCGCCACCACCGAAGCCTCCTCCGTGATCACCGCCATGATCTATGATGACATCTCCACCTTAAATAAATATTACTTTTGACATTTTGTTTTAACTACAAATTTCTTAATCAGATAAATATAGAAAAAAAAAGAGAAATTTGGGAATATTGAAAAAAAAGAGAAAAGGAAAAATTTTATATTCAAACACGAAGATAGACACGAAGTGAGTCTCTGCATGTTTAAAATCATATTTATAATTAGCTATGTTTCGAGCCAAAGAATATACTGCAAGGAATAATAAGTAAAAGTAATGAGTATGTGGGAGTTTCTCACAAATATCTATACATATACATGAGTTCTCCAAACGCAAAGCAGACGATTTCAAAATGTTATTATTTCTTGTTCTTTTTCGTATACATCGAGTCTTTATTTTGTAATAAACTTGTAAATAACACAGCCAATTAAAAGATCTTCAATAATTATCGCGCAAAGTAAATTTCTTTGGTACCAGAAAGTGAAAAAGACGATCTAAAATTTTTTTAACATAAGTATGTTATGCGGAATCTATTATGGTAAAAGGTAAAGCTTCTCATTTAAATTTTTATTTACCGAATATAATAAATCAAATAATAATATTATAATAAGATAATAAGAGCGATGATTTGTGATGATATTGATAAAAAATTAGCAATAAAGATAAAGGTAATTGCTTTTAACATATAGCTTTAAAGCTAAAGATAATGAATAATAAAGATAAAGATTCTAGATTGCTTAGAAATACTTAGAAATTAGAAAGTTCATTGAATTAAAAAATATTATAATATTTTTATATTATGTCTCAAAATTTCGATTACTTATAAGGTTTATTAATATTTAGTCTTATACAAAAATCTGTATAGGTATGTGATATTAATATGTTATTGTTTTAATATAATTAATTTTATATCATTTTTTAATTTTAATCGAATTTTAATCGAAATTTTAAGACATAATATAAAAATATTATAATATTTTTTAATTCAATGAACTTTCTAATTTCTAAGTATTTCTAAGCAATCTAGAATCTTTATCTTTATTAGTCATTATCTTTAGCTTTAAAGCTATATGTTAAAAGCAATTACCTTTATCTTTATTGCTAATTTTTTATCAATATCATCACAAACCATCGCTCTTATTATCTTATTATAATATTATTATTCGATTTATTATATTCGGTAAATAAAAATTTAAATGAGAAGCTTTACCTTTTACCATAATAGATTCCGCATAAAATTAAAGACATTACTTCCTATTATAAAATCCAGTAAATACGAGAAATTACATTAAGATTTTATTTTTGCATCAAGATTTTTTAATAGATTTATAACGAAAAAAAAACAGTTTTGCTGAAATATCTAGATTCTAGAAACTAGATCAAAAGATTGTATCTATGGGACGTTCAAACTGCTTGTTAATTAAAATGTCAAAATTTATTGTAGCACCGTATGCTTCAACGTGCTACATAATTATTTTGATGATTCAACAAAATTATTTTTCGATCTTTATCTAACTGAATTTTTAAATATTTTTGTAAAACTGTACTTTCTGTTTGAGTTATTTGTCAAACGTATTATGTACATACACAATAAATAATATAAATAATGTAACATTCTTTTCGGCATATATACGTGTTCCTTCTTTTTCTAAATATTTTTACCATCAAATACTTTTATCATTATAAATTTATTTTATAAACAAGAAAAAATTAATACTCTAAAACTTTACAAATTTTATAAAATCCAAAAATTGAAACATGTTACTAATATACAATTATTAATGTAAATTCTCACCTCCGCCGATATCGTCGTGACCACCTCCGAAACCACCACCACCTCCGTGTCCTCCACCGTGACCTCCACCGTGACCTCCACCATGACCTCCTCCAAAACCGCCTCCGAAACCACCACCTCCTCCGTAGCCACCTCCATGGCCTCCTCCGAAACCTCCGCCAAAACCTCCGCCATGGCCTCCTCCTATGTCCCCGGGACCGGAGACGTCTATATGATGATCTCCGCCGTCTCCACCTCCATGACCTCCTCCGCCATGATCCTCATAATGTATGACTTTCTTTTCGTGGTGCTGCGATATCTCCGGCAAATGTATCCTTATATGCACGCTGAAATATGAAAAGTGTGCTTAAAATGAGGAACGGCGCGCTCCTAATTAACGCGCTTCCTAAAGTATCTGTATAATTACAGATATGAAGAATCTTATTTCGCATCTTCTTTCACTCATTTCGATATGAATTAATTGTATCCTGACTAAATTAATTATACACGAGCGTGTAATTAATTACGCATGAGCGTTTAAGTAGGCTGCTATAGAATGGTATAAATTTAGAATTTATACTATTAAAATTTAATACTAAAATTTAGACTATTTCTCATGAACAATTAATTTTTTACGACAAAGAGGAAAAGAATGTTTTCCAATTTTTTGGTTTTAAAATTGAATTTAACATTCTCAAAATATTATATTATACATTTCACCGATTAATATGACGACAATTTTACTAATATTTTTATAATTGGAACTCACTGCTCATGTCCGAAGGTTGCGAAGCCTACTGATAGAATATTTGCAAGAATGAGGGCCTTTATCTGCAATTAAATAAGTCTTCTTAATAATTCATCAATTTTAAAATTTTAAACATATGAATCTAATATATGCTAAACACGCGCAGGGTAAAATAACTTAAAAAAATTTATTTTATTCTTAGTTTTCTATTTAATTTACTAGAATTATTTATCTTCGTATTACAAAAATTGGAAAAATTACATGTTTAATTTTCATATTTCGTCAAACTTTTGTCAAACTTTTGTGTTGATAAAAATATCAATATTTTTTGTATACAGATATCGATATTTGCTCATATGAAATAAAAAATCTTATAAAAATGTTACACACAAAAAAGAATAAATTGTTTGATTCAACAAAATTATATTTAGCTACTCAAATTTAATATTCATATCTAAACAAATTTTTTATTGTGTAACAAGAACATAAAATTGAAAATAATTGCTAGAGTAACATAATTCTTAGTTACTATAAAAATCATTAAATAATTTTTTTTACGATAATAAAAACATGTTGCAGATACATTTTGTTGAAAATTTTTATATTTATTTTAGATTGATTTTGGTAGAAAATTATTTCTGACTACCCAAACACAAAAATCTATTGTGCTATAATACAAAATTTTATTAATTATAATTACTTATTTCATGCAATTTTGAGATTAAATTACTGTAACACAGAAAACTTTTCCATTGTATTTTTGCTTTATATTTACTAAAATTTTTAATTATTACAATTTCTTTTCTTCCACGTTGCTATACGAAACTGTTTTGTGTGAATTCGCATGAGATTTAAATGAAAAAGAATCCACTGAACTGAAGACCACTTTCAGGCATCGACTGCACGCAAAATCTTTAATCCTGTATCAATTTTTCAGTGAAACGACGGGTTTTCTGTAAAATTCTTCCTTAAAATTTCTTACAGCGTGTTTGAGTTCCATTCTGATATCCGGGACGCGGCCGGCCGCCGAATCTTTTCCTTCCTATCCCACGCACAGCTCACCACGGCGACCCGGTATACACTGTCATATATTTGCGGCGGCGGTCTTACCTGTATATATACCAGACGGGAGGAAATACCGGAAGGACCGAGTGGGGATGAAATAAAGACCGCGGGTACCACCGGAGGTACTCTCAGAGGAACACTCGAAAAGAAACCGAACGTGCGATGACGTACGAGACTAGTGGGCATACCCCCGCACCGCACACCCGGAATACATATACTTGCCAGATGATGATGCCTACTACATGTAAGCGCATAATGCTGCGTTTCTGTGAACAAGAATGGCCATGACCCACACAGCTCGGTCCTAATAGAGAAATTTGCGTTTGAGCTTTCTCGATCTTGCCGACATATGTGTATCGATATTTACAACGATTGATTGCCGCCCAGGCTATATATGTTTTCGATAATGCAATACAATATCGTACTAGATCTTCTTCTGCGGCCGACACTTTGGCGGCGGTGTACAAAATTTCAGAAGTGAAAAACAAATGAACAATCAGAAGATAAATTTTTATTCTTTTTTGTGTTACACTAGTCTGACTTTATCTCCGCTTCCAGCAAAAAATTATATTTGCAGATTAACAGGCATATTAATAAAAAATACTGCAGATGCTCTCTTACACACAATATATTATTTAAGAATTTCATCGCTGCAATTGGTAAATTGCAATAAGCACATTGCAATGACTAATCCGTATGATTTATGAGTTTTGCGGTGTACGAGCAGTTATAGATAAACGTAAAGATTAATATCGAATCAAAATGATTATTCCTGACGGTTATATACTTTCCCCGATTTCCAGAATAAAATGCTAGAAAATAAGATAGCCAACGCGTATCTCTTTGGAGTCTATGCTCAAATATTTCAAGAAGTGAAAGAAATGCTTTTACAACGCTGCATAAAAAAAAACACAATCTTAAAATATTACTTTAATCTTTATCATCGTGAATTCAATTTTTATCTTAGATAATAAATTATGTATTTTTTTTTATGGCACATATAAACTGTGCGACATTATAACTCATCTCGAATAATCTATACATTTACATGAAATATTGACTAAATGAGAAGAACGTGCATATATTTTCCTATAAAGTATCTACATAACATAACTATATATTAATACGCATATACATAACGTAATTATATATTAATACTCATATATGATAATTTAGCTCACTGATAATCTCTTATCGCGTTGTTACGTATGTCGCGTGCGAGAAATTAATTGTATTCATAGTTTGATCAAGGAATTGATTATATAGGTTTTAATCGATCGCAGATATCCATTCGCTGCGGACTAGTACGAACGTGCACGTGACGTATAATCGGTGTGTTAAGTGTAACATAAATAATGCAGAAACAACATGGAGCTCAAAGTAATTTCTACTCTGACGTAATTGTTCTTCGGAGATAATAGTGCATTTAAATTTTATTTTAATTTCAAACTTATTTAATTTTAAACGCAATTTTTCCTTTTGCTAAGTATGTAGAATATTTTAAAGTTACAGTTTAGAATTATTTGCATACTATTTCAAATTTTGTTTCGTTTAATAAAAAATATTCTTGTGAGATTATTAATTTTTAGAACAAAAATCTGAAAGATAAGGATAGTTCAATATCATATATACTTTTAGATTGATTTTGGTACTAATTAGAATATAAAAGAAACAAACATTAAGCATAATTTATTTAATTAATATATAACAATAAACATAAATTAAGAATTGATAATTAATAATGGCTTAGAATTAATAATAAATAGCTAAAAAATTATATTCTTTTTAATAAAAAATATTAAGAACAAAATAAAACAAATATTATATTTGTTCTATGCACTCTATAAATATTTATCTATAAAACAAGTAAATGTAATTGTATATCCATAAATGAAATACTTGAAAGTACGTTTTGATATAATACGTTTTGATACTTGAAAGAGCATGTAATGATTTTGAGATGCCATGTTTTTTTTTATCAAGCAAACTTTCATTTACCATAATAAATAATTTATTCGTAAATATATTTAATAAATACCTTATAAATTGTATAAGGATAAAAAAGAAAAAATATACATTATTGCTTTATTTTTTATATCTTTTCAGATTAAATAATAATTACATCAAATATTTTATTCTTCGTATTTCAGAATAATTCTTGTTCTATTTTAAAAACTAATCAGATTTAAAAAGTAGATTGAAAAAGAATTCTCAGAAAGTCTATTGAATTTGCGTTATTAACATAGAATTAATGAGTAAGAACAATAGATGCAATATATTTCAATCCAATTTGAGCTTCTACTTTCTCAAATCTTCACACTTCATTGCAGGTGTACAGCTTATGACCTACTACACAATGTACGCGGGTATAAATTCCGCTACATTTTCAACAATGAAATAACAAGTATACTCAAACAACTCACTATTTAATTGCTGGGAGATCTTTACCGATGCTACCATGTGAAAGCACAGAGTGGCTATTTACTCTGCACTCTTCAATAGCATTAATTATCACGGAGGATTCCCTATACAAGATGTCTTACAATTAGACATTCAAATCATTGAGCTACATTTGCTCTAAATACCTTTGTTCCAATTTGAAGTTAATTTTTTATTAACAAAACCATTTAGAGTCATAAATTTTAAATCCTAAATTATTGAAAAATTTTTCAAAAAATTGAGAAGGCTTTAGAAACGCTAATAAATAACTTATTGCGAAAGCTACTATGAATAGATTTAAGGATTAATTTTTAGCTCATGGACTGTAGAATTAATTGTACATATAAATACCTATATTAAGCCTATAAATAATGTTAAGAATATCGTCAGGTAATGTCAGATATTGTTAAATTTATTTTTCTAAAGGTATTTTTAAAAATATATTTTTGAGAAGCATTATATAAATCTTAAAACATCTACATAGATATGTCATTTCAGAAAAAATAAACAGATAAATTTTATATAATTAAAAACATTTAAATACACAAATTAAACGTTACAAATAAACGTCAAGAACTGAGATAAATGATAGTTTTTCTCGATACTTTTACTGAAGAAAGCTTAAACCGGTGAAGCACGATTAAAAAAATCCACAGATGAAAAGCGATTTGCTAGTTTACGACACCCAATATAAAATTCGCGACGCGGCTCTTCAACCGCGCATATCTACCTCACGTACAGCGCGTTAATGGATCTCGTACACACGTGCACATCTCGCGCATAGATACTGTCGGGTAACAAAATAGAAAGTAGCAGGAACACGCGGGAGGCAGGATAGGGTGCAGGGAAAGGGAGAGTGAGTGAAAATAAAAGGGTAAGAGCGAGACCGAGGCTAGTGAACGGGAAGAGACGGAAACGCATACCGCGTAGTCGCACTGAGAAAGACAGTTACTCGTGGCAGATAACCGTGAGAGGCTCTCCCGACCGTATTGTGCCGCTCCTTATCCTTTCACTCTTTTCCCTTATCTTGTGTTCAAGCCTAACGGCAAATTCCGCGACGAAGTGGTCGCCAGTCGCGGCGAGCATTCGCGGACTTCCTTTTGCCGCGAATTGCTGGCCTTGATTCCGCCACAAGCTGGCATTGACACGGTATCTCCGTTATATCACCCGTCAATTCAATGCGCGAGACGTGTACACTCGTGTTATCCGAGAAAAGTAAAGCCCCCACCCTTTCAATCTTGATAAAGCTTCAATTTCAATGAGCTAGACTTCCTTAAGCGAAACAAAATAATTTAACGCCAAATGTTTCCTTATACTTCTAATCACACTATAAGATTTAGAAGTCGATGCTGTACCAGAAAATGTACATAGAGGAAACTCTCTTTTAATTTTTAAACCTTCTTTTTACTTTACATATTTCACATATGTAAATAATAAAACTTTTCCGGGAGAAATGATTTTGTCGTGTAACTTTCACTTATATGGATTGTATTTATACATATAGAAATATGTGAAATTACTTTTTTTTGTTCGTTGTGTAACGTCAGTTAATACGAAATTACACAGTTAACGATACTAACCATCTCTACATGTACAATTATTTCACGTATCACAACGATACGATACGATAATTAAACTAAGTATGAAGATCGTGTCTCTATATGTTATAACCATCACATAATGTCTATCACGATATTTGTCGAGGCATTATATCCTCAAACAATAATCGTAAAAATGATTTAATTCCAAGTAGACAATAAAATTAACATATTGACAACAATAAAAGAGAAGTAATCACATTTTTACGAGGCATAACGCGAACGGGTAAAAGAATATACTTGTCTTATTCTTTTACCCGTTCGCGTTATGCCTCGTAAAAATGTGATTACTTCTCTTTCACGACCGTAGAACTGACGGCCATCCCATGCATTAAACTCTCTACCATCTACTATACGATATAGCTGTGTGAATATTACTCTCTTCAAACAAAACGCATATTAAACGTTAAAAGCATCAAATAATCGTTATTGACCATTTCTATTTTTTAAATTAATATTATATTTTTGTGTGTAAAAGATAGAGTTCTGAAACTTTTTGACTTTGCAATGATTATGTCTTTTATTCTGACATACTTGTTTTTTCGTTACTTTTCTTATTTTCATGTGTAATTTATCTGCTTGATCCTTTTAGTAAGTAAGAAACGTCGGTACTTTTAATATTAATGAAACGCGTAAATCATAAGTTGAAGAAATTATAGCAATTGTACATAGCTGTTTTATCGATGTTAGCCGAAGCGATCATTTAAACGCGACTGACTCTATCTTTATATTCTCATTTATCTTACACATGAATTGTTATTATTGCAAAAAGTCTCTCTCTGCGAACGTTGCACCTGGATTACATGATAGAAATTGTATCCCGCACACATCTCCAACTTCCTTCTGGCTACATCAAATGATGCGCTGCACTCACGGCAGTGATGCGGCTCGACCGACAACACCTATTACTTTCACACGCTTCCGCGAGAAACCGTGGTGAAGGTGCACCGAACGACCTTACTTTGCAACCAAGATCAAGATCAGCCTTTCGCGATCGGAATTAAAACGATCCGCCGTGCATTCAAACGCAAGAAATCTTCATGCCAACGTTGCTATTACGTATTTCCAAAAATTGACATTTTGATAGGGATGCAAAAGATTCATCATATTTGAAAAACAAAATTTCAGCGAAATTAGAATAAACTGTCGGGCTTTAATATTATATTAATACTTATTTATTAATACTCTTATTATACTATAATACTTATTTATTAATACTACAGAACTCGATAAAAAAAACAAAAAAGTCTTTTGCACCAATCTAATGTATTTGACTTTTGTCTTAATTAATTTTTTATTGATTATGATAAAAATCTTATCATACATAATCTTATACTTTTATGATATATAATAAAGGAAAATATTAATAATATCAAATAATATAAGTGGCATTCAATACATAAATATTAGAAATAAATCGGAAATTATGATAGATATTATAAAAGAAAGTTAAAAAGAATGGTCCATCGAGTCTTGACATACATATATATGTTGATAAAACTAATCGATTACCGCATAAGAAAAGCAATCAAATCGCAATTTGTGAACGTTACTAAAAAAAAAGTTAATCAAAGGCTACATCCTCGAGCGGACAATCACCGCGCTCGTGTGACAAGCCCCACAAAAACTTGATTTGATTCGCTCACCGTGAATTCGTTTTTCTGTCGTGCCCTTTCGTGATCCTTTCACTTTCCTTATTCTCTGCCATCGATTCCCTTCTTGTCGATTATAACCGTGAGCGGCATCTATACAGCGTGTAGACGGCGCGATCGCGGCGAACGGCTTTCTCGACTTTCAAACGTTCAACCGGTCATCGGTCTTCCAGTGAAAGTAACCGGAACGAGAGAGGATGCGATCTCCGCTGGTGACCGTGATCTCCCGACATTACTCTGCTCGAGTGTCGAGACAAGGCGGCCGATTTTTTTACAATCGCCTTCATGACCGCTCGACCGTGGAAACGGCGCGTGTTTCCGAGTGCAGTCAAATTTAACGGCCGTCGAGGATATTTATTACCCGCAAATGCCTCCAATTGCTATTTAAAAAAATAGAAAATATTGCAATCACTGACGTGACAGTTGCCACTATAGAAATTCGTAGCTCGTTTTTGCTACAGATTAATAAATATAAGACTAAATATCATAATTTTAAAATTTGAATGTTTTTTGGACAATTAAAATTATTTACAATATTAATTTAAAAAAAAGTATAAAATTATAGCTTCAAATTGGTAATAATTAAAACGATATTTTTTGTCGATTTTTGTTATTAAAATATTGATTTAATTCTGATTTATTACTTAATCATTTCTTTATTTAATAATCAAATAATGATTAACCAAGCAATGTTAAAACAGTAGCTAAACACTCTTTGCATAAAGTATTAAAATTGAGAAACGACAGGAACGAAATCGTAGGACATTAGATATTATTTAAATCTAATAATTTACTGTATGCATCATATATGTTTATTCTTTTTGCATTTTACAAATATATTAATTTATAATATTTTATACTTAAATAATTGTTAGATACACATTTCATAATAATACATCGGAATGATATTCCTCGTCATTTATATATTAATGGAAGAAATCATACACAACAGATAACTCAGAAATTATTTAGTTAGCAGAAATAATTGAAATATCTGTAACTCTCTTTCTAATATGTAATATGCTAATTACATATTAGAGAGAGATTTTTTTTTGTTGCAACGAAACATTTCATCAATAAATTTACCGTTCTCTCGTAATTTTTATCTTTAGTATTTGCAGATATATTCGGCTTTATAATTAAATAACACGTAAATATTTATACGAAATATTTTTTAGTAATGTTCGTGAGAATAACAGTAGCCTGTCCTATGAGCCTCTAAAATAGTCCTAGTATCATTACATCTATGCAATCTTAGAAATGACATCATCGTACTATTACACGCATAAATCTTACGTATTCGAAATTGTAACGATGCGCAATGTCATCCACTTGACGTACACATACGGATACAGATATCTTTCTAGAAGCTCTTGTATAATATTTTAGGCACAGATTCTTTGTAAATTTAAAATCGAAGCTAAAGTAACTTATAATTTAAAACCATTTATCTGTTTTCTACATTGAAATATCTTATTATTAACAATTATGTTTCATTAACATGTCTTAGCAATTAAGATTTTAAACAACAAAGAATATTGAATTTAATTTAAAAAAACAACATTTTATTAAGTATACACTTTTTATTTTTATTCCTTTATCACAGAAAAGTTATTAGCATTTTAAACAATCCCATTTAGTGTGTGAATTCTTCTATATTTGTTTCTTTTATTTGGGTCTGAAAGTTTGCGCAGTAGCTGTTACAATTTCTTTTCTCGTATTTGGAAATCATAAAATATTAAATAAATTTCGTAAAAATCGTAACTTGAAAATTTAAATGTAACAAAATAATAATATTCAAATGCTGAAAATTGTCAGTGCTCGTGCAGACATTATGTTAACTTTCCTTAAATAATATTACATAAATAAAAAAATATGTATAAATAATCTACATACAAAATGGGCAGACTATTTGACAAAATTTGTTCGAGACGTTTAACATTTTGCAAACACAAATTCACGCACTAATGTGTGTCTAAAACAAAGAGAAAGTAAAATTTGCTAAAACATTAAGAAAATATTTCCGTAACTTTACACCACTCTCTTATGCTCAATAATTTATATAAGCATTTGATTTCATTACTGTTATTAACTTTCGTTATTAATTAAATTTTTTAAAGCTCATTACTGAAATAAACTTGATTTACTGGTAGTAATGTAATTGAATAGGTAATAAAATGTGATGCCGAATTTCCATTACTATTTCCACACTCATTAAAATCATTGCTTTAACAAATATGAAGTTATTTCACGTGTATTATTACATGTTATTTATTTATTTATTGTTAAGAAACACTATGTTAGATATTTTTAAACGTGCGAAACCGATTGAAATTTTTTAAAATTTGGATTTCATTTACTGCTGTTTATAAATTTCTAGACACTTAAAAATAAAATATATTTTTGCGTAATTTTTTTATTTTGGCAATATGACAACTACATAATTTAGTCTTTTTTAACTATAAAATAACAAAAATCTCCGCCACGAATTGATGTATTGCTTGAATAACTTATAATTTTTTTTAAATGTCCTTTTTGCCTTTATTATATACTTTGGGCATTCTATCAATTTTCGAGTATACTTTAATACTTTCATTATGCAATTCAAACACAAGTTATTGATTAAGCCTACTTAGAAGTAGATCAGTCATTGAGATCCGAAAATCTCGGATGTTTGCAACTCGCGTAAATAAGACCTGGTCCGTCTCGCGCGTACTCTTTAACGCCGAGATACAACCGTGTCTTTTGATTTCTTTCCAAATATTTTGGAAACAAAGTTATGGTATGATCTATGGATCCATTTTTCTTATACATCTATAACTTAGAAAAATTTTTGATGAAAAAACTGTAAATTTTCCAAGCAACATACATATCAAACTGTGACAGATATTTTTGTTATGTATATAATTAAAAAGATCAAATTATATTGCTAAAATAAAAATAATTACGCAAAGATATATATTTTATTTTGTTTTTAATAATGTCTGGAAACTTATAAACAAAAGTAATATGTAGTCTTACAAAAGATAAATAATGATAAATGAAAACAATGTCTCTCTCTCTCCTTCTTCCTCCTCCTCTCTAAAATGGAAATGTAATACAAGTATAAAACAATACTTCAATAATATTTTTCATTATTTATCGAATATTGGCACTTTTAAGATAAGAATTTCTTTTGACCATCTTACATGAACAATCAATCTTGCATTGATACGAATAGAAAAATTCAAGTATTTATCAAATAAGAGAGTGGAATGATGGTGTTTTAAGTTCATCAAAATATAAGAAACCAAGATGAGATCCTAAATAAGATTTAAATTAGAAACACTCAAGTTTTTAACATCACACAACATATTTACGTAAATATCATTACCGCGCATATTACAAAATATTTACTATATACGAATAATCGAGACTCATGGGACTCCCTGAAGTCTATATAAAACTTCATTAAATTCAGATTTCAACGTTTCAAGAGAGATGCACGAAAATGATTCCATATATTTATACATTCGTGGCAATATGATATAAATTACATATTGCCGTGTCTATGAAAAGAGAGAATAAATTTATCAAAATCACATTGTAAAATCAAACGTGTGATCAGAAGCATCAATGACGTCCAGTGCGCTCGCCTTCATGAAGGGGGCTTCACGACATGAGATTCATCAAATCTTTTGGCTCTTTCACGAGATAAAGTAGTGGCGCTATATTATTAATTATACGTAAATAAAAAAATAAATATTTCTTAAATATTATAGAGAAATTTAACCGTTAAACGCGCGAACCGGAGGGCATTAACGCTCCTGTGTATTCTGATATGCGTCTACCCATGAGCGGGGACGATCCCCGTGCCGGCCGACACACCCCCGTGACCGAAGGACAATTGTTGATACGGGGCGCTCTGTACCGTCATCGTTCTGAAGTCGTAGGTCGAGGGGTCTCCGTGATTCTCACGCACGGAGTAGCCCTGCTTGGACTGAGCAAAGCTGGAGAGCCAATTGACACCGCCGGTCGGACCGCCGAAGCTGGCACCTGGTAGACCGGTGGTCGGGAAGCCAGCGTGCAGCTGCTGGGGCGCAGAAATCGCTCCGCCGGCCGCCGCGTAGTTGGCACCGGCGGATAACACGTTCGGCCAGGTCTTGGTCAGTTCCTCCAGCTTCTTCTGGTACTCGTCCAGGGACACGGTGTCCCGCAGCACGATGCCCTCCTTGTTACCGGCGATAGTTGCCGACGGTATACCCGCCGGCACCACCACGGCCCCCTGCACGCCGGCGATGCCGGCGGAAGTGGACGCGGCGTACGCGGTTGGAGACGCGTCCGAGGGCAGGCCCTCGGTGCCCTTTGCCAGAGAGTCCTTGCTCTTCTCTAGAGCGCTGCTGAGAGCCTGCTGGTTTCTGAAACTGAGGTCCTTCTCGATCGAGCGGGTGCCGTAGTACTTGTTCATACTATCCTTTATGCTGCCGCGCAGCTCGCCCTTGACAGCGCTCTCCATATCCGAGAAGTACGAATCCAACTGCGGATTTTCATAGGAATTCGCCGTCGCCGATGTCGCGTACTCCTGACCTACAGAAGTGAAACTGGTCGGCGGATAGTCCGGAATGACCGGCTGCCGACCGGCGTATCTGAAACGAATAAGAAAGGAAGCTGTTTGAATCGTATTAGGAAAAACTGGTTACGAGTAGAAACTAGGGTAAATATACCGGTCAATCGATAAAGATAAAAGTAACCGGTATCAGATACTGATTGACTCGTTCGAACATGGAAATGTACGGACGTCATCTTCATTAGTCATTATAATCTATTCTTGAAAGTAAAAGGTATCGTCTGTATTGAAAGTACTTGGTATAATTTTCTTTGTAAAAAAAAGTACTTTATTCAAATTATTTGTTCACAAATTTAAAAGCAATATTTATATTTTTATAAAAATTATGGAACAAAATTCTAACGAAAGAGACAGGATAGTTTTACGTATATTATATCATAAAAATCTATAGTATAATTAGATTAAAAACCCTATGTGTAATATAATTAATTAGAAAAGTAAAAAGATTAAATTGAAATAAATTATACTGACTGTAAGATTACCTTTCATGCACGAATGGCAAGTTGCTCTTGATATTGTCGTACGGTATATATCCTTTGCCAAAAGAGATACTGTGACTAATGTCTTTGCCGTGAGGTACATTCACGTGATTTATAGTCTCAGGACCATGATCGAAATCGTCGCCCCCGTACGGTAGCGGCCGGAATGGCTTTTTGTTATAGTAATGATTGACGCGACCATAATGACGAATGTCGCTTCCGTATGACTTTTTGTAATTACCCGGAGGTCGCCATGGCACTACTGGGCTCCGTCTTACTTGTCGGGGCACGATTAACACTACCTTTCTAAAATGCGAAAAAGGATAATGAAAATATTATTTAATGTTTTATATTATTATTTATTTAGTCCGCTCGCCTCAACACATTGTAACGATTTCTAATTAATGCTACTGATAAAATTATAAAAAGTAATATGTTCGTAAAATCGTATTTATATAAATTTATATATTTTCAAAATAATTAAATGTTTATAAATTTATTAGCTTTCTATAATTTTTTAAAGCAATCTTCGTTTTTGATGTGAATTTAAGACGTTTTGAAAATCTTTATAAGATTTTGATAAACTTTATAATACTTTTTAAAAAAATTAATACTTTATTAATTTTATTTTACTTTATAATTGATGAGTTTTCCTATATTTTGTTATTAATTTAATTTAAACAATTAGCCTTAATTAAGTATGGCACAGATACTCACGCGTGAGTAAGAAGAGGCTCGCTGATCGCCAGTAGCAGAAAACAGAGGGCCTGCAAATATTAATTACTGATTAACATCCCTTTCAACGGTAACAAGCGTAAATGATAAAGTAAATTTAATAAATCAACTGTCTATTAAGTTGACAGGTTTTCGCACGGAATCACGAAAGCTTAGTCGCGTGTAGAATCTCATTTGTAAGAGTTACACACGCTGAGGCACGCAATTCTGATACGCTACGGTTGTCATTAGTGCTTAGTTTACGGCCGTGAATAGCGTAATTATCTAAACTCGCAGGCCGTTATCGGCCTCGCCTCTTCCTTCGCTTAATCACACTTTCATTGATAAGTATAATAAGACTTTCACACGATGAAAGTTAAACCCGTATATTTGCCAGATTCTTTTAAATCGCATCTTAGAAATCAGTTTAAACGTGAAACTCGAATAAACTGTTACTTTTATCATATATATATATTCAATAATTTAGAATTATTGTCCATTTTTTAATTTTTATACATATACATATAAACAGATTGTGTTGTTTTTCTACGCTTGTGAAAATTAATATTCAAAATAAATTATCCGTTAATTCCGAAACGTGCAACAAATATTTTTTAAAATACATTTTAAAGCAATAGTAAATTGAAAAACATAACATAAACTTGTATGCGATATTATTTATCAAATGAAATTAGCATTATAAATTGAAGGGCTTGCTGCAATAGGTAATGGATTAACTCTGTTACAAAATTGATTACAGCTTGTAACAACGGAGAAAATAAACTAAATAAGTAATAACTTAAAATAATAAACTGTAGAGTTTATTCTCTCCGTTAAATGCTATAAAATGTGGATCATTAGCCCATTATACTATTGCAGCAAGTCCTTCAATTGTTATATCTTCAAAGATTAATTCTGTCACTGCTCTTACTTCTCTTCGGAATGATAACGAACAATAACACATCTTAAACTCTCATCAACTTAAGTTTACTTCTTCTAAAATAAATTTATTTATTTATAACTTAATTATTACAAAACAACTTATTATTCCAACATAAATCTCAAATATAAATAAATAATTAATTGTAATAGTAGTTTTATTAACACGAGTAAAACGGAGAAGTAAATATATTTAAAAAACAAACTATAATTCAAAATTTTAAAGACCTAAATCCTCTTTTTCTTTCTTTCTCTCTCTCTCTCTCTCTCTCTCTTGCAATTATGTAATCACATTATTTCTAAACAATATAAAATATATGTTTAAATTTTTTATTTTAATTAACTATCGGAAAAAGTCCCAAAAGTAATAGCTTCTTTGAAGAAAAACCATAGCATCTTTTTATATTTCGTCGTAAAAATATACAGTTTAATTTGAAAAACCATTTATCAGTGAAAATTATAAGATAATGAAATGAAAAATATATATTGTTCTTCTCAATTATGAAAAGGATTAATCGACATCTAAGAAAACGGCTGGGAATCTTTTGAATCGCGAAATGATCTGACTCACCGTGTACCGCATACTGCCGGCCCTTGAATTACTCGCGCCACTTGCCAAGCTTGATAACGCGCTCTTTATCCGATCTGTCGTCACGTTGTCGACGTTGCGTGGCACGGGGTGGCGAAGAGACGACGTTTGCTCGCCACCTGCTGACCGACCGAAGACCCGAGATTCAATCCGTGTCCGTCGTGCTCGCCGCCGCGGATGATCCAGATGTATTGCGGCTATCTGCGCTACGCCTCTTCTCTTTTATACAAGATAAAAAGAGCATAGACGCGGTGCATAGTCGCGATCGCCTCCCACCGTGCAAATGTACCAACGGCGATCGGCACGTCCACATCGCGCGTACCGTACCATCGCGCTGAATGGAAATGGAAAACGGGCGGGTACCGCGGCCGCGGCGCCGAGAAGGGCCCCCGCGGCCTTCGCCGCTAAACGCGGCCGGGTGAGCCGTCGAATTTTTGTTTAGGGAGAAATCGACACTTTCTTCATCGTGCGAGACGGACAACGTCAACGGCGCGACGTGATGGGCGTGCTGTATCCATCATGCGAGAGATGCAGCGGTAAATTCCCCCCCGGCTCTTTCCCTGCCGGAACATAGATAGATAGAACATGATGAACCGAGAATCCGATCAGAGGTGTATCTCGCGCTATCAACTTCTACGTAATGAAAACCGAACACCTATAGCACATTGCGAATCTGTGCGGGGACGGGTTTCGTCAAACGAAAGTTAGACAGCGAATAGTGGATGGCCGTAAAAAATAACGACAGTAAATAGAAAATTTAGTAGACAACGATAAAAAACTGGTAGGGTTTATTATCTATCGTAGCTATGCAGCCCGATGGGTGCGGCGGCAATCGCCGTCTGGTCTTTAATTTTTTACTTAGAGTTTCTCTCTCTTTATTTTGTTTCTTGCTTTGATTAATTAAATCAGAATTCGAAAATATGATATAAATATCAAAGTTAATATTTGGTATTAAAATTTAAAAACAATTAAAGAAAAGAATATATATAAGTAGTGACAAAGTGATACAAGTAAAAAAATTAATATTTTTGAGAGAGTGAAAGGAAAAATCGACCCTAAAGACTTTAAGATTGATTTTCTTTTATTATCAAATCAATATAAAAAATAATTTTTTACTTATGCAGTCTATTAACGCGGCGATATACATATACACATATGTACAAATATATTTCTCCAAATGTGAGTATTTATATATAAAATTTGTTTTATCTTAAAAAAGAAAAGAAAGAGGAGAGAGAGAGAGAAGAGGAGGAGGAGGAGGAGGAGAGTAAATTTAGATTTATTCAAAATTTTAATTGTTTGTAAAAAAACTATTAAAAATTTCTTTACAAATAATTGATTTTCTATAAAACAATAAATACAAGAATACAGAAAAAACTAATAAAATAATACATAATATAAGAAGATAAAACTAAATAAAAATTAAATATTTATTCAATTCATGAATAAGAAAATATCATCATCTAAAAAGTCGTTTTCTGTAAGAATTACTTCGGCCATTATTCAAAAAAACTTTAATATAATCTCATCAATCTCGCAATGCAAATTCAATGAAATAATAGATTATGAAGATTCATAGACAATATAACAAAGGCCGTGTTCCGATACACTGTCAATACTGAAAATCTATAGTTCGCGTTACGTACGCTATAGATTTTCAGTACTGGCAGTGTATATCGGAGCACGGCCAAACGAAGCGAGAATCCTTCTAACTCAATTAAACAGAATTATGTGAAGTTAATAATGCGTAGCGTTGCCATCATATATTCAGTTTAAATTGCTAGTTTTATGAAACTATAATAATCCTATCACTATATAATAACATATTTACTATATATCAATGCATAAATAACATAATATATATCATCAATAAAATATTCGATATATATCTTTTGAACCTCGATTTAAATAGAATATAATACTTTAAAAAATATCTTTCATAAAATTGTGAAGAATTGTACAATTACATATTTAAATTTTACATAGCTATATAAAAAAGTTTTAATAATTATATTCTTTTAAATACATATAATTTAAATATGACTTTCTGCTAAAAAAAAGTAAATGTTTTCATAGAAATTAAATATCTATAAAATATAAAGAAATAATTAAAATAGAAAGTAACAAAATATGAAAGTTAAAATAAAGAGGCAGATACATTAATTTTAATTAATAATCTAAATAGCACAGAGAGTTCAAAAAGAACTCAGTCATATGTCATTAATTTTGAGTTTATTTCAGATGCAAAAAGAACTTTTCTTTAAAAAATTTTCTTTGCACCTAGAAATGAACTCACTGATGACATACGACTGAATATACGAATAAATTTTTTTTAATTCTATGTGTTCTCTGGAAAATTACGGTAAAATTTTAAAACTAGAATCACGCGTGGATATTACATGTTAGAGATTTGACAAACGCAAGTGTAATACTAAAACTTCTTATAAATTTGTCAAATTTTATCTTGAACGAAATCTTGAAATCTTCATTGTGTCAATTATCGTTTTGCATAGGTGATGCACAAAGATGTGTCAATACGTCTATCAGCCGCACCCAATGTGTGCTTTCCAAAATACGAATAACAAATAACAAGAGAATGTAACTACTCCGGCAATGCGACTTCACGGAAAGTGTTCTACATTTACTGTGCACTTTCGACGCGCGCGATCAATTCTCTAGATGTTATATCTAACTTTGAGGAATATTATTTAATATTTTTACTTATGTGATTAAAAAAAAATGTTTTTCTCTTATTTTTAAATAATACGACCTTGTGTAACACAATTGTAATATTTATAAAATATTATTTTCAATAAATTGTTTATGCAATATAGGAAACAACGTTCCGAATATAACACAAATATTATGCAAGTAGCATAAATGAATCGTAACAAAAGATACAAATCTTCTATACGTTAAGTATTTATTGAAACTACTTCACGTATCGTTTACCGCGTGAACAATTAAATCATTAGTCTAATTTGCTATGATCAAACATTTTTTTTCTGTCTGATATTAATCGTTTTTACTGATTCTTATCTTACTCTTGTAAAACAACAAATTATTATTGCTTGGCAATTCAATTGAAAATTATCAGTGTAATTGAAAATTAAAACTACAACTGCAATAGCCTATTGTTTTCTGCAGTTCCCGAGAAAAGAAAATTTATGAGTACACATGCAGCTGTTTCGACAATGCCAATTCGTATTTCTATCGCGCCAACTGTGCTTCTGTTTGATGTGATTAAAACTAAAAATTTCACTGACAAGAATAACCGCGGTTTCATATTGCTACCGTTACGGTCCACATACATTAATCCTTTCTCGACACGCCGGGACGCTGACAATGGCGTCGTTAGAAGCGCACGTTAATTAGCTCATTCACGCACATTCAGGTACTTTCTTGCACCGAATTCAAGGTCGAGTTTCTAACCTCATGCCTTTTTTAACGGAAACTGGATAGCATCCTATTTCCTAATCGATACCTTCTATCCCCTCTTTTGCAGAATGACATGAAGGTCTACTTTTTCAGTATTAAACAAAAACTATTGATGAACTTTTTTCTTAAAATACCTATTATACAAAATTATAAAGTACACAGTAGCCATACTCATTTAGATTAAATTGAATTAGGCTTGATTTGATTTAATTATTATATATGATACATGATAATATATGATAAATGATACGTGAAGTTGTTTTAATAAGTGCATTATTAACATAGAAGATTTTGATCTTTTGTTACGATTTATTTATGCTACTTGCGTAATATTTGCGTTGCATTCGGAACGTTGTTTCCTACATTGTATTTTCTTAAGTTAGAAAAAGAAGGAAGAAATAGATATAAAGATCGTAAAGAATTATGAAAGATTTTATTTTTTTCCAAAGTCTCCACTTGTTGGAATATTTATACTTTAAATTGTAATAATCTTATAGTAAACAGAAATGCACGCTGCAAATTTTTGTTTTGTATAATAAATACAACATTACAAAAATGGACTAAGAAACAATTAATAAATGCATTTTTCATTACCGCAACTCTTCACACACACAATAGTTCCACGAGTCAGTGCACTCAGGACATGTCTGAAGATGCAGCTGAAGATTAATAACCATACACAGCTTGCCATTTTTTAGTTGCTCTTAGTCACGCTTTCGACTAAATGATTTGGTACTTGTCTATGGACATGTATTTTCCATTTTTAGAAAACATTAAAATCTTTTAAATATGCATCAAGTGTTGCGATTTGAATACATGATCACACATTCAGAAACATAGTAGTGGCAATTATAGGCATTTAAAGGTGACAATTATGCAAGTTTTATATAGAATTAAAATTTTATGTAGAATTAACATCACTGAATATGTATATAGTTGAATAAACCAATGTCTATTAAATAAACTCTTTTATATGTATATATTATAGTTATAATAATTATAAAAAATAAGTCATTCAACCATGTATATTAATTGTAAACTTGTATAATTGTTACCTTTATAATTGCCACCACTACATGTCTTTTTCTTTGCACAATATAAAGTATATAAAATTTATCCTATAATTTTATTTATATTTTTTTATATTTACTTTTTTCTTAATTAATATTTTAAGATTTTTCCATTTTTGTACAAAAATGCATTAATGTGGCCCGATAATTCTTAAGTAAATGTCTTGTTTTATAAAAACTTACAAAAATCACAATTAAATAACAGAATATTTAAACACGATTTGGTTTCAATGTTCGTTCTTTTTAAAATTTCTATTTAAAAACAGTTATGTTATCTCTGAATTAAAATTCTGTTAGATGCAATTAGTAATCACAGGTATTAAATCAATTGTTAAAATTCGCACCAACGGTGGCGGAAATTTAACAATAAAATCTAATGTACGGAAATTTCACTGTAGGATAAGAAAATCGTGATCTTTCGTTCCGTGGTTTTTCAAGTACTTATTAATGTTTTAGAACAGAAAATTGCGACGAACAACGCATAAATTGGTCTATTACAAGATCAAGTAAAATACGTTCTTATATTGAACAAGGAGAGAGATAGAGAAAGAGTAATATGACCCGACAGCGTATACTTCAGCGTAAACTTTATGTTCTCTTCTTAACATAATGTACTTCACGTTGCGATCACTTCACATTGCGAGTCTATTAGACAAACATGTATTATTGGCTCTGTAAAGCATGAGATGTTGAGAAAGTAAAGGAAATTGCCCACAATATTTTTATGACAAAGGTATATGTTATACAATAAATAAATTCAGAATTGCCATAAGACATAGAGTGAAAGTTAGTTTTTAAAATTAAATATATAATAAACGTACTTTACAGTAATTTATCTAATGGATGCAATTAGTGACAACAATCTCTTCAAATTAAAAGGGACTTATCACGCTTTAATTATAGCGTCTTTTAAATGTCTTTAATGAAACTATTTTCAAATCACACACTTCCTTTATCTTGACATATACAAGCATTTACTATATATTTTTCTTCTCGTCGGAATTTATTTTTATGTTTTTGCGGAATAAGAGCACCGCTATGCTCTTGTTATTTGATATATCTTAGCGAAAATGGTTATTACTTCCTGGTAATATAATAGATCATAAGGCTTCCAGCTATTGAAGGTGAATAACCACTTTGTAAGATCGATGAATATGCTACACAAAGCACTTTCTCAAGCATTCTATATTGCATTATTTAACAAATATAAGCAAGCTCTATACAGAATTCTGTCTTTCTTGTTTATTTTTGATATTTGAAATTACAGATGCGAAAAATTGAAAAAAATTCATTAAAGAAATAAATAAACATTCACTCTAAATTACTACAAATTTATGAAAATAATAGAAATGTAAAATTAAAAAGTTTATATTTCTTAGATGTAAAAAAAATCATGCTAAAATATTAAAAAATGATAAATAGAAAATACCAAATGTATAAAATACATTTAATTTTCCTATTATTTAGAAGAAAAGATCTTTTGTATATATAAAGTAGATTTTTAAATATTTAGTCTAAAAAGATCGACGAAAATTTTTGGACTCATATTTCTTACAGAAATCTTTTAAATGTTTGTTGCATCTGTTATAATTTATCATTTGATAATAATACATACAAAATTCTTTTAATATCTTAAATTATAAGATGATAGATTATAATTATTGTGATGAAAAATAACAATTTTATTTAACATCTCATTATATTGTTGCATTATGATAGTAATTTTATATAGAAATTATATAAACAAATTGCCATCACAATAGAAGAATATATAACTAAAAATACATCTCTTCGTTTATCGGTAGTGCACTTTTATTTCTCCGATTTCTAAAACATTCAATACTAGTTTCACCGTTAAAATTAGTTACTATTTTTCAACTCTTTATTTTTTTGCAGTCGTTTTTTATCTTAACTGCGGTCAAAGTTAACTGACCACACCATCCAGTGCGCTCGAGTGACGTTGGTGAAACCGGCGAAACCCGATCCCCTGCAGTGTCCGAAACGGTGCCATTTAATATTCATCTAAACGTCCGATCTGTCGACGATTTTCCTAGGGCGACACTGCAGCCGACGACGTATTGAAACGTAACCCACCCTGTACATTCACTCCGACCCTGGCCGGGATTGGATTCCTCCAGTAGAGAGTTCACTGTCACGGTCTTGCGAGCTGTAAGGAAAAGGATAAACCGTATCGCGTGTTACTCGTTTTTGTTTTCTCGCTCGAGCACCGGCGCAGCGGCGTCTCCCGCGGCACGGCATACACGTATAATTTGCTCTTGCGCGCGTTTTACGCCGGGACACGCCGCGATCGGTTTCCCTTTCTCCCCGTGGGCGCGTTTTGCGAAGGTGAGCGCAGATTTCAAAGAGTGAACGGTCTTCGCGCCGCGGTCATCGCCTCGTAGTTTATGCGCCTCCGCATTATCAGCTCCGCTCGGCGCGCTTCTTCAGGAAGGGGAAACGATTCCCTCTCGCTTCCGTGATTTATCAGCAATCGACAGCGCACGTTTTCAATATTGCTTTCAAATGTGTACCGTATACAATGCATTTATTTTATGCAATTTCTTCTTATACTGTTAAAATGTGTTTTTTTAATATATTTTTTTTATATTTAGTTTTGTTTTGAAAATTTGCATCAATTATACTTATATTTATTCTGACTTATTTGAGTAATTTTTAATTATAGATAATACGTTCCAAGAAAACTGTATATTTAAAAAAGAACAAAAGTTAGTGAAGAATTTCTTGCAGAATTTTTAAAAAAATTGTGTTATTTTTCTCTTTATAATAATATTTTTAAATTCATATCTTGCCAAAGTACGCATAACATTACGAAACAATGGCACCATTTCTTGCAGCACATCATTATACGTCGAGTATAATTGCTATTCATTATAGAAAGTCAGTGTGACATTTTTTTTAAAGCAATTTAATAAGAACTAGTGAGAACAGTGTAAAAAAGTAAATTAAGAAGCCGCGCGCCAGAGAAAGTATGGGAGTGGACAAGTCATCTCTAAGCATTTAAAAGAGAAGTCAGTAAAAGTAAATCAATGAGTAACTTCGTAATTTTAAATCTGACTTTTATGTCTGTTCAACTCATTTATAATTAATTCGTTGCTGTTTTAATGTAACAAATTATTTTTGTATAACAAATAAATAATATATTTGTAATTTCTAATTTCACGTGATTATATAAATATTACTATAATCGCATTAATTATATTTTTTAATTAAAAAATACTTTATTTTAATTGAAATATGACATATATGATTTATATTATTTATTTACTTTCACATACACTTTTAAATTTAATTTAAGAATTCTATAATGATGCTACAATATAAAGAATAAATGAAAAAAATAAATTTTTAAAGAAAAGCAAAGAGTTGCTTTTCTAAATGTATTTTTTTATTAAGCACGTCTTAAAGTAGCACTATATTATAACTTTTACATAAATTTAGAATTAGTAGTAAACTTTCAATTTTGTAAGTCTGACATAGTATTATATTCCGTTAATTACTTGGTTTTTGATGAAAAACTATACGATTATACGAAGATATTAATCTGGATATTTATACCTTCACGTATTATGCAAATCTTGCGAAAGTTTGTGCTTTAAATTATCTTTCGTAACATGCATATATCGAGTCCGATTGGGACTAAAATTTACAGATGCATAATGCAATTATGATGGTTGTAATTGTCATGATTGACTAGCAATTATAGATATGGGACAGTTAGATACAAATACTTTCAATATTGCACAGAAAGCGTTCTGATGTGCGATATCATCTTTACCTAAAATACAAGATATTATAATTGTAGCGATACACCATAATTAAAAATATACTATAATTTCTAATATTTACAGTTCTGGAATACAATTGCAACATTGTAAATGTATGTATCAGCGTGAGAAGTTTGCTGATAGATGGCAGCAATTGCTGAACTTTCAAGTAGAATGTAATAGAAATGCGTTGACAGAGTTACTATCTTATCCATCTTGAATTTTTCCATAAATACTAATCACATTTAAATAAATTTAATTATCTGTCTATTTAAAAAAAAATGCAATTAGAAGAAACAGACAGATATTATTTACAAACTATATAGTCAATATAGAAGATATTTTCAATAAATGTTTTCGTAATTTTATACCGTAAAATTCAATTTTTGTTCTATAATTTTGGATACATTTACGTTCAGTAAAATTTGTATTAAATTTAATATACTTCCCAAAAGTCCACCCAAATTTCTGTGTTAATTTTACACAAAAAAAATATGTTAAAAAGTAACACAAAAAGTATAACAATTTGTCGCAATTTGATAACAAATCGAAAGCATATTTCTTTAATAAAATTAACATTTATAATATGTTAAATTAATATACACATTTATCTTTTATTTATTTTTTAAATTGTTATTTTAATACTAGAAATTTTAAATTAATATAAAATTAATATTAAATTTCAATTTAATATAAAATATTTAAATAACATAATCACATTATGTTAAATTAACATTCAAATATGTTAAAAATTTAATATAAAAATTTTAATAAAAATTGTTTTTAACACAAAATGTTTTTTATTGTGTTCGAATAATTTAAATATTTAAATATTCCGAAATATAAAAATCATTACATCCGAATTTATATGTATATATATATATATATATATATATAATACAATAACCGATATAAGTAATAACATAATTTAATATAAATACTAAAAGATAAAAAGAGAGAAATTTTCCAAGCTTAACAAGGGAAGCACAATGCCGCGCGCTTATTCTTCCTCTCGCGTGAGGACACGTAAGATTAGTGAAACGAACGCAAACCCGCGTCCATCCGCCCGCGTGCACGAGGTACGATCGCGATCTTGATCCTGGCCGTTCACCTGCCTTTCGTTAGGAAGAGAAGGAACGGCCCACTGCGACGGATCTGATCAAAAACGAGGAAATGTACAAAGGCGGCGAGGGAGGAAGGCGAGGCACGCTTGTCCCCCTCTGTTTCGCCGCGATCGGGTGACTTTTTGCCACAAGAAGACTATTAGGCGACTCCTTTCACGAGTGCGGTGCACACGGGTGGCAAAATACTCCCTTTCATTCTTATCCTGCTTCTATATCGTACGTGCGTATATATAAAAGCGGCACGCGTGTTCGCGATGGTCGTCAGATCGAGACCGGGCGGAGAAGTAATTGTTGTGCTTTCCCGTCGTTGATCATATTCATAGTTTTTTTCCCCACCTTTCGCTCTATCTTCGTCGCCCTGCTGTGGCGAAAGTGACATATTTTATTCGCCGGTCCTATCCAAAAACGGAACGATGATGGAACGACAAGAAATGATACCGGGCTTTTTGGTAAGTCTCAAGATATTATTACCGCATTTTCGATTGCGGCGGAAATGTGAGACGGTGACAGTCAGTGATAATTTTCGGAGTTAATCGAAAGGATTATCATTTCTGTGCTTAATCAAGGAGAACGATGTAAGAAATGTTTGTTTTCTGATTTGAGCAATATAAGAAATTAAAAATAACATCTGCTTTTTGCAATTTCTTTAATATGATAGTGACATTTTCGGAAATACATAATTTTTATTGTTATTATGTTTTTTTACACAATTCTCACTTTGGATTTTTTAAAATTATGATTGCTCAATATATTTTTTGTAAAAAATTAGTCGTTATTCAAAATTACAAAATCAAATTATTATGTTATTTATTTAATATTACGCACACACACATAAGGGCATTACTTTTATTACATATTACTTCTATTATGACCGTTGCAAACGAATGACTTTTTCCATTTTTTGATATTTAGTAACACGGCTAAAATGAGATAGGATTAATTCTATATATATAGCTTTATTAACAATTTTTGTTAAACAATATTATTTCCAGCTGACTCTTCTCTTAGTCATCGCACTATTTAACTTAGCCAACGCCGATGGACACGGTGGACATCAGTAAGTTTAAATTCAGTTCAATATCGGCGAGGTTGAAGAAACGTGAGAAAGTGGAACGTCTATAAGTATAATCCGATATATCGCGACGTTAAAAGTTTTAGTAAAAATTAATCACGCAGTTTTTATTTCTCGAAACCAGTCAGAAGCTTTAAATACCTACGCGTTCTTTTTTAGCAGCCATGTGATAATCCACGTGCCGTATAAGATCAAGACCATCCACCATACGCACACGATCATGAAACACATACATCACGGCGGCGGCGACGAGGACAAGTATGAAGTACTCGGATACACCGTGGGTCATCCTGTTGACCTCGGGGGTCACGGTGGCGGTGGCGGTGGCGGTGGCGGACACGATTTCGGAGGTGGCGGACACGATTTTGGAGGTGGCGGACACGATTTCGGAGGTGGCGGCCACAATTTCGGAGGTGGCGGCGGTGGTCACCTGGAGCTAGGGCACGGAGGTGGATTCGGCGGCGGGGGTGGATTTGGCGGCGGGGGTGGATTCGGCGGCGGGGGCGGATTCGGCGGCGGCGACTGGTCGGGACATTAGAAATATTCTCGAGTGAATTATCGATAACTTTTGAGGAATCCTAAAATTAGTTTTAAAGCAATTGACATGGTAATTCGTTTTTAAATGTCCGGAACGTCTTTGCCATCCCGTTTTTCTGTCGATGTTTGATACATTTTTGTTCTATCATAGAACAATATTTGTCGCTCATTTGCTACAACGACTCAAAAATTGTCATCTTTTAATTGCTTGCAAGAAAATGAGAACAAAAAGAAAGAAAGGAAAAACTTCTATTTTTCTACAGTTATTGTATAAAAATTGCATTTAAAATTTAATATTACAAAATTTTAATAATTTAAAACATTTCAATTTATTTTCCAGAAAAATTTGTTTTTATTTATGTTTTTGTTGTAGCAAATGAGCGACAATCAATTGTTAAATATTTATTCGTTGATTTATTCTGATTTTTACATAAAGTGCACAGAAATATTTTGCAGTAATTATATTATAAATTATTTGTAAAATTATGAAGTTGTATTCGAAAAACACAGACCGTTGCAATTGGATGTTGAAAGTGAGAAGTGGAAAACTTCATATAAAAAGCTTGGGTTTTAATGGTTTTAATCCATACGCCGCAAAAGATATATAAAGTATAAACCGATAACGCACTGTCATCAAACGGAAAGCTGGCGATTGTGAGAAAATATGTATGCTTGAAATAGTTAAATCGTGCACGCACGAGACTGTTGCGTGCAACGGTACAACGAATAACTCGATTTCACATTATTTTTAACAATGCAAGCGTTCTCTATACAATATGAAATTGATTGTGTTTTATGATACATACAACAAAATCAGGATTGTCTTATTTCATAGAGTATCGACTAACTTTTTGTCATTTTCGACTTTCGAAAAGCGGACATCTTTTTTTATACCTCTAGTCTGAGTTACTTTCATTAAATTCTTGACATATTCTTTCATCACAATGTGTATATAAATATTATAAATACCGTTATTTGTTGTTTTATTCTTATGTTGTTTTTATATCTACGTTTTTTACGTTATAAACATAAATAAATGTTATTTGTTTTTACGGCACGTATTTCATATACGACCGTAATTTTTTGTTTGTATATATAATATATCCCTTCTATTTCAAACGTATTTTTAAAATACTTTTAATTTTTTCGAAACGTTAAGAAAACATGTAATTTATTAAATTTTCAAAAAAAGTAAAAAGATTTATACAAAGAAACTATTATTTAAAACAATATTTCAATATACTAATCAAAACATTTATTCAATAACACATAAAACATTTTCAAATAGTACAAATAAATAAGAAATATTATAGAAATGTTTTGTTATAAAAACGTACAGTGAGAAATATATTACGACTCTATTTATATCTTTTTTTTCTAAGAAAGAGTAATGATATTACAAAGTAATGATATCACAAAATTATGCCATATAAAATAAAATTTTTGAAAGATTTCAAAAAAGTAATCCTATCTTAAAATTGCCGTGTTACCTGCGTTGAAGCCTCTTTTCCCGAATGTTTAAAAATTCATATCTTCCAGAAAAGTAAAGATATACACTTCTTTCTAGGCTCATCTTAAAGATGAATTATGTGGCTATTTTTAAAAAATCGTGATTTTATTTAAAAAAATATAAAAAATCACCTAGGTCAACTCCTACATGGTCATTTATCGATTTTTGACCCGAGAAATTTGTCGAGAAAATTTTTATTGCAGAAATAAA